ATATAATAAGTGGAAGTCTGGTGTTAAAAGGTGTTGAAACATGAGACAAATGTGGGATATGGGCCCTTTAAGTGTTACAGGCCTCCGGCAGGATAAGCAGGTGTGTATGTAGTCTGAATGGGAGGGTAACTGTCACTCATTTCTGCTTTTACAGAGAGAAAATTCACACTGCAGGTTCAGCGCCACTCCTTCTAACACTAAAACATGCCAGACACTGTTACTTTATCAGTGGCTCTACTGCCATCATGTGGTGAGGAATGGAACTGAGCATAAAGCTCACAGCAAATAAATCACCAACCCCAAGGACTCAGTCTCATCTTACGCTTACCATTCCTTTTATCTGCTATTCCACCGTAATGTGATGATTCCTTTCATAAACATTTTTAGCGGACAATATCAGGATGCTGCAGAACGACACCATCAATCATCTGACAAAACAGCATTTAGGCTGAAACTGACTCTTAACTGCAGGTCTATTAATAGCATACGCATGTGATATTTAAAGGGGGCGAAGGCACAAACTTATTCGCTTAGGCAGGGCTATTTCATCATGTGTTGTTATTATAGGTTGCTTTTTTAGCTTTGCACTGGAGCTCTGGTGCTAACAGTCACCTATTACAAACTTATTATTATATAATAATATATTAGCTAATATTAAAGGGACCAAAATGAAAAAAATAACCTGTGGCAATTAAATTAATCAGTTTTAAACATGCTTATTCACCTCCTACAGCAGTGCTGCAGTAGTCCCTAGACTAGGATTTTTCTGGTTTAAGGACTCCGGCTGGATTTACACGATTAAACATTTCCGCAACTAAAACCCCATTTCCAAAAACGTTGCAAAATGTAAAAAAAAACAAAAAAACAATGCAATTCTGTGCAAATCATTTAAACCCCGTTTTAAACCATATATTTAATTGAAAACAGTAAAAAAGACAATATTATAATTGTTGAGCCTGAGAATTTTAAGTTGGGACATGAGCAAAGTTGAATAATAAAAAAAACACCTGGTGGACCATCTCACAACTAATTAGGTTAATTGGGAACAGGTCAGAAACATGATTGGGTATAAAAGAGCATCACAGAGAGGCTGAGACTTTCAGAAGTAAAGATGAGGAGGGGTTCACCACTCTGTGAAAGACTGCACCATCAAATAGTGCAACAATTCAAGAATAACGTTTCTCAACATAAAATAGCAAAGGACTTGGGGATTTGATCATCTACAGTACATAATATTATTAAAATATTTAGAGATTCGTGAGGAATCTCTGTATGAGAGGAATAAGGCGAAAACTAATACTGGCTGGCCGTGATCTCTGAGCCCTCACTGCATTAAAAACAGATATGATTCTGTAGTGGAAAATCAGTGCATGGGCTCAAAAAACACTTCTGAAAGCCACTGTCTGTGAACACAGTTTGTTGCTGCATCCATAAATTCAAGTCAAAACTCTACCATGCAAAGAAAAATCTATGTATATACAGGATCCAGAAACGCTGCCACCTTCTCTGGGCCCGAGCTCATTAAAGATGAACTGAGGTGAAGTGGAAAAGTGTCATGGACGCCGTGTCCTCTGGGCTAAAGAGGAGAGGGACCATCCGGCTTGTTATCAGCATGCAGTTCAAAATCCAGCATCCATCATGGTCCCCCCCAGGTTTCCCCAGTGCTCCAACTATTTTCCCCGTTTTGTACGATAATACTTTATACTAACACTGTTTGCTGTCCAGTGTCGACCAGAGGAGGATGGGTTCCCCTTCTGAAGGTTTATTTCTCTTTCTCTTAGGGAGTTTTTCCTTGCCACTGTCGCCATTGGCGACACTCATGGGGGCTTGGACCCAGATTTTTCTGTAAAGCTGTTTTGTGACAACACCTGTTGTAAAAGCGCTACATAAATAAACTTTGCTTGCTTGCATGGGTGACTTGCACATCTGTGAAGGCACCATTAATGCTGCCATCCAGACGACGTCTTTTTCAGGGAAGTTGATTATTTCAGAAGGACAATGTAAAACCACATTCTGCATGTATTACAGTAGCCTGGCTCTGCAGTAAGAGTCAGAGTGTTAAACTGACCTGCCTGCAGTCCAGACCTGTCACCCACAGAAGAAACTTGACACAATATGAAATAAAAATGACAAAGGAGACAAGAACGGGAAAACATTTCACTTTCAAAACTAGATCAGTGTCTCCTCAGTTCCGAAATGTTTACAGAGTGGTAAACACACTCCCTTCCCAACTTTTTTGAAACATTTTGTTAGCATCAAATTCAAAATGTGCATATATTTAAAAAAAAACAAACAACATTTCTCAGTTTCAATATTTGATATGCTGTCTTTGTACTATTCTTAATTACATATAGGGTTTTGCACATCATTGCATTTTGGTTTTATTTACATTTTGCACAGCGTCCCAACTTTTTTGGAAATGTAGTTGTAGTTTGCAAAGTTACATGCAACACACTGCATAACTCCAACAGCCACAACAGAAGCTCACATTTTTTAGTCATCCAGTGTAATCTACACGTCTCCAGCATTTTCTTATTAGCAATTTCACTAGAATAGCTTTCCTTTCGTCTTTGAAATACTGCCAAGTTAAGAAAAGCTGGTTCATGCATTTATTACCTCAAGGCTGAATCACAGTAATGCCCTGATGCCTGGATATTCCAGAAAAAGCCTTAACCCTTAACCAGAGACTGCAATTTGCAGGCAAAACGGTGGTCACTTCTAGCCTTCCTAACTTCAGAACGGTTTAAGATACAAACATGATCCACGTCAGGACATTCAGCAGACCCGCCCCTAACTAGCAAGGTTGAAGTCATTGAGCTGTGACATCAGCATCTGTGAGTAATTCGGCTCGGAAAATCACCTATTGCTTATTATTGCTCTTCTGTTTGGCCTTCATATTCCAACGAAGGGTTAAAACAGCGACATGATTCACACACCAGACTCTGTCTCACCATCCAGAGTGACTTCATCCACCTGTGACCATCCATCAGCCAGAGATCCAGCTCCAAAATCACCCAAACCCACTCACTACTGTTATATTACATCTCTGTCTGTAGCCTTCATATTATGAACAAAGGGCTTTCAGTTTACATTGATTTTGAGTATTAAAAATATCTGATATTGAGTACAGAACTCAGTTTGTAATTAAAAATAAAGCCTGTCTTGCTGTGTATCAGAGTTTTAGCACTGAGCCTGAATCCAAGAGGACTGAAAATCAATAAAAAATCATGTCCAAAAAAAGATAACTACCACTGCACTCGTTTTCAAGATCTCTATAATTAAAAAAAATACAAATGGTACATTTGTTGATCAAAAATGACCCAAATTCATTAAGATATAAAATTTGTCATTTACATGTCAAACAATGGCATATCTGAGCAGCCCAGGGTCTCCTGAAAATAACAACATATGGCCTGTGTGGCTGTCATACGTAAATACTTTATAATTGCAATTGACCCAAAAAAATTCCCAGCATTTTAGGTTTCTAAGGGTTAACAAGCTTCAGTTAGTCAAGAACACTGCAGCCGGAGTCTCACAAGAACCAGAACGTTTGACCATATCAGCCCAGTTTTATCAAACCTCCACTTTTGCCTGACTTGGTGCCTGAAGGATATTAATCTGGTAATCTAAACACTTCATCCAATGACAGGCTGCTTTCTTTTCTCGATTCTTTAACCACTTTTCTATGTTCTTTGTCAGTTCATTATTCTTTTTACTCTTGTTGTGTTACCGTTTTTCTATCTGGTGTCAACCAAAAGAGGATGGGTTCTCCTGTGGAGTCTTGGTTCCTCTCAAGGGTTCTTCCTCTTGCTTTTAGAAAGTTTTTCTTGCCACTGTCACAAGTTCATTGAGGAGCACATCTCACTCTCCTCTTATGTAATAATTTTCATCATTTGGATCCTAAACGAATCTGTGAAAAATTAATGTAGCTCCATGAAACTCATCTGTCGTTCTGGCTCAGGAAACCATAAATGAAAAACCACCAACCTTGAATCTGTAGCGCTGCATCTCCTTTTGAACCGTCCAATAAAACATCTTCAGTTTTGCTGGTGCTTTGATTGAGAAACAAGTATCACAAAACTCCCAAAGCTGACAGGCTGGGGTAGGGCAAAACTTTTTTTTTAAAAAATAAAAAAAAAAATGACTAAGTGACAAAAAGCAATTGGGCCACGGACCGAGTAACTAAAACTACCTTTCATGTGATTAATAACATGACATTTCATTAATAACGTCTCTGTAAACCGATTCATGAGTTTTTGTGATGTTCCTTTTTCATTTGGTTCGGTTAGTTTTGCACTGAATGACTGAAGTGGACCAAACTAAACACAGGGGTGTTTGATTACTGGTCAGAAATTTTGCAGGGATGCAATCATATATATATAAAAAAAAACTAAAAATAGAAACAGAAAATATAAAATGAATGAAATAACATCTGTGAGACGAGGTGGGCACCGGGCAGCCGTCGCAATGTTAACCTCCATTTCCAACTTCCGGGTGCATACCCCCGTACCCCTTCATGTGTCCGGCAGAAAACGGAGATCACTTCCAGCATCGCATGTAATGCAATCGATTACACATCTAGGTATGTAGCGTATTTTTTTGGTTCACATTGCTTCATCCTGACGGGAGTTAGAACAGAATATTCGGGGCCTCCTTTGAGTGAATCTTCCTATATGACTTCACAATATGTAACACAATATTTAGGTTTTCTGAAGTTTGATAAGTTGAAAAGATAAAATGAAATTAACCAGCCGTACCACACAGAAAAAGTGATTTATATTCAATGTTTGACTTCCACATCTACAGTGAACCCAGTTTAACATCTAATTATGCTCAAAAAGCATATTGTGAAATGATTTATCACAATAACAATATCACACTGCTCACTCTTACATAGCAAACCCACTTAGTGTATTATGTAATTGTGACAAAATACTTTGTTGCATTACTTTTGTAGTACAATAATACTTTTAAAAACAAAAAATAAAACAAGAGAAAAAATTTCGTTCACTTTTTTATTGAATTCTCCCCAACAAGTGATGTTTAAGCTTCATTTATACAAAAAGTCTGCGGCTCTCTCCAAAAACAGGACCGTTCCACTTTACCTGCCAAAGTGGACGTCCAGCATTTGCAGAAAGCTAAAAGTACATCTGCACTGCACGACTACGCAAGAAAAGGAAACGGGGAAAGAAAGACTTACTACTCTACAACAGCGACAAACAGGCCATACCGAAGCCAAAATATGTACGTTCAGTATTAGAGACACGTCTCAGCTCGTCCATCAGTCCGGGAGAAGGTTAGACAGATAACGGGGGGGTTGAAAAGATATTTAGCGTGGAGCATTACTTAAAACCAGGCGGTAGAAAATTTAAAATTATGAGTGAAAGCAGAGGAGACCAGAGAAAAAAGAAATAATAGACAGGAGTTTTTGATAAAAAAAAAAAGAAACAGACTGTACTTAATTTTAAAAACACTTAGGATTGTTGGGAATCAGGAAAAGCCAGTTTAAGGCAATTTTACCCCCAAAAACGTACTGCCCTCCCCACCGTACATACAGCTCTGCTGATATAACCGAACTGGCCTGGAGAAAAGAAAAACAGACATGCTTTCTTTCAAGCTAGCGCCTCTTTTCCTTTCTATCAGACTTGCGGTCCCGGTCACTGCGAGACGACCTCTTTCCTGACCTGCTTCCCTCCGAGCTCCTCCTTTTCCTGTCCGATTTGGAGCTCTTGTCCTTGGACCCTTTGCCCTCTCGCCCGCCGCTGCTTTTGGACGACTTGTGCCCCCTCTCGCTGCCGCTCTTCTTGCGCTCGCGGTCTGAATTCCTGCGGCGCCTCGCGTGCCCCCCGTCCCTGTCGCGGCTGCGGCTGCGCGAGCTGGAGGACGAGGAAGACGAGGCCGAGGAGCTGCTGCGGCTGCTGGAGCCGCTGGAGGACGAGCTGGACCCGCTGGAGCTGGAGGAGGACGAGGAGCTGCTAGAGGAACTGGAGCTGCTCCGGCTTCGACTCTGTTTGGGCCTGGCTTTGCTGCGGCCGCGGGAATCTTCGCCTTCTTCCTCAGCTTCCTCGGCCTCCTTAGGGCCTGCCTTGGGTTCCTGAGGCTGGGCAGGTGGCTCGGGGATCTCCTCTTGAGAAGGAGCGTCTTCTTCTGGCCTCTTTTGGAGCTCCAGAGCACCATCTGCCTCTGTGGTGCATGGCTCCATTGCAGAAGGTGCAGACGGTTCAGAGGCTCCCACTGGAGGTTCTTCAGACCCTGCCTGGACTTCCATGACGTTTTCGGAGGTTTCCTGGGACTCGGCAACACTTTCCTGACGAGCTCCCTTTCCTGCATCTTCCTCTTCCTCCCTATTGTCAGTACCTACCTCAGCTACAGCTACTTCTGGACTTTTCTCCTGCTGCTGGCTCTGCACTGCCTGGCCCTCAGACTCCTTCACCTCTGCTGTAACCTCCATCTTCTCCTCTACCTCTTTAGGCTCTTTCTCCTCCACTACTGCCATTTCTTCCTGTTCCTCCTCATCTCCTTCTGCCTTGCCCTCCTCCTCCTCTTTCTCCTTCACTTCCTCTTCTTCCTCCTCCTTCTGCTGCTGCTGCTGCTCCCCCTCAATCTCCATCTCCCTAACCTCCTCTCGCTCCTCCCTCTCCTCTCCTTCCTCCTCTCCTGCCTCTTCCTCATCCTCCTCCTCCTCCATCTCTACATCGTGTCGGTTACCTGTCAGCCTTACTCTCTGCTTACCCTCCTCCTCTCCATCTTCCTTCTTCGGCTCTTCAGCCCGCCCGCCGTCCTCCGTCCCCCTCTCTGCAGCCCGCTGGGGCTGACGCCTCGGCCGAGCCTCCATCTTGTTCAAATGCTCGGCAAAAGCTTCACGTCTCTCCTCAAATAGAGCTGCAAAAAGATACATGAATAAAAAATAAAGCTTTAACATTTACACCACTTAAAGCAAAGCACAGGAGCAAAGAATGTTCCCCAAAAAAATATCAATATGAACGAGGCCTTCTGATCTTCACCTAACGCGAACGCACACAAATACATAAGAGAGATGACAACATTAGAGAAACTGATGAAAACAAATGTCTCAATCCATAAATATTCACCTCCAATTCTACATTTTCTCCCCATTAAAACAAAGGAAACTGAATCTAAACATTTTCTGCTGTTTGAGATTTACTACTAGTTTGCATTTGTATTCTGGTCATGATATTTTGTATATTTCATTAAGCACCTTTATTTGTGTATAAAAAAACTCCCATATCACAATCAGAGAGGGAATGGCTGCTACTAAAGGTGTTCAATTCCAGAAATGCTGGCATCAAACCAGATTCCAAGTGACGGGAATCAAAGGATCAATTCTAAAGGCCAATTTATGCTTCTGTGGCAAATCTATGTAGATTCTCTACACAAGTGGCCTATGCTGTTCTGAGTGTTTACACTTCTGCGTCACTCTGCAGTTACACCGCCAAAACACTAGTTCTTGGTGGGGTTTGTGTGCCACTGTGTTGACTTCCTTGGTGTACTACCAACAACTGCCACACACAAACAGTGTCCCGGTGCTTTACAAACTGTGCCGGCCAGGAAAGAAACAAATACAACGCTCTTCTTCGTAGCGAGTTTATCCCCCCCCAAACGTACTCGTCCCTCAAGTTCTTCCACCTCTTCACACATTCCGTGACGTCCAAACTGATGTTTGAGGAAATCTTTCACCATGAATTTGCTGCCATCTGGCAGTCTCTGTAGTGTGCCGAAGACGAGTCAAACAGATGTTCACGTTTCCGGATTTCCTCGGTTAACCTCTCGTCCAACTCTCAGCTGAACTGAAAAACGGCGGCGAAGGAGGAAATACGATGTTCACAAGTGGACCAACTTCTAGGGAGGTGCGCATCAAGCTGTGGGGTAGGCTAAGTGGCTACGCGGTACCAACAGCGCAGATTTGATGCAGAAGTATAAATTGGCCTTAGGAGTCAATTCCACACAATCTTCTCGATTCCCAATCCTAAAACACATTCCTCCCTTTCACACATTTATGTGGGAATTTAATAGAACCAGAATGGAAAGGAGTTTACAAGCCAAATGCCAGCAAGACTGACGAGATTCAGCACAATGTGTGAACAGAAGCTGATATATTACCAGGATGTCTTGATTACAGCCAACCAAGCCTAAAGTTTCTGCAACACTTGTTTTTACAGAGTTGAGCTTTCAGGTTTCAGGAGTGAAAAACAATCGCCTAATTGCAATTAAGCTGACTTACCATTTTCCAGTCATAGTATGCTGCAACCAGCAGAATGTGAATTGGGTGCTTTGGACTGAGGCAAATAGACAAACACACACGCAAATGCACAGCTTAAGAAATCAAAAAATGCTTTTAACTTGGAGCTCTAACATGTTTATAGAGCAGCACTGACATTTATTTGCTGGGTATGTAGCCAATCTATTGCTGCATCATGTATGGCAGAATTCGTTTTTTTGCTTAAATTTTTATGCTCGTGAAGAACACGAACACAATTCTGTGTAACTGTAGTCATTTGTGTAAGTGTACTCATTCGTCAGTGTAATCAGTGTTAGCTACTAAGTAAATATAGCCAGCAAGTAAAGAGGCTATTCGGCAAATTTGGCAACTTTTAGGCTTGTACTTTACTAGAACAAACAACTAAATTGTTAATTTTATATGTATTTATATTAGGGCTGTGTATTGGTGATATGATGTATCACGATACAGGAGTTACGGTATGACATGATACTGTAAGCTTGGAGATATAGTGTGACTTTTGAATCTAATTTTAGCAAAACGGTCTTAGCAAAAAACACCACCATATGCACAAGATCTAAGTGAAAAAAGTGCTAACGTTAGCAGCGAGCCCTTACGCTACTTATTCACGTTGGAGTGGAAGAGTCTAAAGGCTGAAGATGGATTACAATAGGGCCGACACAATCATGAAATTTTAACTGACAATCAAATTGTCATACAGTCACATTAACGATTTAATGGTCTGTTTTTACACTTCCACTATTTTATGAAGCTTTCTTCGACATCATAAAGGGAATAATTGAGCAGAAATGTCTGATGTAATAAAAACACTCCTGTATCTCCTCAAACACAGCTATGAACACACATGTTAATCTGTGCAAATTACCAAATTAACCTCATTATTACGCTTACTGTTCATTTTTTTCTGAGACTCCTCCAGGAGCTTCTGGGTGGCTGAGCACATGCGACCAGGCAGATAGAAGATGGGTGGCTTGGTCTTGGTTCGAATGAACTTTATAATCTTGGCATTGTGTGCGTTCCACTCTTCTTGCTGAAACAGACACAGAACCACCACAAAAGAAGGTTAAACAAGCTATCATGATGGTAAAGTTAAAGGGGAACTCCACCGATTTTTAAGAGATTCTACATAATTAAAGGGTTGAGTTGTAGAGATAGATAGATCACTTTATTAATCCAAGAGGGAAAGTAAAGAGCAAAACAAGAGCAGAAGTATTGTCATACGCTATTATACATGTGCATAAATAGACGTACAGATATATAATAAAATATACTAAAACAATCATCAAATATAAATGTGCAGTACAAAAATAAGTAAAATTGCATAAACATTAAGCAGGTGACTGAACCAAGTGACTATGCACTGTAAACAATACCATATGTTAATAGTTGTATATGCCTGGATGTATAAACAGTGTGGCAGTGCAATATGGAATATGTATAGATGTGTAATCAGAGCGGTTCAGAGTGGTTTGGTGTGAAACGCTCTGTTCTAGAGAAACTGACCGAGTCAGAATTGTTCACAGTGGTGGTGATAGGAACCGGACGTCCACCTCTAAAAGCTCCCTCACAGAAAGTTACTACATGAAATGGTTATGAATTCACTGCCTGATGACTGAAACAGTGATATTATAGTTTTGGTGTAACATGTATTTGAAACCATTTATTTTAATCCATGCATGGTGGAGGGATACATGCAGGGCGTTGTGAGGCTTGAAACTTTTTTCAGATTCTCCACTGTTTTACCATCAGCCACATAAAAACTCACGTGTAGGTTCACTGGTGGTTCTGGATAGTAAATAAAATGTCTATATGTGTGTTGTAGTCATGGCGACCCCTGGTTCCTATCACCACCACTGTAAAGACATCAGAACCACTTCACACCAAACCACTCTGAATCTCTGTTTGCATCTCACACACTGAGTCATGGAGGAATTTTAATAAATTGGTGGAAATCCCCTTTCAGATGGCTGTAGCCCACATGAATGTGCCTGAGATGTTTACCAGCTGTGCCAGCTCCACTTTATGCTCCAGAAGCCTCAGCTCTGTCTGCTTGGCACGTCTCTCCTCGAACAGCTCGCGTCTCTCACTCTCCACCTTCTTGCGCTCTTGTTCTGCCTGGACTTCCAGTTTCTGCTCAATTTCTTGCCGTCTTTTCAGCTGGAAAAGTTTGGAAAGATTTAAAATAAAACAGAAGGACTTTGTTCCTCTGTTCAAAGTGTTCTCTGATTGTCAGTTACAGTTAAGACTCTAAAAATCAATAAGAATTACTCTACTGGTTAATTTCTCAAAGCTACTAATGCTTCAGAAATTAGAACAAGTACGCAAAACAATACGCCGCCTAACGGGGCAAGACCTACCCTCTCTGTGGACACAGTAGACTCCTGCTTAAACTTCTGCAGCGTTCCCATCAACAGGCCAAACATGCGCCGATTTCTGAGAGTAGAAGAGGCGAAGAAAAGAAAACAGTAACCTTTAACGTCAAGCCTGCTAAAAGATCACGACACAGTCGCAGGAAAACAAGTGTGAATGTACAAACATTTTAAAAAGGAGAGACAACGATGCTGGAGAGACGGGGTCCGTGTATCTTTTGGTCATTCAATTTTCATTTCAAATCCAGTATTGAAAAACGGGAAAAAGGGTCAGTTCTCGTTTTTGGTTCGGTTATTGTCAATAGAAAAATCAAGAAATGGCTTCATTTTACAGTTTCACAAAATAATAATAAATTAAAACCACACACACACAACAGAATAAAAGGGTTGTATTTTATTTAAATTTAAATAAATTAAAACATTTTCTATCCCTTAAACCTCAGAAATCAGGTGGTAAAAAATTATAAAGACAGGAAAGATTGGGTATGAGTGCTGACTGGCCTAGTCCCAGCAGTTCATACAGAGCTGTGCTGTGAGCTCCGGCCCGTAAAAAGAGACGATGTTGTGGTTTAATGTTGTTAATGTTGTTGTTTTTGTTAGTCTAAAGACAGACAGATCTTTATTGATCCTGAATGAAAATTGCAGTGTTTTAGTAGCAAGACATAACTGCACATAAACTTACAAATACTATGCAGAAAATAAAAAATAGAAACACAAATAGACAAAAGTTCAAGTATTAGGCAGTAAAAACGAAAGTATATCTATTTACACAGCATATGAGACATTAATTGTATTTACATGATTGCAGGCACTAAGTGATATGAGGTCATCTAAAAGCACAATGAGTATAGACGTAAAACGTAGGTGTACGTTATCTGTGTTATTCTGTAGCCTCTCCTGTGTCTCTTTCTTCACCAACACACTCATCATTACGACTGAAGGCCATTCAGCCCTCCGAGCGCTGCACCAACAACCAGCGCCTTCGGTACATTAAACTAAACTCTCACTGTGAGGCGGAGGCTCTGTGTTGGGCTTTAGGTCCTGTTGCACTGTTCGTTTGAAGTCTGGATTAACTTATCTACACACAGAAACAACCGAAATCGTGAGTCTAATCTGTGTCCATATGCCCATGAGACACGCATGCACACGAAAGGAAGTCGTGGTTTCTGCAAAACCCTGACAAACAGGCCTGATTTTATTGATTTCTGAGCTTCTGCGACCAAACGTGCACTCTGCACGTCTACATCCAGCTAGTAAATCAGTAAAATACGATCCTTCAGTCCACTGTTGATTGATTTATGATCAAACTGTAAAACAAAGCTATTTAATTTTTTCCACTGACAGTAACCAAAAACAAGAATTTCCCCATGCCTGCTTTTCAATATTGGTTTTGAAATGAAAAATCGAATGACCAAGAGATACACGTACCAGATGGCAGGAAAAACAACATTTAAAAAAAACAAAACAGCACAAACAGTGCTGCTACCTTTGTTTGCCCTTCTCATCCATCGTCTGATCTTGAATAAGATCTCGGCGCGTTCGCTCTTTGGAGGTAGCTACTACTGATGACTGCAACGCTGGCTGGAAATGAGACAGGAAGGTTTGAATAACTAATAACTGTACAACACATTAGGGTTATTAATGTTAATGAGAAAGTATTACTGAAACATAATTTCGTTACTTCTAATAAAAATAAAAACACTTCAAAAACACAAGAACTACTACAGAGCATTTCAGAGTGAAAAAATACAAGTTATGTTTTCAGTGAATGAAGGGCGGACTAGATGTGAACTAAGTGGTCTAAAAGTGGGCCTTTCAGGCAGCTGAGAAAGGGGGGGGAGAGTGTTTCTCCCTCTGGTGTGAACTGAGACCGTTTACATGCGCAAAAAGCTACACAACACACTAAAGAAACAGGATGAAGTGTAACAGGTCCCCTTTAACTGCCAAGCTGAGCACAGTCTACTGGTGTGCTGACTCAGCATGGCAAATTTCATCAGGAAGAAATGACAATGTAATTCTGAGTTTTTGCCCAAATATTTGCCATAAAATAAACTAAAATTAAATCAAAATTAAAACTGCTCCTTTTCAAATAATAAAAACAAAGCTAGTGCTGCGAATGGCTGTATGAGTAATGGCTGTATTAGTAGCTGTTAAGTCCCCTGACTGCCGATTCACACCTGTTCAAAACACTCCACAGCAGCAGTTACTGCACTCAGTAACCAAAGGAAAACACCAGTCAAAGTGGAGACTAAGTGAGCAATTCCACCCATTAAGAGGAACAATTGCTGAAAGAGACGTCGTGAAAATGGCGTAAAATTCCAAATGGGCAACAATTTACTACTGACGCGGAGATTTAGGGAGGTTAGTGTTTCCATTGTGACGCAAGTTATCAGTCCTTTGTGGCGAAAACTAAAAAGCTACAAAATTCCCAATAATAATTATGACCTGTCTTTGACCCTGCTATGCTGCAAAATTAGTTATATTTATTTATTAATGTATTATATTTTTATTATGATTAAGGGGCAGGTGATATGGCCAAAAGCACATTAAGATGCTTCAAAACATTTTCACAACACAATATTGCAATATTTGGTTTTTCTGAAATTTAATAAGTTGGAACAGACAAAATAGAACCTGTAGTGTCACATATAAAAAACTACAGGCCTTATAATAATAATAATAATAATAATAATAAAAAACAATCCAACAACAATTTCTCATTCATGTTTCACAACCTGCACTAAATCCAATTAAACAGGCCTAATTAAAATTAAATAAGTAGTTCGTGCTCTTTGAGTACTGATTATGTCCATAATAAGCTCAGAAAATTGCACTGTGACATTATTTTAACACAATAAATGACAATTGTCATTTTGCCCACCCTTATAATTATTATTATGCCAAAAGTCCTCAGCTTTGCTTCACAGTTATATTCTCATATTATAATATTCTCAAGGTTTATTTGGCAATAATGACATCTTATTGCTTAAGTTACTTTTTTGACATCGTCATCATCCTCAGCGTCGCTGTCATGCCGTGAATCTCTCCTGGCTCGCTGATCCCCCGCCAGCCTGCAAACATCATTTAAAATAGAATAAATACATTACATAAAAAGCACCCGCGTCCTTTACTGGGTGAATTTGTAAAACATTAACATTAATAATGTTTACATACATCAAAAATAAAAAAAAGAAGGGACATTAGTTTTCCATGACATGGACCCTTTCTAGTCTATTGTTCTATGTTGATAGCAGCTTTGCGCAGAGCTCTAACTCGTTTACCTCAAGAGTGCCCCTTCGATATCCCTCTGTTTGGCTGGGGGTCCTCCACCGCCATCGGAGAGTCCACGCCTTTAAAACAAGAACAGCTCACTGAAATTTCTCCAAAGACCCTGAATGAGAGAACATTCTGACATGAAGAAAGCAGAATAAAGATTTACCTCAGCAGATTGATGCCTCGCCCTCTACCTCCACCTGGGCCTGTGAGGGACAAACGCCTGGTCTGACCGGGTCTGGAAGAAAAGGGTGGGCTTTAAAACACAGTAAACACACCTCAACCTGCCAAGTTGTGCAAAAAACCTCTAGAAATATTTATAAAACACAAAAACCTGCAAGTTCTCATTCAGGCTGAAGTTGGTTTCATTTCTCTCACCACACCAACTCGCCCAGCCCTCGGGTCACTAACAGCGTTCCAGACAAATAATAACCTACCAAAAAAGGTTCTGCTATTGTTATGATGTCAAGCTTGTAGGAACAGCAGAACCCTTTTTAGTGCTACATAGAACAATTTACAACACAGTCTCTATCTGAAGAACAATTTCACCATACACAGGACCATTTAGGCACGCAAATGGTTCTATATAGAGCTCATGGTTCTAAATAACCATTTCCTTTACTAAAGAACTCTCGAAGAACCATCTTTTTTAAGTGTACCCCAATCAAAGTCCTTCCAGATCACGCTGGCTGGCAGTTTTAGCAGCCTTAGCTTCATCATATGTTCCACGTAAGAAAAAAATGGCTCTATACAGAACCATGAACACTCAAAGAACCCTTTGCATGATTAAACGGTTCTTTGCATCATGAAAGGGTTCTTCAGACTGATGGAGAATGTGTTGCAGAATGTACTATATAGCACCCAAAAAGGTTCTTCTGTTGTTACAGTATCAAGCTTGTAACAGTAGAAGAACCTTTTTGGGTGCTATATAGAACCCTTTACAACACATTTTCCATCAATTTAAAGAACCCTTTCATGATGCTGAGAACCCTTTAATCGTGCAAAGGGTTCTTTGAGTGTTCATGGTTCTAAATAGAACCACTTTCTTTACCTGTAAGTCTGTTTTCACAGTCGATGTGGAGCGCATTATGAAGCTAACGCTGCTAAAACTGCCAGCCAGCGTGATCTGGAAGGACTTTGATTGGGGTACACTTAAAAAAGATGGTTCTTCAAGAGTTCTTTAATAAAAGCACTGGTTATTTAGAACCATGAGCTCTAAATGCAACCGTTTGCATGCTTAAATGGTTCTTTCTATGGTAAAACTGTTCTTCAGATGGAGACTTGTGTTGTAAATTGTTCTATATAGCACTAAAAAGGGTTCTGCTATTCCTACAAGCTTGACATCTTAACAATAGCAGAACCTTTTTTGGTGCTACATAGAAACACCAGGCCTCAAAACCCACTTACGCAGTTTTTACGACATTTTATTCTGACATTCACCAGTGTTTTCTTATGTGGGGTTTGTTCTCAGGTAAGAACAGAACCTACACACACTCAAGAGCACAAAGGTGAGAACAGTTCTGCGCTTTAAGAACACGTCATGAATCTGACGCAGACTTTTTCTTAGGACCTTTATCAAGAACACATTTAAGAACAAACTGAGGAAGATGTTGGCGAAAGAGGCCCGTTCTTCATAAATCTGACAAACCATTTCACGATGCAAAGAACTATTTTAGAATGCACAAGGTTCTATAGGGCTCGTGGTTCTAAATAGAACAACTGCCTTTACTAAAGAACTCTTTAAGAACCATCTTTTTATTTTTAGTTCATACCGTTAGCAAAACTGGTTGAGAAAGATCAAAAGTTTGTTCATATCTAGGTTAGATACGTTAGATTATTTTTTATTGATATAAAGGGCAATTCCACTGATTTTTCAAAATTTCTGCATAACCGAATGGCTAAACTTTAAACAATGGGCCTTAATCACCAGTATCTTCCTAAGTTTTTTGTTTTCTTAAATATGTTCTTGAGAAAGGTCCTAAGAAAAAGTCTACGTCAGATTCATGACGTGTTCTTAAAGAGCAGAACTGTTCTCACCTTTGTGCTCGAGAGTGTAGATTCTGTTCGTACCTAAGAACAAATCCCACATAAAACACTGGTGAATGTCAGAATCTTTGTGAAAACTGTAAGTGGGTTTTAAGAAGAAATTTCTTCTTAAGAACAGCTGGTGAATGAGTCCCACTGTCACTCAGTAGTCTGGTGTGAAATGCTTCATCCCAGAGAAACTTACCAAGTCAGAATTGTTCACAGTGGTGGTGATAGGAACCAGACGTCCACCTCTAAAAGCTCCCTAACAAACGTGTATTACATTAAATGATTATGAATTCACTGCCTGATGTCTGACACATCGATTTTACGACAGTTTTGTGATAAAGTGTTGGCTTAAAACAATTTGAATCAAGATATTTTTATCTATTTATGGCACAGGGATACATGCAGGGTGTTGAGACAACACAGTCCTAGAAGAAAAATTATAATTTCAGATTTCCCACTTTTTGACCCTCAATAGTCCATATAAACCTCAGAAGACTTGTGTAGGTTCACTGGTGGTTCTAGATAGTAAATAAAATATTTTTATATTTGTGGTGTAGTCATGGCGACCCCTGGTTCCTATCACCACCACTGTAAAGAAATCTGTACATTTAACCATTTAAGATTAGTTTTGTGACTGTACAAGCGCAATGAGATGTTTTGGAGCAAGCCTGTAGATGTCTAAAGGTAACTGTGTTTGTGTTTGTGTGTGTGTGTTTGTGTGTATGTATATATATCACACACACATACACACACACATACATACATATATGTATATGCACACATACATACACACACACATATATATATAGTTAGATAGATAGATACATAGATAGATATAAGTATGAATACACTTGCAGTCTATGAGATACAAAGTATAAACAAAATTTAACTAAGTAAATAAAGCATTTCATGTCAAACCACTCTGAATGACTGTAACTCAAGGAGCCAATTATTCTGAAACTCTGAAAAATGGGTGGACTTCCCCTTTAAGTGTAGCGCACTCGTGTTCTAAGTAGTATAAATACTAGCAGTATAAGAAATATGAACCATTTCACACCAAACCACTCTGAAATCACTTACACACTGAACTATGCAGAAATTTTTGAAAAATTGGTGTAATTTCCCTTCAACTTAGTACCATGAGATGCTGGCTAGCTAATACCAGCAGCCAGGCGCAATGTACTGCAATGGGCTCACACAGTTAGCTTAGCTTCGCTAGCTCGGTGGTTCTCGAATCGCCCCTCAGGCCGATTACTGTGTTTTATCCAAATTCAGTGAAAGTCGGGAAAGAACACAGAAAGCTGGACCGTGTGGAGGGTCTGCGGGGCGCCTGGAGAACCACCAACTCACTACTACCGCCGGTAAACGGAGGAGGAATGAGTTCTACACGCTCGCTAAGCGAACTAGTTAGAACACGAGTGCGCTACACTTAAAGAGGAAGTCCACCCATTTTTCCAAGTTTCTGAATAATTGGCTCCTTGAGTTGCACAGTCATTCAGAGTGGTTTGACGTGAAATGCTTTATTTACTTCGTTAAACTCTGTTTATACTATTTTGTTTATCTCATAGACTGCATGTGTGTTTATACTTCCATACATATAACGTCATAGTTTTAAATTACCTTCATGCATCTACAGGCTTGCTCCAAAACGGCATACAGTGACAAAAACATCTTAAATGGTTAAATGTACAGATGTCTTTACAGTGGTGTTGATAGGAACCAGGGGTCGCCATGTGTACAACACAAATACAGCCGTTTTACTTACTCTCCAAAAACACCAGTGAATCTACACGTGTCTTCTGAGTGTTAATATGGAAATGTGATGATGGGGGAAAAAGTTCAAAATCTGAAAATAAAAGGATTTCTTTGGCCTCACAGCGCCCTGCGTGTGATTTTTAGGCCTTAATCTTCTCAAAACTACCATAAATCAGCGTCTCGGACATCAGGCAGTGAATTCATAACCATTTCACGTAACCTAACAACTTTCTGTGAAGGGGATTTTAGAAGTGGACGTTTGGTTCCTATCACCACCACTGTGAACAATTCTGCTTCGGTAGCTACGTTTCTATAGAACGGAATATTACACATCGAACCACGTATCTCTCCGGTTACTTAGGTACAAAATTTGAAAAATCGGTGGAGTTCCCCTTTCACACTAGCGTAGCTATCTCAGCCCCTTTTAGCAGCAGCAGCTAAGCTAACAGTACGGGAGCGCCTTTAGCTACGCGGCTACGTTTGCGGTATAAACCGTCGCCCCGCAGCCGTAACATTACCGTAACTCATTCGGGTCTCTGCCGGTCAGTTTCCGTATATTTTCGTCCACGCTCTTCAGGCTCTCCTTCGCCTTCTCCAGCTGGTCCTGCAGAGTCCGCACCGCCACCGCCATCTTGCTAAGCTAGCACGCCTGCTGCTCGCAGCTGCGGAAGAACGCTGGCAGCTCAAACCCGCCGTGTCCTTGATTGACGTAGACGTTGGCCAATGGGTGTCGACGTTGACAGGCGCGTCACCCTTGAAGGCAGTGCTAGCCAATAAGCGCTTGTCGTTCTGAGTTCCTCGGGGCGGGTCAAACGAACGCCATTTCAAATAGATAGATAGATAGATTGGTAGATACTGTATTGATCCCGAAGGAAATTTAGCAGCCACTATCAGTTACACAGCACAGTAATAATAATAAGGGTGTAACAACTGTAACCTGAGATGAAAAAGGCAGTGCAATAACAGTATATAATGACAATACTGAATAAATATGTGTATATATTGGTACCGAAATTAGGGCCCAGTCCCATTTCTCATTTTTACCCCTATCCCTTGTTTTCGAGTGTTGCCCATTGGAACTGAGTTACAGGGTAGTGGTTGAGATCTTCCCTCTGAAATGGGACCCTCAAATAAAAAGAGCATCACTTCATTAACAGCTACCAGCGCTGCTCTGTAGGCGACCCTGCCAGTCTGCAGTGACAGCAGAGGAGGGTAAAGTTCAGCTCCTCACTGCTGGGCTTTAGTTACATTTAGGGCATCATATGCCTTCAAAGAGGGGGGCAATTATTTATTATCACCCACCCATAATTCTTCAGTGATATGAAGCTGAAGTCAGATATTCACCAGCTTCTTGTTCGAATTTTCCCGTTCCACCTTAAATGGTGCAGCAGTTACATTCTGGTTCTTCAGGTGTCAGAACTGCTGGACTATTTAAGGTGGAACGGAAAGTTAGCTAGCTAGCTACCGAGACATTAGCATACTATTGGTGATTTTTTATGCTTGTTATGAAGAAAACGACCAAAATACACTGAAACTACATTAAACTGAGACAATACAAGAGTGGTCGTAATTTTAACAATTTTACCATATAGAGCAGCGTGCACAAGTCAGAGACCACCTTTCTTTTGTTTAATTACTGTTCAGAACAGGAAGTAAGTTATTCATCTTTCATTAAGTTTCATTTTTCAGCAGCAGAAAAACATATTTAACAAAAAATGACACAGAAGCCTCAGCAGCTGAATCTACTCTCAGCTGTGTGAGTCAGTGAGTCTCTCTGTCCCTTTATTCCAGCTTCCATTCTGTTCAGGAGACTCACTTTCAGTTCCTCAAAGAATCTGCAGACACACCTCCAAAGTTCAGTCTTAGAAGCTGGTTGATCATTTTCTGAAGTAATCAAACACATTCAGTGGTGTTGAGGTCTGGACTCTGGGGTGGTCAGTCCATTGTTCAGCTTCTTTGTTTGATGTGTCCGTCTCCTTTTCTCAGTGAGGTTCTTCTTGACAGCTACACATCCTTTCATCTATAGCGCTGAGTCGTCTTCTCACAGTGGAAGGATGGACGGAAACACCTGTGGATGTTTTCAGATCTAAAGCAGCTTGATTTTCTCCTCTCTCTCAAAGATGAAAGCTTTAAGTGCTGTTTATCTGATGGGGGCAGTTTTGGGGTCGACCAGCTCTTCCAGGTGGTTGTTAGGGTTTTGACTGGAAATTAAAAAAAAGGAAAGATGGTCTCTGGCTTTTGCACAGTGCTGTTTATGGTAAGCGGACCTGATAAAACGGACTGTGCATGTAGATACAAGGCAGGTGGACCCATTAAAGTGGCTGGAGTGTCTATATCTATATCTATGAACCACAAATAGACCGATTTAGTGTTAGCATACAGAGATAAAAAGGCAGTCACTGTAACAAGAGGTTCAAAACGCCACACTGTAAGAGACTGCTGTTCACTTAATGCAGAGTGCAAAGGGATACATAAACAGCAACTGAATAAATAAAAATCTGTGGGTTAAGAGAGTTTATTTCAGTACAAAACAGTACTTTTACACTGTAACATCATGAAGGTGGGCGAAGATGGGCGAATCTTAAACTGGACACCAAGGGCCATTAAAGGTTTTCTTAATTCCAGAACATCCTGAGCACCTTAAATCTACAGACAAAGCGACGTAAAAGTGATCACAGTGCATAGAAAACAAAGGCATTTACAAAAGCTCTCCTCTCATCTTCAACTGCTCCTTCACTCTTTGTCAGCCAAATCGTTTTGCTCGAAATACCTGTGAAAAAAAGTGGATTGTTTATATTAAAAAAAAACATAATAATGCTTATAAACAAACAATTTACATGTTGTGAGGTTATTAGTGAGTCGGTTACCTTGCAACTATACATATCATCAAATTAAGCGCTGACAGCCTCTCATCATCTTTGTTCTCCTAGAAGAAATCAAAAAGAGGTTTCACGTGCAACAAATGAAGTTCATATGAAGGCCATAAATGACCATAAATCTGCAGTGATTATATATGTATGTATGTGTGTATGTGTGTGTACTTGTGTGTAGAGTTAGGTTCATTTAAATTTTCACTTAGAAAAATCAACAAAATGTAATTTGACCAGACATGTCCACACTCATTCATACACAAACACATACACATACATACATACATACATACATACATACACACACACCGATCAGGCATAACATTATGACCACCTCCTTGTTTCTACGCTCAGTGTCCATTTTATCATATATAAAACACATACATACACACATATTTACATATTAAAATTTTCAGTCATGTGACCCCAAATATTCTGGTTTTATATCATATTTAAATTTATTGTGCTTTTATTGTCTCAAAATTTCACAAAAGAAGAAATGAATGCAGATTCAAAATGTTTTAACTGCAACCAGCAGATGGCGTAGTTCTGCATGTTTGCTCCCCACAGAGACAACTAGGGTAGAGCAACATCTACCAAACTGGCATATGACTATGTCTACAGGGAGACATCGTGGTGGACGATGATATGCAGGGGTCGGGGGTGGGGAGTGATAGTGTTAAGGCCCATTCACACCAAATCTGATGTTTTTCGGACTAAACAGTCGGTCTAAACACTCTAAAACTTTTTTCAGCACTGCAACTTAACATGGAATACACTGGGTGCATCCCACTCTACAAAAAGACAAGAGCACAGGGAGTCCCAGCGCCTCTTACACAAGCTAACGCTGCATAACGAGTCATACTGCAGGTCAGTGGGGGATTCGAGGCTCTGCTTTCTCCTTGTGGCTCAACATCATGGTGTCCGTCAGCCGTCAATGTCGGGTGATGGCATTGTCTATCGGTCCAACCCTAATGACAGCCCTACTCACTGTGTGCAGTGAGAAAGCAAGAGTGAGTGAGTGAATGAGTGAAAGAGAGTGTTTACCAGGTCAGCTCGCACTGCAGAACATCGTCTTGCCAGCTGTCTGATGAGCGAATGAGCTTCTGGGAGGAGAGGTTTCTCAAGGCACGCCAGTAACGCGTACAGCCATCTACCCTGTGGAGAAATACTTTAAAACATGTGCTTAACTTCATTAATGTTCTGCTTTAAATGAGCTTAACTGAACTTACCAACTGCGGAACGAAGTCTCTCTCCTCAAACCAGTTGATCAAGTACTCGAGCACAGCAGATACGGTAGACTACACAGAACAGAAGAACTGATCAAACACAGAAATATCAGTGATGATTCTCCAACTATGAGCTGGAAAGGTGAGGATTATCTCACAGAGCAGGATTTCAGTTTAACTGTACAATCTAAAGCCAGACGTTCCCCTCCTGTCACTGGGGTGGTTCCCTCAAGGCTCCATCTCAGTACCTTTAGTCAGGGAACATAACTGAACCATAATCCACTGAAATGATATGTTCTAAGCTGTACTGACTCCACACACCCCGTCTCGTCTCCAGGCTTTTATTTTACTGTTCTGTTTTAAAACATTCGGTTATGAAAAGATACAAATACAAACTTTTCACCTGGAAAAACTTATTTAAGGTTCACAATCAGACCTTAAAACCACTGTTGTACCTTGCACAGCACCTTCATTTCTAACAGTGTAGTATGAAAGTTCACTACTTCTCATCCTATCGGACATCTTTGACTTTTAAAGGGGAATTCCAAAAAAAATTCAATATTTCAGCATAATTAAATGGTTAGTATGTAAACAAAGTCATTCAGGTCAGAATTGTTCACAGTGGTGGTGACAGGAACCAGACGTCCACCTCTAAAAGCTCTGTCACAGAAAGTTACTACATGAAATGGTTATGAATTCACTGCCTGATGTTTGAGACACTGTTTTAGGATAGTTTTGAGAAGATTTTGGCCTAAAATATGTTTTTTAAAACACATTCATGGTGGAGGGATACACGCAGGGGGCTGTTTTTGTTCAGATTTTCCACTATTTTCCATCATCAACATTCCATATAATCTCAGAAGACTCGTGTAGGTTCACTGGTGGTTCTGGATAGTAAATAAAATGTCTATATTTATGTTGTAGTCATGGTGACCCCTGGTTCCTATCACCACCACTGTAAAGAAATCTGAGTCTCTACAATCAACCACTTCACAGAAATGATGAAAAATCGGTGGAATTCCCCTTTAACTAACTGGCTAACTGAAAAATTTGGCTTTGTGAAAAGTCTTCCTGTCCTTAAACAGTTACCTGACTCAGTTTGCTGACGATGCTGAGGAAGGGAGGAAAGCCCATCTGATCAAACAAAACAAGAGAGAATAATCGGTGGAGAAACTCTTGCATTATTTGTAATTTCATAGAGAAAAGACGTTTAGTGCAGTATGACTGTAGAAACTGTATGTGCTGTGTGTCTTGTTGCTGTATGAGGAACAGAAGAGTGAGGGAGTTCAGTTGTACCTTAACGTAATCCAGCCCTGGACTCACTGTGTCTCCTTCACTGGGCGAAGTGTCCAGATAAACGTTTTCACCGAGACAGAACCTCTTCCAGCCGTCCTCATCATCCGGTTTGGGCTGCAGACAGAATGGAGGGGGTTACAGACCAATACTTCATCCAGAGTATTTAAAAATACACTGAATAAACTGCTCACCATGACGACATTGTCATCCAAAAACTGAGCTCTCCAGTGTTGCCGGTGTTTGGCGACACTCTGAAACAGAGAATATCGACAGGAGAGTAAATCTGATCTCTGATTCGGTTACTGTTTTTTAGGAAAACACGTAGTGCATCATGAAATCTTGAATAACATTAATTTGGTACAATTTACTTTAACTAACTTCATTGTCCCCCATAGGGGAAATTACATTTACAGTTAAGACAACTTTTACAGCATTTTACACAACATAAGAAACACCAACATGCATAGCATAATTAAGCAAGAGAACACAGAGGGAGTGTGTTATCGCCAAATAACATCACGGCTGTGATTTGGTCACCATAGATCATCACAGCCATGATGTTATTGGCGATAACACACTCCTCGAGTGTTCTACTGCTTTTATACAACAGTTATATAAATAATAAGTATAGTAATAAATTAATAAACTGGGTCGTGAACGCGGCGTTTAATATGTTTTAATGTTCGCAGTTCCTTCACCAAATTATAGTTCCTTAACGAGCAGCTCGTTGCTACGTCAGAGTAACGAGCTCCGCCCACTCGCTGCACAGCCGGCAGTTCGTTCTCCAGCTCCTTACACTAAATTCCCAAACTGTCATCACTACTGAGCAGCTTTTCAGTCGGCAGCTGTGACAGAAGAACAGCTAAACAACCTGGAATCAGCCAGAAATGAACCCAACACCATTCGCCAAACGTGTGGTCTGATCTTCAGAGTCTGACCAAATCAGACTGAGCCATAAAACTGCCGCAATATCAAGTTCAGCTCAGTTTTGTCAGTTTTTGCCAGATCAGTATTAATGTTGTTTTGTTCCAGCCAGTCTGTAAAGCATCTTACAGCCCATTTAGTTTGGCGAATGGGGTTCATTTCTGGCTGATTCCAGGTTGTTCAGCTGTTCTTCTGTCTCAGCTGCCGACTGAAAAGCTGCTCAGTGGTGGACAGTTTGGGAATTTAGTGTCGTCTCATCTTCAGAGTCTGACCAAATCGGCTGTCGGTCAAATGTGATCTTAAAAGTGTCCATTTTCTGTTTGTGGCAAAGTAAGAAGTAAAAACGTTCAAATGTCTTGAGCGTCTCCTACAGCTGTCAAAGTCGTTGCTTAGCGACGGCGTCTCAGCGGAGTGATAGTGTTTGTGAAAAACCCGTGATGTTATGGAGAAATAATAGCACAGTTAGAACGCTTCTCAACCAATCAGCTCGCGTGGCCGAAACTAACTGATGTATAACACATCATAACATAACCTACCCCCCCCCCACACACACACAGCCCCCCCCAAAAAAACTACACAAAAAAAACAGACACACACAATAATTGTTTTGATTGAATGAGCTAAAACATAATTCCCACTCTGATACACACTTAAAAGTAATGGCACTTCAAGGGCTCTTTAGTAAAGAAAATGGATGTATATAGAACCATGAACACTCAAAGAACTCTTTGCATGATTAAAAGGTTCTTTGCATTCTTCAGAGTGATGGAGAACATGCTATAGATAGAACCTTTCTCAAAATGGTTCTTTATAGAACCTGAAAGGGTTCTCCTATTGTTACAAGCTTGACATTGTAACAACAGCAGAGCCCATTTTGATGCTTTATAGAACCCTTCTCAAAAAGCTTCTATATAGAATCATCTGAAACTAAACTAAAACTAGCAGTGAAAAAATGTGCTTTTTGAATGTAATAAAAATAAAAATTTCAAAAACACACAAACTAAATAAAAACTACAATGTCCACAGTAAAACTGATGAAAATGATATAGAATTACTGAGAGAAAAACTTTAGTTTTAGTTTTTTGTGTATGAACGAGAGTTTTTAGGTGTGTTTCTCTGTTTGGTCTTTAAGTAAAGCTGGAACTGAGATGAGCTCGGTCTATTGTTGTGTTCATTTTATTATACTCTTATGAAATACCTGCTATCACAGTGTTTATCATAACACTAAAGACTAAAACTAAAACTACTAATGCTCCCTCAAGACTAACTGAAAATAAGCTTAAATCAAAGCCAAAATGAAAAACTAAATAAAAACTTATGAATAAATTTCAAAACTATAATAAGGGCAAAATCAGTATATGTTTTAAAAATGTACCCAGCCCACCCTGCTTACCTGTCTGACTTCAGAGAAGTTGCTGACCTGTTGCTGCTGCCACCTGAGGCTGGGAGAGAAGCCCTGCGGTGCAGCCCGGCAGCCTGTGAGCTGTAAAAACAAACACTTCTCATTAGATTTTTATTACAGGTGATCAGCACGTAGGGCTGCTTTACGAGCGTACTTACAGAGACGTTCACTGATTGGTTCTTCTTCAGTTTCTTTGGATCAATCTGGGCAACGACGACTTCTGGGCACAGTGATGCTTCCCGCCTGTGGCACAGAAAAAACGGTAACTGTCAGTAAAATGACCAACATTTAAAGTGTAAAAAGGCACCATATAAAACAAAATACTGTGTGAAGAACTAATTGAGTGAATCCTAATCGACTTCCTATTATAAGTGGGTGCCGAAGCCCTTATTTCATGTCCCAAGTAGTGCACTATGTAGGGAACAGGGAGCCTTTTCTGAACGTCACGGCATTTTGTAAATCCTATCGGACATACACTGTAGAAACCCTTATTTCATGCCCTAAACCCTACTTCATGCTCAGTGTACTGCACTATGTAGTGTATTACTTCATGCTCAGTGTACTGCACTATGTAGTGTATTACTTCATGCTCAGTGTAGTGCACTATGTAGTGTATTACTTCATGCTCAGTGTACTGCACTATGTAGTGTATTACTTCATGCTCAGTGTAGTGCACTATGTAGTGTATTATTTCATGCTCAGTGTAGTGCACTATGTAGTGTATTATTTCATGCTCAGTGTAGTGCACTATGTAGTGTATTACTTCATGCTCAGTGTAGTGCACTATGTAGTGTATTATTTCATGCTCAGTGTAGTGCACTATGTAGTGTATTATTTCATGCTCAGTGTAGTGCACTATTGAGTGTACCATTTCATGCTCAGTGTACTGCACTATGTAGTGTATTACTTCATGCTCAGTGTAGTGCACTATGTAGTGTATTATTTCATGCTCAGTGTAGTGCACTATGTAGTGTATTATTTCATGCTCAGTGTAGTGCACTATTGAGTGTACCATTTCATGCTCTGTGTAGTGCACTATGTAGAGTTTTGTTTCATGCCCTATGCAGTGCACTATGTAATGCACTACTTATGTACTACAAAAAGCATGAAGTAATGCACTACATAGTGCTCAGGGCATGAAATAAGGGCTTCAACAGTGTGTGTCCAATAGTACTGTGCAGGGTTCTACGTAGTGCACTATGTAGTGTATTACTTCATGCTCAGTGTAGTGCACTATGTAGTGTATTACTTCATGCTCAGTGTAGTGCACTATGTAGTGTATTACTTCATGCTCAGTGTAGTGCACTATGTAGTGTATTACTTCATGCTCAGTGTAGTGCACTATGTAGTGTATTACTTCATGCTCAGTGTAGTGCACTATGTAGTGTATTACTTCATGCTCAGTGTAGTGCACTATGTAGTGTATTACTTCATGCTCAGTGTAGTGCACTATGTAATGCACTACTTATGTACTACAAAAAGCATGAAGTAATGCACTACATAGGGCTCAGGGCACAAAATAAGGGCTTCTACAGTATAAGTGCAATAGTACTGAGCAAGGCTCTGTGTAGCGTATTATTGAGCTAATTCTCTATGTAGGGCATTATTTCATGCTCTAATGTAAGTTTGTGCCCTATGTAGAGTGCAGAGAGCTGTTTGGGACACAGCCCCTCTGCAGCAGTCTGCGCTGTGTGAGGGTGTTTCCGACCGGCTGTCTGAGTGTGAGTGAGTGTGAGTGAGTGTGTGTCTGTGTGTGTGTGAGTGTCTGTGTGTGTGTTTGTGTGTGTCTGTGTGAGTGTCTGTGTGTGTGTCTGTGTGTGTGTCTGTGTGTGTGTCTGTGTGAGTGTCTGTGTGAGTGTCTGTGAGTGTGTGAGTGTGCGTGTGTGTGAGTGTGTGTTTGTGTGTGAGTGTGTGACTGAGTGTGTGTAAGTGTGTGAGTGTGTGTGTGAGTGTCTGTGTGAGAGAGTATGTGTGTGTGTATATGAGTGTGTGTGTGTGTGTGTGTATGAGTGTGAGTGTGTGTGTATATATGAGTGTGTGTGTATATATGAGTGTGTGTGTGTGGGTGTGTCTGTGTGTGTGTATATGAGTGAGTGTGTGTATATGAGTGTGTGTGTGTATGAGTGTGAGTGTGTATATATGAGTGTGTGTGTGTGTGTATATATATGAGTGTGTGTATGAGTGTGTGTGTGTATGAGTGTGAGTGTGTATGAGTGTGTGTATATGAGTGTGTGTGTGTATGAGTGTGTGTATATGAGTGTGTGTGTGTATATATGAGTGTGTGTGTGTGTGTGTATGAGTGTGTGTGTGTGTGTGTATGAGTGAGTGTGTGTATGTGTATGAGTGAGTGTGTGTATATATGAGTGTGTGTGTATATATGAGTGTGTGTGTGTGTGTATATATGTGGGTGTGTGTGTGTGTATGAGTGAGTGTGTGTATATGTGTGTGTGAGTGTGTGTGTGAGTGTGTGTGTGAGTGTGTGTGTGAGTGTGTGTGTGAGTGTGTGTGTGGGGGGGGGTCTTACTGAACGTGTCTGAGATACTCCTGCGGGTTCCTCGGCGGCTCGTTTGAGCGGTAATCTTCATCATCTTCATCATCACCGCGCGGCTCCACCGGCAGCAGCCTCGGCATCAGCTCCTCCACCTCGGGCTTCATCTCCGGATGTGGCAGTGAGGCGCGCGGCGCTGTGACCCATGTACCGCGGCTAAACCGATAGACTCCGTTTGCAGCGCGCGGACACCCCGTTTGTAAACAGAGCGGATGATGACGACAGATATACGCGACTGTTACCACGGCGCTGTTCTTCTTCTGTTCTCAAGACCTGTAATCGCTGCTGGCGCCGCCTGCTGGTCCGCCTGCGGTGCTGTTCTAAAGCGTTTGATTGCAGCCGTCACTGCTGAGGGCGGCACAACCAGCTATTAGGCTTAGGGGGCAATTACTTTTTCACACGAGTGAGGTGGTTTTTAGTAACTCCTCGTCCTCAGTGACGGAATCAGCTTTTAAAGCGGCACTTTGTGTTTAGTCTTCATCTTAGATCAACATTAGGAGGATCTGAAACAGTGAAATATGACAAATTAGCAGAATAGAAGAACTCGGGTGGGGGCAAATACTTTTTCACAACACTGTAGACAGACAGAGATAAACAGATAAATTGAGAGGTAGATAGATAGATAGATAGACAGACATAGATAGATAGATAGACAGACAGAGAGACAGATAGACAGACAGACAGATAGATAGATAGACAGACAGACATAAAGATAGGCTTTCATGCTATATTGTATTATATTATACTGCGTTATTTTATTAGCGTCATTTTATTAGAGCCTTTGCTCCACTGGAGGGCGCTGAGGGCTCCAAACCGAGTCACCGGTACCATAATGAGGAATAAACCGAGCCGGTTTATGAGGAGTCTCATCAAAAACAGGACTGCGAAACGCCAGAGGGCGCCCACAAGCGAGCCCTCAGTGAATGGGAGTGAATAGAGCGCAACGGCTAAAAATGAAAAGTTAAAATAGTTTCTAATCACTGAACCAGAACTTTCCTTTAGTTTTAGACAGTAGAAGAATGAGTTTCACTAAAAAAGCAAAGAAAACTCACCTGAATGTTTCCTTTTTATACAGCAAACGGGTTTTGGGCAGCAGGACGTTAGCATTACTGCTACCGAGTGCTGATTGGTTGGTGAGCGGAGCAGCTCATTGGCTGTTCGCGCTCACTGACGTCATGAACGTACATGAGGCGCTGTTTTAAACTCCTATAACTCGAGTTTAAAAGCTCTTAAAAATATAACAGCAGTGTTAAAATGTTTTATGCTGCTCTGTGTTCAGGAAATGAATGAATTCTTTTACATTAAAAATGTTTCAGCATTTATAAACTATGATTTTGCTCAAATGCTCCATATTAACCCATTCATTTTGGCCCGGGAGCGCCCTCTAGTGTTTGAGAAAGCCGGAAGACATTGCAGAGCAGTAGTTCTCCTCTCTACAGGTTCTCTAGAATAAATCATTTATATTATCATTTTTATAAATTGAAGAAAGTAATCTTTCAACAGTTTAGTGAAGTACATGTGACTGTTAAATGATATGTTAAATGAAGCTAATGAATAGTTTCTACCCCCTGTGTGTTTTTACGTGCACTATTTTCACCATTAAAAATTACTCATTAATGCTATTAATGTATACATTGTCCATGTTTTGAATCACTCCGTTCACTGTGTGTTTATACTGTGCAGTTAAATGGGAAATTGGCCTATTTGTTGACCGTTATCATGCTCCTGTTTCTGCTCCGCCCAGAGAACTTCAGACGGGGACTTTTGATCAGTGATTACTCTGCAAAATCAGGAGCCGGGCTGTCAATCACTGCAGTCTGGAATGTGGAGATATCAGACCCCTTCTGAGATGATCGTCTTCACCCTGAGTCTGTCCTGCCTGTCTGTGGCCAGTCTCGATCATTTCAGAGAACAGAAATGCATAAATATTAATATTACAGTCAGGGCAGGTAAACAGTGAGAAATCAGTCTGGCTCTGGGATTTTAAATGCAGAATAAAATAATGTCCTTTAAATGTTCAGTTACTGTCCTCCACTGCTGTTTTAAACCATCTTATAGGGTTCATAAGGTCTCTAAGGTATAATGTGAGGTGAGGCCCACTCATCATCCCCTGTCTGTCAGTGCCGGGGTTTTAAACCGTGCCGTCCTGTCATGCTCAGAGCAGACGTGTAACCTGTGTTAATGATTTACTCTCAGTAACCTCTAATCCAATCTCTCCTGTCAGACTGTGATCTCTGCTGACGAGCTCACTCTCTGACTCGCGAAAAACAGTGGAGCTCTCTTTCTTTCTGCTCTGCTGTGACTTTGCTCCTTCATTTGGAAATGAATTTATCGGGATAAAACTACTTTTCTTGAGGAAAACAAGGGAATCTACTCGGTTCAGCCATGGAGACTCTACACGCCTTCATTTCGCTTCAGATTATCCTCAGTTTCGCACACCGAGGTTTGGGATTAATGTCTGATTATAAAACGTGTGGAGACCCAGCATGTGAACGTAAGAAGTTTTTCAGTTGTTCTACTCGATTTCAGGCAGTAGTTTGTCTTTTATACATTATTAAATAATAATAAATTAGCTTTAATTATTCAAATTATAAATTAAAGTTTCGTCTTTGATATTTTTAAATATATACATCTCGCTGCTGTCGGAACAAAACCTCGTATCTCCAAAATGCAAATTTTACAGGAGGAGGAAAAAACATACTTTACTTTTAATGTAAGTCAATGGAACCAGAATTCTTTGTAAGTAATTTTGGGACGTTTCTTTTGGTCCATTCATCATGAAATTTACAGACAATATAAACGGCAACAGGTGTTTTCAGATTATGTCCAAAAATAAAAAGCGACAAAAATGGAGATACAAGGTTTTGTATATATATATATATTTGTGTATATTTGTGTATATGTGTGTGTGTGTATATGTATATATATATATATATATATATATATGCATACATATACATATGCACATACACTTTTTTTTGCCATTTTTCTGTATAATCTGAGTTCAGCAGCTGTCCTTTACATTGAATGGAAACTTCATGATGATTGGGCTGATAGAAATCTCCAAAACTGCTTTGAACAAAGGCGACAATGTATGTATGTATGTATGTATATCGCTCCTGTCAGAAGAAAACCTTGTATTTCCATTTTTGTTGTTTTTCAGTTTTTGACATAATTTGAAAATGCCTGTCGCCCGTTACATTGTATGTAAATGTCATGTTGAACAGTCCAAAAGAAATGGCCCAAAATGACTTAGAAAAACCTCTGGTTCCATTGACTTACATTAAAAGAAAAGTGTGTTTTTTCCCTCTCCTGTAAAGTTACTATTTTGGAGATACGAGGTTTTCTTCCAACAACAGTGAATTATGGAGGTGTATGTTAAAGTTTGGACAAAGTCAAGTGACCTGTTTTGTTGATTTTCTAAGTAAAAAATGGGGCCTGAGCTACATATGGGCCATTTACATTTTACATTTTATTTTTTTCCGATCTGTTAAACTCAGCAAATAAATTGAGACTATGCACTAAAATTTGCAGAAAAAGTGCCATTGATAAATATTTAGAAACTTATTCAAGAGAAAATCAACAAAACATGTAAATTGACCAAGGGTTTCCAAACTTTTGCATATAACATAATACATATATACTACATAATATATATTATGATATATAGCTTTACAATATATTCATGGTGGAGTTTGGAATATAGTCCATTTTCCTTAATAATAATTGTTTAATGATTTAATTATGATTACATTCTGATAGTTAATTATTATTTTGTATCTTGCACATTTTGCTCAAAGTTCAAGACTTTCTAAAGCTTTAATTCCATTGTGTTTTCAGTGTTAGCTCAGATTTTCACATGTTTAATCTGTTCGTGTTTCCCTGTAAGGCATGATGAGTCGCGTGCAGGCCCTGAGGGACCACCACGCTCAGGACTGCAGGTTCCTAAGCTTTAAAAAAGGAGACATGATCGTTGTTTACTACAAACTTTCAGGCAAAAGAAGTGACCTTTGGGCCGGGAGTGTATGTTTCTCATTCATTTCTTGTTCTTTATGCATTGTTGCAGTGTTTGTTTGCGCTGAAAAACAGTATTAAGTGCAGAGCGAACACATCGCTTTTGTGTTATATAGAATATAACCTCAACTCTCAAAGCGTGAGGTGTACAATGAATTTATTGGTCAATGTATAGTATATATTGATCAAAAACCTCAATTCAACTTCATTTCCAGATAGACAAGCAGTCTGGATTATTCCCCAAAGACGCTGTCAGGATTGATGAGGTTTTTGTTGATGAGGAAAAAGAAATAAAGATGCCCACTCAGGTAAGATTTAATATATTGAGAACACAAGAAGAAGAAATACTGTTATAGACACTCACTGAGCTCTTTATTAGGAACACCTCCTTGTTTCTACACTCACTGTTCACTTTATCAGCTCTACTGACCACAAAGTTTCACTCTGTAGTTCTACAGTTACAGACTGTAGTCCATCTGTTTCTCTGCATACTCCGTTACCCTGTTCTTCAATGGTCAGGACTCCCATGGACCCCCACAGAACAGCTATTATTTGGGTGGTGGATCATTCTCAGCACTGCAGTAACACTGACGTGGTGGTGGTGTGTTAGTGTGTGTTGTGCTGGTGCAAGTGGATCAGACACAGCAGTGCTGCTGGAGTTTAAACACTGTGTCCACTCACTGTCCACTCTATTAGACACTCCTACCTTGTCGGTCCACCTTGTAGATGTAAAGTCAGAGATGATAGCTCATCTGCTGCTGCACAGTTTGTGTTGGTCATCCTCTAGTCCTTCATCAGTGGTCACAGGACGCTGCCCGCAGGACACTGTTGGCCGGATGTTTCTGGTTCTCAGTCCAGCAGCGACACTGAGGTGTTTAAAACTCCAGCAGCACTGCTGTGTCTGATCCACTCAGACCAGCACAACACACACTAACACACCACCACCACGTCAGTGTTACTGCAGTGCTGAGAATGATCCACCACCCGAATAATAGCTGCTCTGTGGTGGTCCTGTGGCGGTCATTTAACCCATCATTGATGAATGGGTTAAAATCGGAGGCTAATAAACTATACAAAGAACCAAATGGTCAACAAAATGCACCTGCAGTACTGATACAGTCAGAGAACATCCTTCATTTAATCCTCTGTCAAAACAGCAACCAACCGGGAACACAAACATGGATGAGCCTACTGAGCTGCTTCAAAGTCAGAGTTGAAAGCACACTTGGGACTTTTAACTGATCTTGGACTTTAGACCTAAATATGGAATAATATAATCACAGTATGGTCATTTGTTCACACTGTACAGTCCTAATCTGTATCAAACTAAAGGTTTTCACCTACTTTCTTTTTCAGAAATATGACTTCTACTGCATGGATGAATTTGGCTCAGTAATTGAGAGTGATTCCAATGAAATCGAGGATCAAGACGATCAACATGATCAGCACGATCAAGACGATCAGCATGATCAGCACAATCAAGAAGATCAAGACGATCAAACTGCAGAGTCTGAAGAATTAGGTAACAGTGATTTTGATGATCCACTCTCAAAATCCGCTGAAACAAATGACATTATCAAAACTGAGGAGGCCGGCCAGAGTGCCACTCAAGAGTCCTCTAAACAGGATCCGGAGAAATCCGAAAAAAGTGGGTCCTCCTGGATTGGCTCTGCTGTGAATGGCTGGTTTGGTGGTGGTGAAGAAGTAAGGCATGATGAACCCCCAGAAGAAGGCAGTGATCAGGTGTCCTTCAAGGGCAGAAAACTAGCCTTGGACATTGATGAAAACCAACTGCAAGTGGAAAAACAAGCTAAAACGTTTGGGTGGATTGGAGATGAGCTGACCAATGTTTTCGGATTTGGGCAGAAAGCTTTGAAAGATACTACCGAGGATTCACCTGAGGACGTAATGCAAAATGACGAGAACTCTCCCAGTACACAGTCCAGTTGGCTGGAAATGGGAATAAAAGATGTTTTGAGTTTTGCAAGTGGAGACAACCTGGTAAAATCTGAAGCTGAAGACAAAAATGAAGGTTCAATTCCCAAAGATGAGAAGAATTTTGAACCTACCCAACCTTTGGACAGCACTGAGGCCTCACAAGGTGACAACAATGAGCCAAATCAAGGTGAAAGACAAGAGGCCACGAGTTTTATAGAGGAAGATGTGGATCCTTCAGCTGACAAGAACACCGAAAGTGAGAAAATACGTGGAAAAGAGGATTCAGGATGGTATGGCAGCGTCTATAACCAATTTACCAGCTTTTATGGAGACGCTAAAGACAAAATTGACATTAGTAATGATGGTGGAGGAGACGGTTTGTCAGAGGCAGATGTCCAACAACCAATTCAAAGCATAGAAGATATAGAAGATGAGGGAAGCCAAGGTACAGATGCAGGGCAGTCTTTATTTTCTGTCGATCGCCTTTCAACAGTGTTTGATGGTCTAAAATCACGATTTCAGTCACACACGGCTGAAAAAGAAGTGCAAAGTGAGGAAGAAAGGCCTCCAGAACAGACAGATGCAGGTAAGGCAGCCTTTGATGATCGGCAGAGTGATAAAGATGAAGAAAGCACTGGTGATGATGAGATTAACCCTAACTCAGCAGATTTGATTAGTGAAATGCAGCCGTTATCTGATGAAGAGCTCACTACGGGAGTTAGCTTTTTCTCTGATGATGTAAGAGAGTCAGAAGACGTTTCGCAAGAGATTAACATACAGAGTGATGATGCACACGAAAGCAAAGAAGCAGAAATTCCTGAAGCAAAGCCGGTTGATGACATTGTCCAGACTAAAATGAATGCTGACAGTTCAGAGACGGAGCAAAGCCAGGCAGATGGAGAAAATAAGGAAGATACAGATATTTTTGGTGAAAAAGTGACTCTCTTGTCTGAATTTGGTGACTCTGTTGCTTCAAAACTGTCAGAAAACCTGACAGAAAAGAGATTCCCCAGTGAGGAACCAGCAGATATAGATGTACTAGAATTAGATGCTGAATTAGACCCAAGTGTAGACCATGATCAACCAAGTCTCTCCACTGATCAAAGTGAGGACATCCAATCAGTGCTTAATAGTGATGAGACTGAAGCTTTAACTGGGGATTCAGAACTAAAAGAGCTGGTAGAAAGTGGCCATTTGGGTGATATTTTATATGGAGCAGACCAAAGCAGTTTAAACATTGACAGCGAGACCAAGACAGTTAATATGGACACATTTGAGGCAGCACAGTTGGAAAATTTGACGTCAGGCGGAGACAAGGTAGAAGATTCCACAACACCTGAAACATCAGAAAGACATGAGCACGATGTAAATGCTAGGGACAGTAATAAAGATGATGATGATCCAAAAACAGATGGATTTAGCAGCTATCTTGAGTATTTCAGCGCCCAAGAAGACACAAAATCTGAGACAGCATCAGCTAACACTGAAGAGATAGCCCAGGAACGTTTGGATGTCAATAAAGATGAAGAAATCCTGCTTGATCCCAAAACAATTGAATCCAGCAGCTATCCTGAAACACACTTAGGTTCAGATGGTCAGAAAGGAGATGAATCCATTCTGGGGTCAAAAACAGAGCAGACAGAGTTAGCTGCAGATAAAGAAAGTGTAGACATCATTCGGGAAAAGCAGGAGAGTTTAGGCATCCCTCTCAGTTCAGTTGAAACCAAAGAGGAATGGAAGCATGAGAATGATCCTGATGACTCCAAACAGGAATACGCCACGCATGAGAAACTAGCAGATGCTATGCCTTGCCAGACTGAAAGCCAGCCAAAAGAAACCCAAGAGAAAATCCCATCAAAATACAGCCCAGCCAGTGAACACCCCTGTGATTTTAGCCATGCTAATGGAGAACATAGTGATCAGGTTAGCTTAGCAAAGGATGCTACTGACCATACAGCCCTTGACATCAGCTTAGATAGCACTGAAGATATTCCAACATCTGAAGAAAGTGGTATTCCCACAGAAAATGAAAATCAGAGGGAATTAGAACACGAAAAAACAGTTCAAAACGCTAGCAAGGACGCTAACACACTTGACGGAGAGCATAGCTATAAAGCTAGCTTAGCCAAGGATGCTTATACAGATCATAACATCAGCCTAGACAGCACTGAGGACATTCCAACATCTAAAGAAAGTGGTTTTCTCTCAGAAAATGAAAATCAGTTGGAATTTGGAGATAAAGAACCAATCCAGAATGCTAGCAAGGGTGCTAACACTCTTGATGGAGAACAAGGCGATCATGTTAGCTTAGCGAAGGATGCTAATACAGAGCATTCTACCCTTGATGTTAATAGTCCAGACATTATTGAAGACATTACATCTCAAGAAAGTGAGTTTCTCTCAGAAAATGAAAATCAGATGGAATTCGGACATGAAGAACCACTTCAGAGTGCTAGCAAGGGTGCTAACACACTTGATGGAGATCATATTAGCTTAGCCAAGGGTGGCACTGATCGTGCTGCGCTTGACATTAGCCAGGACAGCACTGAAGACCTCACCACATCTGAGGAAAGTGTATTTCTCTCAGAAAATGAATTTGAGCTTCATAGTGAGGATGATAACACACATGAACATGATGATGGTGTTGAAGCAAAAGTGGAGACTAGAAGCTCAGATATAACTGAAGAAGAAGTGAATGATGAAAGCATAATAGATGATCCAATAGGGAATAACAAAGAGTCGGATGCTGTGGAGAAAAACCTTCTAAGTGTCTCTCAAAGACAAGAAGAAGTGACAGAAACTGTGGAAAAAGAGGACCAAACATCTAACAGCATAGATACCCAAATCAGTGATGCACATATATCAGCAGAGAGGCCTCAAATACCCACAAGTAAAGAATATCCCAACCTACAAGCTCATCTCAGTGAGGAGAATATTAAGGACCTTTTGGAGGTTTTTGGTGAACACAGGTTATCATGGCTGGACAAAAACCTTGGGCAACTGGAAAAGGTTGGCCCAGGTCAAAGGGAAGATAATGAAGATCTTTCTAGGCTTAGTGACTTTGAACAAACGCTGGAAAATCGCATGAAAACAGGAACCAGAAATGACGAAGATGATGCAAGTCTGCTTGTTGAGACCTATGCTAAAGTAGACGCCCTTTTATCCACTCTAAGAGAGAAGTTTATGCCTGTGATAGCAGATGGCAGTGTAGATAAAGGCCCAGGTACTAATCATACATTTGTTAATTCATTTATTTACACTGCCCATCAAATGTTTGGGGACACTTCTTTTGAATCTTTGAGAATATTGTATGGTTTTACTCCCTGCTGAAGAAAAACAGCACAGATCAGGCTGGTCTAAGCTGGTTTATACTGGTTTTTGCTGGTCTAGTGCGGGACTGGTGCTGGTTTATCTTGTTACCCATGATGGTCATGCTGGATGACCAGCATACCAGCATCCATAACACATCATACACTGGTTTTGCTGTGACCAGCCATGCTGGTTTATGCTTGTTTTTCTAGCAGGGCTGGTACTTTTTTAGCAAAAACTACTAGCATACAGTTAGCATGAATTAGCATAAAGCAGCTATGTGCTAATCCTTTGTATGTATTTTCAACACTCAGCTGTCTTCCTTGGTATAAAGAGCGGATTTTGCCAGAATTATGATTTGACAGCTTTCTTTTCCAAAAATATTGTTAAAAGCACATCACTGTTGTTGGATGAAAACCATTTTTGTCGTTTTTCGGTTTTTGACATAATTTGACATAATTTGTTGGCCTTTGCATTGTGTGTAAATTTCATGAAGAATGGACCAAAAGAAACGGCCCAAAATGACTTGGAAAAAATTCTGGTTCCATTGACTTACATTAAAAGTAAAGTATGTTTTTTCCTTCTCCTGTAAAGTTACCATTTTGGAGATACAAGGTTTTCTTCCGACAACAGCGACATATTGAAAATATTGTAAATATGAAAAATATGTCGCCTGCAGTGACAGCAGAACAGCTGAACACACCGGAATCGGCTAGAAACAAACAGAATACAATTCGGCGAACAAGATGGGCTGCAAAGTGCTTTACAGACTGGCTGTTACAAAATGACATTCATGTTAATTTGGCAACAGTTGAAAATGCCGAGCTGAACCTGATATTTCTACAGTTCTGTGGCTTTATCTGCACCACAAAAGCTGAGCCTTAAAATATCTGCAGTTCTCTTGTCTGCAAACAGGGCCGGGAACTGTTTCTGCTGAAGTACTGAAGCATATCGTCGCTGTCCGAAGAAAAACAAGTATCTCCAATATAGTAACTTTACAGGAGAAGGCAAAAACACTCTTACCTTTCAATGTAAGTTAATATAAAGAGATTTTATTATAAGTGATATTAGAGCATTTCTATGGGTCCATTCATAATGAAATTTTTACACAACGTGAAGCACAGCTGGTGTGTTGAAACGATGTAGAAAAATAAAAATCGGCAAAAATGGAGATACATGGTTTTCTTTGGACAGCGACGATATTCAATATGAAATTCGAGGCTTGTTAATTTATTTTGTTTCTATATTTTGTAAAAAACTTTTGCATAAAAACAGTACAACACTCGTCTTCGGCTGGTCTCTGCAATCAAATCACAGCCGTGATGTTATTCGCGATAATGTCCTGTTACTTAAATATCGCTTGACTGAAAGTAAAACTGGTTGTCATGGAAATTATTTCATGCAGACAGAAAACATCCTAATTTATTTCATAAAACAGTTTAAAAAGCTGGTTGTCCCCAAACTTTTGATAGACAGTGTAGTCATTCATGTATTTATTGTTCAAAATCCACTGCCTTTGTCCATTGAGTTGAAGATATACTGGACCTAAAACATCTTTTGTTGCTTCAGTTTTACTATTTTGACTTAATTTTCTTCTCTTTTTGATATTTTTCACATCCCTCTTCACAGATCCCAGTCCAAAGGAGTGTGGCGATGAAGGTTGTGTCACTTCGAATGAAGAAACTCCAAACTATGATGAAGACACTGGAAATGATCCGAAAGTTGAAGACAGCTCAAGTACGGGCACGTCGGAAGGCCTGATCAATAACGCCTTCTCTGATGAACAAGGCCTTTCAGAAGATGTAGCTGATGAGAATCCCGTACCAGAGGACGCCCAGGCGCAGGACGGAGATGCAGCAACATCAGACTGGATGACAACGAGCAAGAAAACTGAATCTCATCCTGATGAGAATCGTAGCACTGAGGAGTTTGTGGAGCCTGAAGAAACTAAGAATGGTAACAGATTAGGTCTCATCACTGAAAAGCCTGAACATTTGTTTAGATTTTACGTTAGAATTCAGAAAGTCTCATTAAGTCTAGTCCGGCGGCTGTATAACAGAAAATTCTTATCTTTTTGTCTTAACCTAAGATCTGAAAGGTCAAGATAAGATTTTTCACAAATTCATATTACAGAAGCAAATCTGATCTTAATTTAACAATCTTATCTTTTCTTATCAAGTTAGGAAATTTAAACTTACTCGATTGAAGTCGACAATCAACTGTCGTGTCTGTTACCTAGCAATCGACCATATGCGCACAGCTGAAACACAAACACGTAATCAAGTTAGTTAGCCACACAGCTAATGTAGCTACCGTGAGGTAAAGAAAGTCAAACAAAACTAAAGCACAATAAACTGAAAGTTAAGAATATTGTGTCAGTGCCCCCTGCTGTTTATCAGAGCATTGCCGCTCCCCAGTTTCAGTCTCCATTTCCCAAACGCTTTAGCCGAGCTTGTAACAATAGAAGAACTCTTTTTGGTGCTATATAGAATACTTTTGAAAAAGGTTCCATATAGAACCATCTACAGCACATTCTCCACTAACCTGAAGAACACTTTTATGATGCAAAGAACCTTTTAATCATGCAAAAGTTTCTTTGAGTGTTCTATATAGAACAATTTTTTCTTTACTATATCTTTTTAAGTGTGTATTTGTAGATAACTGTAGATGCCTATGCCATTGATAAGGTATTGCTAGCCCATTTCTGTGGTATCCCAGGTGGTTACTAGGTTGTTGCTGTAGCGTTGCTGTGGTATCCCAGGTGGTTGCTAACGTGTTGCTAGCATACTTTTATGATGGTGACATAAGTTGACTGTCCAAAAACATGATGTTTCTTTCAATGGAAAACAAATCATGTTTGAACGAACACTGTACGAACACCATAAGTCAAGTCCGTTTCAAAAGGACAAGCTACATATTCAGATAAAAGCTCTGCATAGAATAGTAATAAGAAATTAAAGAACAGTAAATTGGCTCATATTATTAATTTTTCTTATAATTAAACTCCAAACAACAATTAAGAACTAAATGTTAAAGACTGAAATGAAACTTTAATACACTTTAATTTACTTAAGTAGATGTAAAAGTACTTGCATATACTAAAGTATTTTAAAATAATCAGAAAAATCCACATCTATCAAAATTACTAAAGTGAATGTAATTTTTTTACAAATATATCTGAGCAGAAATGAAAGTATTAGCATTTGAAAATAACCAGAAAAATAATACATCAAAAATGTACTTTAGTAAAAGGAACTGAGTAAATGGAGGTAGCTCCTACCTAACACTGCAAAACAAACAGCCTCAGTGTTTTATCATTGGCTTGGGAAGGGAAGTTTGAGTTTAAGTCTGTAAGCTTGTAATATTACAGTGGCCGGGGCTACTGATTACCAACCAGAGGGTAATAATTCAAGCTGAGGTGCCAGTGGAGACGCACTTTCTAAGGCAGGGGTGTCAAACTCAACCCCTAAAGGGGCCATATTAAAAAATCTCAGCAAATCTGTGAGCCAGAGAAAAAAATGTTTTTATTTCATTTTTAATGAATGTTGTGCTAGAACCTGAACTGGCCACTGTTTATTCAGAATATGCAAAAACTTCAGCAGTAAAATACAGGCACTTGTAGTAGGCCTTGAAATATTACATGAAATATTCCAAATTTAAACACCCCCAGGAACTCAGTCTTTTAAACCTACCTGTTTGCTTGAACTGGACACCTGACGTCCTTTCTTTGCTGCAGGTTCATTAATACAGGCTCAGTTTCTGAGCTGCTGAGCTGACATTAAGTGTTTATGTTGGTTGAACTGCAGCTGAAATGCATTTCGGTGATATGACTGGTTTGGAATTGTGTAGAATTCAGGTGTAACTGCTGTCCCATGGATTGTTGTTGGGGTAGGAGAGTCGGAGCACACATTATATTGCAGTGCATGCTGGGGACTGTAGTGCAGCGCATTGAATATTAATAGAAAATTAAAATATTTTTGCAGGCCAGAGAGGATTGTGTCAGGCCTTGTGTTTGACACATGGGTTCTAAGGTATCTTACCACAGAGCAAGCCTGAATGCCGAATCATCCCATTCCTTTTGCAAATATAAAATAAAGATGATTCTCCATTCTGCAGGATCAAATCCAGTTAAAGGGAATACAAGAAACTAGAAAGGGAAAGTTCATGAACAAACTTTAAGTTGGCTTGAAAAAGCCAGCTAATTACGTTAAAACGTTAAAATGGTGGAACACTGTTGATAGTTGTTGAAGTGTTGCTCAGATGTCCCTAGGCAGTTGCTACAGTTTCAAGGTGGGCAGTAATGTGTTGCTAGGTGCTGCCTTAAACTGGTACCTTAACAGCAGTGCCACATTAAATTCAGTGCTACTTTAAAGGCAGTGCCATCTTAAATTCAGTGCCATCTTAAATGCAGTGCCACCTTAAATTTACTGATAAGTTAAATTCACTGACAACTTAAATTCAGTGCTACTTTAAATGCAATTCCACCTTAAATTCAGTTCCACCTTACATTTACTGATACCTTAAATTCAGTGCCACCTTAAATTCGGTGCTGGTGTATGTGTTGTTTGTGTTGAGTGTCTGCGTGTGGTATGTTGAGTGTCTGTGTGTGGCGTGTTGAGTGTGTGTGTGTGTGTGTAGTCTAAGTGTGTATTCAATTCCATTGAAATATATGTATCTATGTTATTATAGCCTATGTTTATCTTACATGTTTTGTGTATATTTGTCTTTGGACAGGAGGAGATCTATATCAGTACGCAGCTTTTGTTGGTCAAGTCACATCCGACACCTTTGCGTATGTCATAAAGGAGAGTGCACACCTGATGGACGTCATTTATGAGGTAAGAGAAGAAAAACTTGAACGTGTTCTGCCCCTTTAAAAGGGAAATCCACTAACTTTTCAAAATTTCTGAATTCAGTCCTTGAGATGTAGACAGAGAGATTCAGAGTGGTTTGGTGTGAAATGGTTCAGATGTCTTTACAGGGGTGGTGATGGGAACCAGGGGTCGCCATGACTACAACACAAATATAGACATTTTATTTACTATCGAAAACCTCCAGTGAACCTACACGAGTCTTCTGAGTTTTATATGGAATGTTGATGATGGAAAAAAGTGGACAATCTGAAATAATAAGTTTTCTTTGGGGACTATTTTTGCTTTACATCAGGTAGTGAATTCATAACCATTTCATGTAGTAACTTTCTGTGAGGGAGCTTTTGAAAGTAAGATGTCTGGTTCCTATCACCACCACTGTGAACAATTCTGACGTTAGAATGGAGCATTTCACACCAAACCACTTTAAATGACCATGTGTATGTCTCAACCTCTGAATTAGTCACAAATTTTTGAAAAATTGGTGGAGTTCCCCTTTAAGCCACATAGCGCATTAGAGCGGACTCCAGCCTGTGGGTTTATAGTTTCTGTACACTTGACATGTCAGCATAGACATCTCGGAGAGGCAGTTCTGTAGCATGTCAGTTGCTGAGGTTTGTCATGGCCACGGAGGAAGATGAGAAAGTGAGTATGAACGATTTTTCGAGTAGAAAAGTTTAATGTGTCACTCAGAACAGGTTCTATAGGCTAATGCCCTGTTTATGGCCACGTATGGGTCTGATAGTGAAAGCACAGCTCAGTTCAAACCCTATTAGACACTTAAAAAACAAGACTGATCCAACAAGAATGATCAACTTAAACGATAGACTACGCTTTATTAATAAGTATTTGTATTTTTTTCAACATTTCTAATATTTCAGCTTTGTCACTTTAAAACTCCAAACTCTCTGACATTGTGGCGTTCTGTAATTGGGGCCGTGTGGAACGAACCATTTCATTTTTAGGGGTGAGAGGAATTCTACGTGTTCGTGCTTACTACAGAAGACGCCTGTTGTACGTTTTCTGGATTTATATTTTACACTAATTGCAAAACAACTAATTCAGGTCATGAATAAAAACAGGACGAAGCTTTATAACGGTAAGCTAATAGATATATAGTAAAAAGGAACCCCCCCGGGAGATGCAGTTGGTCCAGTCCAGTCCGCACAGTGCTTCGCCGCTATGGAGCGAACGCAGATTCACCGATAAATAAATAAATGAAAGTAATGTTATAGTCCTTAAAACGACATCTAACACATATTCAACAGGTTTTAACGATGGCAGAGGAGTTTAAGAGCGAGTCTGCTGTCACGGAGGCGAACGATATTGGAGGAACGGCGAGGATTTACTACAGTCTGGCGTTGGAGAAGATTAGAGATGTATGTGCCAAACTCTGAGCTAACAGGCTAACCGGCTAGCCGGCTGTCTCTGTTTACGTGTTTATGTTTACGCTTTTAGCTCGGAGGAGTCAGATAAACATCCACCGATGCGGCTTTAATCGTGTTTTATAGATTTCACGCTTTCTGTGGCTTCCTAACCTTTTATTTTGTCCACTACACCCTCGCTAATGTCTGAGCTTTGCTGTCTGTCCATACAGGTTGTCCTCTTGTCTTTTTGTAATGTAAACTACACACTTAGGAAGAAGATGGTTCTTCAAGGGTTCTTTAGTAAGGGCAGTGGTTCTGTTCACAGCCATGAGTTCTGTATAGAGCCATTTCTCTGCTGAGTGAAGTGGGTGTTCAGATTGATGAAGAACGGGTTGCATATGGGTCTATGTGGCACCAAAAAGGGTTCTGCTATTGTTGTGATGTCAAGCTTGTGACAATAAAAGAACCCTTTTGGTGCTGTATAGAACCATTTTCTAAAAGGCTCTGTATAGAACCATGTACAACACATTCTCCATCAACTTGAAGAAACATTTCACCATGTAGAGAACCACTTAAGTATGTACTTGGGTCTATATAGAACCAAAAAGGGTTCTGCTATTGTTATGATGTCAACCTTTTAAAAATAGAAGAACTCTTTTTGGTGCTATATAGAGACATTTTCAAAAAGGTTCTACATAGAACCATATACAACATAATCTCTATAAATCTGAAGAACTATTTTGTCATGCAGAGAACCATTTAAGCCTGAAATAGTTCTATATAAGATATGATAATCCTTTATTAGTCCCACAACTGGGGAAATTCACAATATAGAAGTCGTGGTTCTAAAAAAGAACTATTTTCCTTACTAAAGAACCCTTGAAGAACCATCTTTTTGAAGTGTGTAATTTACCAGCTGAGCCTTTAGTGAAGTAACTGATGTTCGTTCATCTTCTCGTCTGATGATGATTGTCCTGTTTATGCTGCTGTAAAGCTGAGGCTTGAACATATGCTGACTGGCCACTTTATCAGAAACACCTGCTGTGTAGCTTCACCTTGCTGGTGTACAGTTAGAGACTGTACACTCTTAATAAGATGGTTCTTTAATAAAGAAAACGGTTGTATGTAGAACTATGAACATTAAAGTGAAAGTGTTCTTCATATTGATGGAGAATCTTTTGCATATGGTTCTATATAGAACCTTTGTGAAAAAGGTTATATATAGCACCAAAAGGGGTTCTTCTATTGTTACAATGTCAAGCTTGTAACAATAGAAGAACCTTTTCAAAAGGTTCTGTATAACACCATCTAAAGCACATGACGAACCTTTTCATAATGCAAAAAAACCCTTTAATCATGCAAAGGGGTTCTTTGAGTGTTGATGATTCTACATAGAACCATTTTCTTTATAAAAGAACCCTTGAAGAACCGTCTTGACGTGTGTAGAGCAGAGGTGTCCAATCCTGTTCCTGGAGATCTACCATCCTGGAGAGTTCAGTTTCAGCTTGGAGCTTAATCAATAAATTACATCACAATATTGGATTTAGTGCAGCTCAGTGTGTAAATCATTGAACACAAATACAACCCCGTTTCCAAAAAAGTTGGGACGCTGTGCAGAATGTAAATAAAAATAGAATTCAGTGATGTGCAAATTGTGTAAACCATATTTTTAAAGAAAAATAGTACAAAGACAACATGTCAAACGTTATTGTTTTTTGAAAAATATTTGTCCGTTTTGAATTTGATGCCAACAACACTCTCCAAAAAAGTCGGGACGGGGGCCTGTTTACCACTGGGTTTCATCACCTCTTCTTTTAACAGCATTTTATTCTTCTTTTAACAATGTTATTCTTGAATTGTTGCACTATTTGATCGTGCAGTCTTTCACAGAGTGGTGAACCCCTCCTCATCTTTACTTCTGAAAGACTCCGCTTCTCTGAGATGCTCTGTTTATATCCAGTCATGTTACTGACCTGTTGCCAATCAACCACCAGGTGTTTTTTTTTAGCATCACACAACTTTACCAGCCTTTTGTTGCTGCCGTCCCAACTTTTTTGGAACGTGTTGTTGGCATCAAATTCAAAATGGGAATATCTTTTTCAAAAATTTCTCAGTTTCGACATTGGATATGTTGCCTTTGTACTATTTTAATTAAATATAGGGTTTAAATGATTTGCACATCATTGCATTTTGTTTTTATTTACATTTTGCACAGTGTCCAACTTTTTTGGGAATGGGTTTGTAATTAAATTCATAGTTTTTGAGAGTAGTTTTAAAATGTGGGCTTTGTCTGTTGTAACTTACCAGATGTCAGAAAATATGGTATGATGTTTTGTTTTAGCACACCTGGCTCTAATATTCAGATGCCCCTCAAGGCTGTCGTTACCTAGAGCAGGTGTGTGTGATTAGGGTTGCAGCTAAACTGTGCAGGGTGGTAGAGCTCTGGGACCAGGACTGAGCACCCCTGCTGTAGAGACTGTAGCACACACGTTAATAGCCATCCTCATGGCCGTTTTCTGACAATAGAGCTGCTCTTGGCTGGATATTTTTGGGTGGTGGTGCACTGCTGTGCTGACACTGGTCCATCAGCCAAATAATACCAGGTCAGCTGTGGTCCTACAGTGCATCAGATGGTCAGCCTACAGTTGCCCACCTCAGTGGAAGTACAAAGTAGGGGTTTCTAATGAAGTGGACGGTGAGCATATGCTGGCTGGAGTGACCCTGCAGTTGTATTTGTGTGTGTAATTTTATGTACATGTAACAAAGTTAGATGTGATCTGCTGTTGAAGGTTTCCGTCCGGTGTTGCAGAACAGTTTGGTTTTGTCTTCCTCTTTTCGTAAAGAAACTGACTCGATGTCTCTGTGGGTTTCTTGTCGTAGGTCGTGTCATCACTTCCTGATGATATTAGGCCAGGTCCTGACCTTTACGGCCTGCCATGGGAGGTCGTCCTGTTCACCGCATCGATAGGATTATTCATTGTACTTCTCTTCAGCTGCAGGTTCATCCACTCGGTAAGTAAAGGCAAATTCGGTGCAACTGACAGTTTCATGTAGTTGTTTCTGTGAATTCTAATAACAATGTAGGTTATATCATATGTATTTTGTATTATTATTATTATTATTATTATTATTATTATTATGTTGAATTATGGTGCCTGAAGGCTTTTTAGATTTTTTTATTATTTTAATTATTTATAAAAATAATAATAATTTTTATTTATATAGCACTTTTCATGCCAGTGGCAGCTCAAAGTGCTTTACAGACAGGTGATAAAGCTTAACAGTAAAACAAGAAATTATAAATATTAATTTAGAGTCATATAAGACAATAACGTGTATTATTATGTACTTTATTGAGCTGTTAAACAATAAATAATACACTGTAATTATCGGTTTGCAGTAATTGTTGTCAGCTTATCAGCCTCGAGACTTGATCACTTTTCAAATACGAGGCATTCTGGATGTTAAATCTATCACAGCTGCATTCTGGATGTTCTTTAGCTTTCTTGGTCATTTTGGCTCTTTTTTTCTTTTTTGGATCCATTTGGTCAGCAGTTCTAGATAACTTTATTAGGTTTATATTGTTGCTAGGCCGTTACTATGCCATCTCTGGTGGCTGATTAGATATTGCTAGACCGTTGTTGAGTGTGCCATGTACCCGGGCCCCGATGACAGCTGCAAGAGCCGGCGGGAAGGCAGGGCCCGAATCCTGAGCGCTGCCGAGGGACGTGAGTAATGGTGGGAGGAGGACGTCAGCCGCCAGAGAGGAGGGGGGTGACGATAGCCGCGAGACACGTGTCTCTCCGCCACCCAGGCCCTGCCTCCTATTCCACAGCGAGGCTGCTAGACTACACCTTACATTTGACCGCGGTGGCCACGTTGCGGAGCGGGGCCGTGATGGGGAGGCGGATCAACGAGCTCTGTCCCTCTCTGCGGTGTTTGGGATTCAGGCCCCGCCTTCCCACTCATTGCTCTCGTGGTTGTCATCAGGGCCTGTGGGATGGGTGCGTGGCACACCAAGGTATCCCAGGTGGTTGCTAGGTTGTTGCTAGGCCATTACTGTGGTATCCCAGGTGATTGCTAAGATGTTGATGGCACACTTGTGTGATGATGTGTCCAAAAAGTCGTTGTTTCATGTTGATCATTCCCCTTTCATTCCTACAGCAAAGAACTGTATTTGAACAAGCGCTGTATGATCACCGTTTGTCCAATTGGTTAAAAAAGGAAAAGCAGTCTATTCGGGGACAATTTGGAGCCTTCTACAGCTCTGTTCATCATTCTGGACACAACATTTTTTCATTTTTTGCAGATTCCTACAGATTATGAAGCTATGAAATCACACGAGCACACTTAATTCATTTTATACATTTATTTTATGCTGTACTTTATTTGAACCCACATTGGTTTCATATAGTTAAAAACTGTAATTCCAAACTTTAGAACTGTACATATAATACTGGCCTTCTGCAAACACCCTCTGTAAAATACAGAAAACGTGGAGAGACTCTTTCAGTTATTCTGCTTCTAAACTGTGGAGCTCAGTTCACCTTTTATTAGACAGTCAAGCTCAGAGCTCACTTTTAATAAACAACTGAAGACGCAGCTCTTTAACTCAGCGCTTCATTAAAACTCTATGACTCTTTGGTCTTTATCTCTTTGATCTGTGTCACTGTTTTATATATTTTTAAATTAATACTCATAGTTTCTTCTTTTACTGTTAAGCTTTGCCACCTGTCTGTAAAGCACTTAGAGTTGCCACAGGCATGAAAAGTGCTTTGTAAATAAAGCTGTTATTATTATTATTATTATTATTATTATATTAGATTCAACAAAATACAGGTACAGAGCCAATGAAGTGCAGTTAGCATCTAACCAGAAGTAAAAAATACAGTATTATTTACATATAAAGTGCAGAAGGACGGTATAGTTGTTAACAAAATTACAGAAATGCAAGTATAAATATAATACAAATATATACAGAGTGAGTGGAGATCGTAAATATAGATAGTACTTCCTGTGAGAGCAGTATATGTAAAAGATAAGTGTGCAGAGTAAACTTGTATAGTAACTGTCTGTGCAAATGTGAATAGTGTAATAATACTAGGACAAGTACAACAATAATAATAAATTATTATTATTATTACTATTATTATTATTATTATTATGTATCATACTAATGTCAGTCGATTGTGACTCATTTTCTTTTTTTCCCTCTACAGATTAAAAGCAGACTATATGCAAGTGAGTTCTTTTCTTTATCTTCGATCTTTTACTGATTATCCAGTCAGCAGCTCATACAGAACGCATTCACTCATCCCTTTCTCTCATTATGTTCTAGGCAAAGAGAGGAGAATGGGACAGAAAGTGGCGGAGCTTCTGGAGGAGAAGTGTAAAGTGCTGGAGACACTGAGCGAGTGCAAACACAAGGTGGGTTGAGCTGTAGTAGAGAGTTTTAACTCGTCTGTGCAGGTACATATTGTTTGAAGTGCTAGTTTGGTGAAAATCAAATGTGCAGTCAAAGCTGGAAACTTCCACTCTTTTTCGATATGTAACATACTTTATTCCAGGTTTCTCAAACTTTCTGCATAACTCAGTGTGTGAGATGTAAACAGAGTGATTCAGAGTGGTTTGGTGTGAAATGGTTCAGATTCTTTACAGTGGTGGTGATAGGAACCAGGGGTCGCCATGACTACAACACAAATATAGACATTTTATTTACTATCCAGAACCACCAGTGAACCTACACGAGTCTTCTGAGTTTATATGGGATGTTGATGATGGAAAATAGTGGAAAATCTGAAATAATAAGTTTTTTGGGGACATGGTAAAGCTCCTTTGTGACAACACCTGTTGTAAAAAGCGCTATATAAATAAACTTTGCTTGCTTGCTTGCTACTATTTTGCCTCACAACACCCTGCATGTATTCCTCCACCATTAATGGACATCAGACAGTGAATTCTTAACCATTTCATGTAATAACGTTCTGTGAGGGAGCTTTTAGAGGTGGACGTCTGGTTCCTATCACCACCACTGTGAACAGTTCTGAAAATAAAATGATTTCGGCCAAGCCTTTAAATAAAGCATCTGTAAGGGACTTAAGAGAGTAATGGTGTGGATCTTTGTCTCAACAGTTTGAGAAGCTGGAAACCGCATTACAAAATGGAGGAGTTTCAGCTCAAGAAGCAGAGAGAGAAAATTTAGAGGTAAAATGGTCATTTCAGTAAACTACATCAATTTTATTGTGCATTCACATGTTGCTGTTTCATTGATGTATCACATAGTGGAGGGCAATGTGACAGTATTTTGACATGTTTTGATAAATTCTCTCACAATACACCACAACTTGCCTTTCCGACCATATTGTACATATCAGCAGTATTTAAAGAACATTAACCAACTGCATGTGTTGTTATAAAATGATTTAATTGGTCTGTTTAATTGGATTTAGTGCTGCAAAGTATGTGAAACATTTAATGTAAATATTTACACCGGTCAGGCATAACATTGTGACCACCTCCTTGTTTCTATGCTCATTGTCCACTTTATCAGCTCCACTTACTATATAGGAGCACTTTGTAGTTCTACAGTTACAGACTGTAGTCCATCTGTTTCTCTGATACTTTGTTAGCCCCCTTTTACCCTGTTCTTCAGTGGTCAGGACCCCCATGGACCCTCACAGAGCAGGTACTATTTGGGTGGTGGATCATTCTCAGCACTGCAGTAACACTGACGTGGTGGTGGTGTGTTAGTGTGTGTTATGCTGGTACGAGTGGATCAGACACAGCAGTGCTGCTGGAGTTTTTGAACACTGTGTCCACTCACTGTCCACTCTATTAGACACTCCTACCTCATCAGTCCACTTTATAGATGTACAGTCAGAGACGATAGCTCATCTGCTGCTGCACAGTTTGTGTTGGTCATCCTCTAGTCCTTCATCAGTGGTCACAGGACACTGTTGGCTGGATATTTTTGGTTGGTGGACTATTCTCAGTCCAGCAGTGACACTGAGGTGTTTAAAAACTCCAGCAGCACTGCTGTGTCTGATCCACTCAGACAAGCACAACACACAGTAACACACCACCACCACGTCAGTGTTACTGCAGTGCTGAGAATGACCCACCACCCAAATAGTACCTGCTCTGTGAGGGTCCATGGGGGTCCTGACCACTGAAGAACAGGGTAAAAGGGGGGCTAACAAAGTATGCAGAGAAACAGATGGACTACAGTCTGTAACTGTAGAACTACAAAGTGCACCTATATAGTAAGTGGAGCTGATAAAATGGACAATGAGCGTAGAAACAAGGAGGTGGTCAGAATGTTGTGTCTGATCGGTGTATATTTATTTATTTATATATAGTACTTATTTATTTTTTATTTTCCTGCCAAACCCCCTTTGAAAGACCTATGTTACTTTGTTATTAATAATACATATTTCAAAATCTGTGAGGTTATAAGGAAAGAAATATTAACAATAACAGCAACAAAAATAAATTTTAAACAAAAAATATAATAATAAAATAATTGTGCATACATATTTGACATTTAACACTCATGCATAAGGCAATACAAACTTTATAGATGATAACTATTTAAAATGCTCATTGTTTTTTATTGTATTTTTTAAAATGTGACACTACTGGGGCATCCTGACTGTTCCAACATGTCAAACCTCAGAAAAACTGAATAGTGTGATAAACTGTGTATTAGGAAAAATATCTTAAAAGTATTGTAATGTTATATTTTTGCCGTATCGCCCACACCCAGGGTAACATTGTTTGCTTTCTCTTTGTAAATATATGCTTAAGCTTATACACTGTAAATAATATCATTACCGCCTTGTTCCATGAAGGTAATGTCTAAGAAGCTTGAGCAGTCGAACGCAGAGATGAAAAGCGACATAGAGAGGCTGCAGGAGGAGCTGGAGAACCAGAGCAAACTCAGAAAACAACAAGAAGAGCAGGTGCTGTAGCTGCTTCAGCTGGGCTGTAATAAAATATCAGAAATAAGAGGTTCAGTGTTGATGAACTTCAGTGAGATCTGTTTGGGCTTTTTGACTAACAGGTCTGTTGTGTATGTTGCAGCTTGCAGAACTGGAAGAGACTTTAAAAAGCCTAGAAGATGAAGCTAAAGAACACAAGTCACAGTTAGAGCAGGTAATGACTGTGTATGACATGCACACTTGAAAGAGTTTATCATTCTACTATGTTAATGTGATCACACAGCGCATAATACCACTGATATCTTTATGTCGCAGGATAAGACGACACTGAAAATCCATGAGATGAACAGTGAGAGGCTGCAGAAGAAACTGCAGGCGGCCAAAGAGGAGAACACGATGCTGCTGGAGAGCAAAGCTCAGGTACGGTTCTCACACAGAGTAATATGAAATAAAAGTGTCTTTGTATGAGAATTCAATTCAACTTTGTCAGTACACGTACACTATATAGACGGAAAGTATTGGGACACCCTCCTAATTGAGTTCAGATGTTTCAGCCACACCCATTGCTAACAGGTGGATAAAATTAAGCACATAGTCTTGCAGAAAGACAAACACTGGCAGTAGAACGGGTCGTACTGATGAGAAGCACATCACCACTGGACTCTGGAGCAGTGGAAACCTATTCTGTGGAGTGATGAATCAGCTTCTCTATCTGTCAGTCTGATGGAGAGTCTGGGTTTGGCGAATGCCAGGAGAACGTTACCTGCCTGACTGCACTGTGCCAGCTGTAGAGTTTGGTGGAGGAGGGATGATGATATGGTGTTGTTTTCAGGGGTTGGTCTAGAATCCTTAGTTCCAGTGAAGGGGAATCTTAATGCTTCAGCACCAAGACATTCTGGACAATTGTACGATTCCAGCTTTGTGGAACAGTTTGGGGAAAAAACCTTTCCTGTTCCAGCATAACTGAGCCCCGGTGCAGAAAGCAGCTCCATAAAGTCATGACTGGGTGAGTTTGGAGTGGAAGAACTTGACTGACCCTCACAGAGCCCTGACCTCAACCCCATCACACACCTTTGGGATGAACTAGAATGGAGGTTGTGAGCCAGACTCTCTCATCCAACATCAGTGTCTGACCTCACAAATGCTCTTCTGGATGAATGGGCAGAAATTCCCACAGACTCTCTCCAACATCTCGTAGAAGCTTCCCAGAAGAATGGAAGCTGTTAGAGCTGCAAAGGGGGACCAACTCCATATTAATGCCTATGGCTTTAGAATGGGATTCATAAAAGCTCCTGTAGGTGTCCCAATACTTTTGTCCATATAGTGTATAAGGGTGTTCGGTATAACGAAACACGTTCAGGCTGCTTCTCTGGTGCATAAACATTAAGACAAGGACATGAGTGCACATGATAGTTGAATGACAGACAGTGTGTTTTCACAAAAAGTAGGAAAAACAATAAATAGACATACAATAAACAGACAATAGACATTAAATAATAAACTAAAGATAAATAAGTGTTCTGGTTCATAGAAAGTGCATACGTGTGCAAAATATGTGCAGCATTTTTCAGAGGTAGTTAAAAATGTGCAAAATATGTGTGGCATTTTTATGAGGTACACACTTAAAAATGATGGTTTTTCAAGGGTTCTTTAGTAAAGAAAATGGTTCTATATAGAACCGTGATGGATTCGGATCACTGCTTCACACTTTACATAAAACTCAAAGTGAGAATAATCATCATTTTTAAAGGCTACTCGTTCAGAACAGTGAAGAATCGAGAATTGGTTGAACCTGTCGGGCTTCTAACGCTACACTGTGTTCCTATCACTCTGGTGCTGCATATGTGAACCATTTTAATCCACCCTTGATTGTGTTTATCGCGGTAACAGTTAAAATGGTTTATCGCCCAACCCTATTATTTGGTAAGCTGTGTAAATTCATAAGTAGTCCTATCTAGTTACCTCAGTTGGTAGTTTTCTTGTAATTCTACCAATTTCTAGCAATTGTACCGTCGTATGCAAGGTTTGGGCGCCCCGGTCAAATTCCATGTGTTGTTGATTCTGCACAGTTACAGTTTATTTGCTCTTAAGTATTGTGATATTACATTTTGCCATTATCAGTATCAGCTCTACGCTAAAGTTTGCAGAAAATGAATCTTTACTGTAGAGATTGTGTTAACTTTTTCACTTGGAAAGCAACAAAACGTGTAATTTGACCAGGGGTGCCCAAATGTTTATATGTGACTGTATATCTGATTTCATCGCCCTATGGCCAAGCCCTGCTACAGTGCTTAAATATGTAGTATTATCATGTACAGCTATGGATGATGTGGTGCTACCATGTTTGACTGTATTGTATTGTTGTACATTGTATTGTGTTAGATTACGTCATTAGGAAGTCCACATCTCCATGTTGGTAGGTGAGCTGTAACTCTGACTGTGCTCTGATGGAGCTCGTCTCATCACCGTTACTGCAGATACAGCCCTGCAGGAGAATAAACACCAACAAAACAGACAAAAAGATTTAAAGACATGTAGACGCTTTAGATGCGTCTCCAGAAAACACTACAAGGAGAAAATCAGTTCGATTGGTGGATCCATATAACCTGCACATCTCCAGAGTTCAGAACATTCCAGTGTGTAATATTTTATAAAAATTAATAAAAGTGGCACCAAAACTGCCAAAGCTCTTAAATAATTTAAATCTTACATAAATATAAAGCTGCAGTCAGCTGCTTATTTGCCAGCTTCTCATTTGAATTTTCCGTTCCACCTTAAATGGTGTTGCAGTAACACTGAGGCACCTTAAACTTAAAACGAATTTCAACACTTGGCGTATACGAAGCCAACATCAGCTTTAATCAATAAATACATTACTTTACCTCAATAAGTGATCCTTAATCCACAAATACCTCAAATTTTTGCTTAACTTGTTTCTGAGCAGCACAGTGAAGCTATAATCAGCCACTGGAGCTGCTGACTCTCTCACTGGCTGATCTAACGCCGCGTCCCAAACCACACATTTCTGTACTTCGCCTACTACTCTAATGAGTGCACTTCTAATGGCATATACATTATTTTAGTATACTATTTAGTGCACTAGCGTGCGGTTTGGAACGTGAAAATAATAACTCAGCGTGGAATCTCAGCTGTTTAGATTTTAGCTTCCATTTGTCGTCACCACAACCGTAAATCAAATAAAATCAAGTCAATACACCTAAATACACTGGTTAATGTGCTTTAAAATTTAAAAAGGTTTTAAATGTGTTTTACTGCTCCAAAATGGTGGCAGCACGACTGTGTGTGACGTCATCGGAATACTATCAATTGTAATAATACTGTGTTGTATCACTGTAATACTGTATTATAATGTTGTGTACTGTATTGTATCGTGTTGTATTGAATTATATTGCTGTATACTGTATTGTTTGTTTCCTCCCGTGCAGCTGGTGCAGGAGGCGGAGGGCTGGGGCGAGCGGCTGAGTGAGTTAGAGGAGGAGATGAGGATGTGTGAGAGATCACACGCCGGCATGGTGGAGGACTGCACGAACAAAGATGAGCGCATCAAGGTACACAACTACATCAGTGTTTCACACAGTGGCTCAGCAGCACCGAAGGGGTTTGAAAATAAGAGTAGTTGTACATTTAACACTGTAAAATAAATGAAACTTATAAAGACTGTCTGCCATGGATGAAAAACAGATTTGTACAGGAGTTTGATGATTTGTGACAGTAGCTCCCCATCTTTCTTTCTCCCTCACTCCGTCATATCTCCTCTCAGTCATTAACAGACTGCCTGTTGAAGATGAAGGACTGGGATTCGGAGGAAGAAGGCAGTGTGGACAGCAGCAGCGACGCCGCTGGATCAGAGAAAGGAAGCCCTGCAGGTACAAATCCCAGTCCTCCAGAATAAAATCCTCATTTTCATTGTTATTTTGATTTATTTGTGTTATTTTTATGTGCTAAATATGTGTTTTTGAGTCTGAATTCGCTGCGCTTTGTTCTCGCAGATCTCCGTCAGAAGCAGAAAGTGCAGAAGCTCATTCACGCAGCTAAGGTAGACCCTCCCAATCAGGTTGAGGTTTGTGAGTAGTGGTGGTCTTTCTGAATGGTGCAGGTGTTCACATGTTCTCTTCTTCTCCACAGTTGAGTGCAGACCTGAAGGCCATGGAGGAGGATAAAGGCAGAGTTGTTGCCAAACTTGCAGATGAGATTAAAGCCAAAGAAGATCTACAAGGTAGGCAGTTTGCAAAGGATGGATATAATCAGTTTATATCCTGGGAAAAAAAATAAATAAATATGTTGAGAAGAGAGACACTATTGTACGGAGCCGTGGTAAAAAAAAAAATGACATTGCGTTCAATGTAAAATGCAAAATATATGCTTGTCAGACAGCACGCAAATGTAGGACCAGAGGTGCCCAATGACGTTGCCTACGTTAGAGCTTTGTTTTTAGCATAGCTAACAATAAAAGCAGTTTTCCCAGCATCACCAGTCTGTGCTGAGTTTACTGTACGAGGACTCTCCACCACAGTTTCAGTTTACGCTCACTAATAGCAGAATCATGTTTGATTTTGAGAAGCGACACTGTGTCTTTATATTTCAATCCAGGATCAATGTAAAATTCAATGAGCTGCTCCACCTCTGAGCTTAAGCAAAGCACAGCTTTTGCAAGCGAATGCAAACCGTTTGCATCGTAATGCAGAACATTTGCGAGGGAACGGAATATCATGAACCTTTTTTATTTAGTTATTTATAAAACCATGGTCCCTTATGGGCTCCGTACTATTGCTACTGCAGTATTACATTTTTTTTTCTATTGAGAACAAATTGACAGCATTTTTATGAACTTTTTAAGCATGGTCGGCTACAATTTATGATGACACATCACACACCCAAGTTTTTTTTTAATTGGTTGGACTACTTTATGTTGTCGCTGTCCAAAAAAAAATTAAAACCATGTATCTCCATTTGTGGTGATTCTTCTATGAAAAATAATAATAATAAGAATTAATATTTATACGCACCTTTCATACATTTAAAAATGCAGCTCAAAGTGCCTCACAATACAAAGTAAAAACAACATAGGAAGAAGAGAAAAAAGTTAATCAGAAATGAAAAAAAAGAAAAAACAATTAATAAATAGCAGAAAAGGGATATATTAATAATTACAATGAAAAAGCACAATATAAAAGTATAAAAAAAGAAAAAGTACAACAAAAATGCAACTAACCAGAAAATAAAGGTCATAGTAATATTCCAGTAAAAATAAAAGAAACAATAAAAAACTAGTTAAACGCTCAAGTAAAGAAATGTTTTTAACTGTTTTTTAAAAACTTTTACAGAAGGAGACGAATGTTTGTTTGCCTCATACGTGGAATATGGAGCAGGTTTGCATTAAATGATCTTAAAGCTGGATTTGGAACATTTATCTGTCAGCACTCAGAAATGTATGAAGGTGCTAAACCAGGGGTTCTCAGCCTTTTCCACCCCAAGGCCCACCTGTTTGTATCTGTTAAGCATAGCGGCCGTCAAAAAACTAAAATCAACTTTTTTTCTATAGTTAATTGCTCGCACTGAAAACCTGTGATTTGGCGCATGGAAAGATCAGATCGTCGATTTTACTTCAATCACAGAAACCAAAATTTGTAGTTATGTTAAACATTTACAGAGATGTCAGAAAAGGAGAAAAAGAAAAAAAAGGTAGATGTAGATGTGGACTGTGATTTGGAGCTGCAGTCCATCACATTTTCACTGCAAACACCCTTGTGGCTCCCACAGGAGTCACTGTTTGGTCTGGAGTCTTAGTTTTGAGGGTTTTAGCGCCTCGTTTGAAATAAACCTCACTCCGCTCAGTGGGCTTTTTGATTAGCGTCATCACAATCAACAGTAATAATAATAATAATCCTTACTTGATCTCTGCTTCTTTCTCAGTAGTTTATCAATTTGAGTTTAACTCGGGTCGCAGATGCTCTTCCAGAAATCAAACACAGATCTTCGCTATTATTGTAAGGCTCGTCTGTCGTTTTTAACAGCAGATCGAGCTGCAGAAATGATATGAGAGCAGTGACAGAGGTTCAAACAGGCAGATTATACTGAAATGCGTCCCACCAGCAGTGAACTCAACAGGGTTCGGTTGGAAGCGGATCGAGATCCACAGGTTTTGCCGAACCTGATGACGTTTAATTCAGCCTGCGACTGTAATATTTTATTTATACATCTTTACCAGCCCACTACGAACAACTGTCTCCCTGAGAACAGGCCCACGGACCACTAGAAGGTGCTTCACGGCCCACTGGTGGTCTGCGGCCCACAGGTTGAGAAACCCTGTGCTAAACTCCTAAGAGATTTGAAAACTAGTAGTAAAATTTTATAGTCGATTCTAAAAGAGACGGGCAGCCAGTGGAGTGAAACTGGTCTAATTTGATCCTGATTGCACAACAGAGCATTACAGTAGTCAAGTCGAGAAAATGCAAAAGCAAAAGGATCAATTTCTGAGCATCTTCCAGACTGAGATGAGGTCGAACTCGTGCTATATCCCTTAAATGATGAAAAGCAGTTTTGGTAATATTGGTAATATGTGCTTTAAAAGTTAAATCAGAGTCTAGAGTTACACCAAGATAGTGGTTGAATGATTTGTGAACTTGAGTATGCAGCCCTAGTGATGTGGAGTATTTTGCGCTCAGATTTGTTCTGTATTTGTTTTTTAGATGGTATTGAGCAGATGCAGAAGGAGAAAGAGTCTCTGGAGTCAGAGAGCTCCATGTACTCCAGTGAGATCCAGAAACTGCAGCAGAAACTGCAGATCATGACGGAGATGTACCAGGAGAACGAACTCAAACTGCACAGGTTACAGCAACAACGTTCATTATTCCTCCACAGCGTAATGCTCAGATCTGTTCTGGGATAGAGGGGGTCTTTTACTGAATGCACTTCAGTACAAAACCACTTTTCAGTAACTTTATCTGTTTGGACAAGGCCACATGTTAGTGATGTATGGTAAGATAATGTCCAGGAGTCGTGTTACAGAAACCTCCTCTCTTTTTGACTTAACTTAGGATCTGACAGGTCAAGGTAAGGGTTTCACAAATTTGTAGTACAGAAGTAAATCTAATCTTAATTTAGGAATTTTATCTTATCTTAAAGCATCTTATTTCCAGTTAGGAAATCTAAACCTACTCGATCGGAGTGGACAATCAATTGCAATGTCTGTTGCCTTCCAATCGACCACACACACACACACGCGCGCACACACAGCTGAAACATAAACACGCAATCAAAATAATCAAGTTAGTTATCCAGACAGCTGCTGTTACTGATGTAAAAAAGGTCGAAAGGAACTAAAGTGTGATAAACTGTAAGTAGTGAATACAGTGAGAGCGCCCCCTGCTGTTTATCAGAGTGTCACCGCTCCCCAGTTTCAGTCTCCAAACGCTTTAGCCGAGCGCGCTAACGTTACTCCTCCTAATAAACAGACACACGTTCAGCTCCGTCTCCTCATTATTCACCACCATCACTGTAATATTTCATCATCAACATTAACACACGAAGGTGATCAGAGGGGCGGTGGAGATCGAGTCTGCAGCGTCTGAGATCTTTAAAACGCAGAGTTAGAAAAGAAAATCATCTCACAGTGAAAGCAGCGTTTTACAGTAGAGATAAATGGAGCTCATTATGCTGGTAGTGAACTATGCTGCTGACTCAGCTGCCTAAAAACCATAGAAACGGACCTTAAACAGAAGTGAGGACCCTGTTGGGGTTCATCCTAAAGTTAGGACAGGATTTAGGAGGTTTAGTCTAGTTAGGATGTTTGTGTGATGCTGTTTTCTTATCTGGAGTTCATGATGAGATTATGAAGTTAGGAACTGTTATTCTGGAACAGCTACTGTCCAAAATTCAGTCCGTACTGAAGTCGTCATGGAGACTAAACGGATCAGATTTCAGAGTTAAGAAGTTTCTGTAATACGACCCCAGAACAATAAAGAATACTAAATACTATACATTCTCTATAAAATATCAAGTTTTCTCTCTCAGAGACATAATTAATGTCTGAAGTTAGCTTTGTGGGATGTCAGCTTCCATTATTCACTAAAACTAAAGAAGCAAACTTCAGACACCAATCATGTCTTGGCTGATTGACTACATTAAGGCAGTGTGTGTGTGTGTGTTTGGGGGCAGGGGTCTTGTAGGATAAGATTATTTCCTAAATTTGGGCTGGGCAATATGACAATATATATCGTTATCATGATAAATTATGTCACAATAAAATCCATTATGCTTTTCTGAACATGTGGTGTTTATCATCAGTACGTGTAGAGCACTCAACAACTGCGTGTTTCATTATAGACAGATCAAAATTAGTCCCATTTAATTGGATTTAGAGCCAAATATTGAATAAAAATCATTGTGTCCACTGTTCTTGATATTATTTTTATTTTTTGATAGTATTTTTCTCAGTTCCAACTAATCGGATGTCTGAAAAAATAAATATTGTAATATACTGTGTATCGTCCCTGATAGCAAGAGGATAGTGGGCCAGCGTTGGCCCGCTGATGACGAAGCTGGCGGTCCACTGGTGTTTTGCTCAGCATTTTCTGGACGACCCATTGGTGGTTAAGCAGAGAATTAGACAAAATTCCACTTATCATCACTCATTTTTCACTCACAGTTCAATTTACTGATTTTTCTTTCCTTCTCTTCTTTAGTTATACTTTGTAATTTTAATCTAGCACAGTGTCAGCTACAACATTTACTATAAAATCATTTTAAATCAGGCCTAGTAATTTAGTTTTTTTCTCTCAGTTGTTTGTAATATTTGCCTTAGTTTATTTTCTAAAATAAAAGTCTCATTTAAAATCTTTTGGAGGAGAATAAAAACTAGTTAAAGCTTGTTTGCAGGACAGTAATCTGGGTGGTCTGAGGGTGGACCAGCAGTGGCAAACAGTCAGTGGGGTGCCGACCTTATCAAGCCAGTGGACCGATATATGCTGCTGTCTGGGGTGAAGATTTCTTAAAGTATCACAGTGTTATATTTTTGCCGTATCACCCACCTCTATCCCAAACTATCAGTTTAATTCTCCAAAACTGATCAGATGCACTACCAGCTACTGCAGCTAACTTTATCTCCAGGATGTAATCTGAAATGGATCCACTGAAGGTGCAGGACTGGTGGGATATTATCAATGGGCTGAAATGTTCGTGTGCTTCTGTGTTTAGGATGTTAACAGTGGAGGAGCGGGAACGCTCACAGAAAGAGGAGAAGCTCACCAAGGCTGGCAAAAAGATCAGCCTGGCTGCCGAGGAGCTAAACAATTACAGGTTAGAACTGCACGTACAAGCTCACCCTGAAAGACTTGATAAAACAGTTTTTTATAGACGTGTCCAGCATGGGATACAAAACGCACATTCTGGGAATTTGAGATGCCACTTTATGACTATATTTGTGTAGTATTAGGTAGTCAAATTCCTTTTGGCCCAAGACTTTTTTTCTTAAGCCAGGTATACACTGATTTTAGAAATCTTGTTCTTTGGTGACTCACACTGCGCGTTTGAATCGCCCATCGTGTTCGGCCAAAGCCTGTGATTTATATACTCACACTGTACGAAAACACTCGGTCCGACTGACATGACGTGACATAGGTGCTCACACTGTTTGTGAAACGCAGCCCCTACAGACGCTCTGTCTACAATACAGCTGTTTCATTCAAAACACGCTGCGCTTCCGATGTCCTGATCAAAACACTGGCTGTATCTCAGACGGCTCCCTGCTCCCTACGTAGTGCACCACATATTAAAATAGTGGCTCCTGCACCCATACAGTGCATCACATGTCTAATAAATAGCCCTCTGAGATTCAGCCATGTGTACACAGTTCCATACTGGACTAACAGGGCACTATTTTGGTGTCAAATCCAGATTCAGCCGTTGACAAACTGCTACAACAGCTTTGCTAACTTGTGCCACACTGTGTGCCGAAGCTGAAGAGCAGGCGGCTCTACAGACAGACAGCTCTACAAAGACAAAAAAAACACTGTATTCATTTATACCTTGCAATTCAACTCAAGCCAAACGGAGCAAAGTCGTCATATATGGACGCTGGTGCCGCAGGTGTGGACCTTTTCGCCTCTGTGCAGGAACGGTGGTGGGGATTGTGTGTGGTTTTGGGTGTGACTTTGAGGAATCGGTTTGTGAGGCGGCTCAGACTGAGAGAAAAGCGACCAAAATTTCTGACACGTCAGAAATCCGTCCGATCGTCCGACTGCTCAGTCGGAGCTCGTTTGGGCAGTTAATCGGGCATTGTTTCCCCTCTCACACTACATGGCAAACGATGGCCGATGAAGCTGAAATTCGGCCTGATCATGAAATTCAGTCAGTTCTCACCAAAAATACGGGCTAAAATCACACAGTGTGCACCTGGCTTTAGGAGAGCTCTTGGTGCTAAATGTATTTAAAGATTTGGATTCAAACTAGTTTAATGATTGGTAGGCAAACCATCCTTAGGAGGTGGAAGGAAGCAGGTCCTCCTTCATTTCAAGAATGGGTTAGCGGCATGTAAAAAAATGATCATTTCAATTGTTTGGGCGTTTAGAGATGTACAGACGCGAATAGGGGCAAATATTTAAGACTTATAGAGAGTTCTTAAAGTGATAACTAATTTTCCTGCTGTTACTCAGACAAAGAGCTAAAGAACTGGAGGAGGAGCTGGAGAGGACCAACCAGGCCTACAAAAACCAGGTGGGCTTTAATTACATGTAAATTAGCAGAACATGCTTCTGAATATATGATGGGTGTGATCAGTGATTCAGCTGCATGGATCATAAATATACATCATAAAATATAGAGAGGCTGTGAACATCAACAACCAGCGTACAGTAACTGTATAAACGGCATAATAACAGTTAATTTTTTTTATATTTAATTTTTTATTATTATTATTTTTTTTATTTATTCAGTTGTTTGATTTTTCTTCCTATTCCTTGCTAAATAGTTCCCTTTTTTGAATGTGACGCTGCTGTTTTGCTGGTGCATTTTGCCTGTTCTAACTCAGAAAGACTATGGTTTGTGGGTGTTGCGAGGTTGTTTCCTGCAAAATCTAACTGAACCTAGATCTTGTTAGCTAACGTTTAAGTACTTAATGCTTTGTCACGTAGTACACATCATTAAGCTAGTATTTTCTGATGTTGATTGAGGTAAAATTGGTCAGAATCGGGTTTTCGGGAGCAGAGGTCGTTGATTATAACTTGCGGTCAATATCAGTGACTTCAGTATAAATAAGAACCTCTGATCAATAATCTTCCCACTTGGATTTTGGAGGTGCAAGAGCTGTTTATTAATACAGTCATATCACTCTACATGGAAAACACTTAAGTATGACATTTTTCTACACATTTTAGTACACAGCTTTTATTTATTTACTAAGTTTAACATACTGGAATAAATAAAATGGAAAAGTATGTAAATTGTGCACAAGCAGCATTTTATGTTATCAGTTATTTAAGCTGACTGCAATCAGTTTCCCCAGTCATTAGATTTCACAAGAAACCTTTTACAATGTAACGAAAAAAAGATGGTTCTTTAAGGGTTCCTTAGTAAAGAAAATGGTTCCACATAGATCCGTGAACACTCACAGAACCCTTTGCATAATTAAGTGGTTCTTTACATTGTAAAAGCGTTCTTTAGATTGATGGAGAACCTTTTTGAAAAGAGTTCTACATAGCACCAAAAAGCGTTCTTCTATCGTTACAAGTTTGACATCATATCAATAGAAGAACACTTTTGGGTGCTACATAAAACCCTCATCAAAAAGGATCCAAATAGAACCACATACAACACATTCTCCATCAATCTGAAGAACCATTTAACAGTGCAAAGAACCCTTTAATCATGCAAAGCATGGAACCATTTTCTTCACTAAAGAACCCTTAAAGAACGATCTTTTTGGTGCTTTGGTTCAAGTATGCAGCTCTTTAGCATTGTTTACCAGAGTTTCTCTTTTTCCCTTTTTTTCCCAGATTGCTTCACATGAGAAGAAGGCTCATGATAACTGGGTGAGTGGTTCTGTCGTCTCCGTCCACAGCGTGTTAGAGATGTTCACCGTAGGATGTTGTTCTCATTCTGTGCTGGTGTTTTTGTAGCTGGCTGCTCGGGCTGCAGACAGAGACCTCGCCGATGTGAAGAGAGAAAACTCTCTGCTCCGACAGCGGTGAGTGCAGAGAGCTGATCCCCTACGAGAGATTAAAAACATGATGATTAATCAACAACACCTCATCTAACAGTGTATATTGTACATATGAACTTTGTAATGGTACACAGCTTTAAAACTTACAAAGTGAGTAGATGTTATAACATATTATAAAATATTAAATGTGCCATAACTTTTTAAGTGTGTTAACATATTTCTTTGTTTACACACACACACATATATATATATATACACACGTGTTTATATATATATATGTGTGTGTGTGTGTGTGTGTGTGTTTATATATATATATTTGTTTATATATATATATAATTGCTGTTGTCAGAAGAAAACCTCTAAAATGTGAACTTTACAGGAAAAGGATAAAACATACTCTACTTTTAATGTAAGTCAATGGAACCAGACTTTTTTCCAAGTATATTTTGGGTCATTTCTCTTAGTCCATTCATAGTGAAATGTACACACAATGTAAAGGACAACGGGAGCTTTCAAATTCTGTCAAAAGCTGAAAAACGACAAAAGTGGAGATACAAAGTTTTGTTCTGACAGCAGCGATTATGCATATATAATAAGTAAAAAATAGAACATTATGTTATGTTATTATATTACGGTTATATTTTATAACTTTAGAACTTAAGAGTGGTTTTGGCTCTCTCCTGTATAGTTACCGTTTTGGAGATATTTCTTTTTTTTTATATGTGCTAAAAAGATGGTTCTCCAAGGGTTCTTTAGTAAAGAAAATAAATACATGCAGTATTTAAATACTCAAAAACCCTTTGTATGATTAAAGGGTTCTTTGCATGGTGAAAGAATGGAGCTGTAGATTGATAGGGATTGTGCTGTAATTGGCTCTATATAGAACCTTTTTGAAAATGGTTCTATGTAGCACCAAAAAGCGTTCTTCTATTGTTACAAGCTTGACAATGTAACAGTAGAAGAACCCTTTTTGGTGCTATGTAGAACCCTTTTTCAAAACACTTCTATAAAACCATGTACAACACATTCTCCATCAATCTAAAGAATAAGTTCACCATACAGAGAACAATTTAATCTTGCAAAGGGTTTTTGAGTATTTATGGTTCTATATAGAACCATTTTCTTCACTGAAGAACCCTTAAAGAAGCATATTTTTTAAGACTGTGAGTGTGTGTTTGTGTGTGTATACATGAAGTATTTAAACTGTGATTTATGTCCTTGTACATTTTGTAGCTGATGAATAACACAGTTCCGATTCTGCTTCTGATTATTCCTGTTTTTGTCCGTGTTTGTGTTCAGACTGACTGACTACCAGTTTAAACTGGAGCTCATGGAGAAAGAGCCCTATGCACGAGACGCTCAAGGCAGACCAGTGTTTAGAGGTCAGATATGTTTTATAAGTTTTGTTTGTAGTTTTCTGTGTTTTTTCTTTACAGTAATTTCCAGTTCTAATGCTGTAGTACGCCTGCCCTGCATGTTATGGTGCTTTTCTGATCTAATAAATCAGATCAATATCAAGTCCGTCCTGAGTTGAAGTGAATGTGTTGAAACAGGAAACCTCTGTAGTTTGAAGATCAGGGGTTTGTAGCTCTGCTTTATGTACCTCTCCAGTTCTGTTATCCTGCCTGCGTTTACAGTGGTGTGTTATGTTTTTTGTTAATGCTCCAGGTGAGAGATCTCCGTATGGACCCTCTCCGCTTGGACGGCCATCCTCAGAAACGCGGGCCTTCCTGTCCCCCCCAACGCTGATGGAAGGACCCCCGCGACTCTCCCCACAGTTTCCCATAGTGCCAGGCGGCAGAGGTAATATATAAAGTGATACAGAAAGCATTGCCTGTGTGTAGGGCTGGGCAATTTACAGTATCATTATTAACACACTGTTAATTAGTTATCAGAATATTACAATAGAGCCTAAATGAGTATGACAATCTCAACTGGGGTTTAGTCAACTATTTAAAGAGAAATTCCACCAATTTTTCAGAATTTCTGCATAATTGAGTGATTGAGATGTAAACAGAGTGATTCAGAGTGGTGTGGTGTGAAATGGTTCAGATGTCTTTACAGTGGTGGTGATAGGAACCAGGCGTCACCATGACTACAACACAAATATAGACATTTTATTTACTATCCAGAACCACCAGTGAACCTACACGAGTCTTCTGAGTTTATATGGAATGTTGATGATGGAAAATAGTAGTAAATCTGAAAAAAACGTTTTTTGGGACTGTTATTCTATACAATTCCCTGCATGTATCCACAATCAGTGGAGTATAAAAACATATTTTAGGCCAAAATTTTTGTCAGGCATAATAGTGTAAATGTTAAAGCTCATGGAAAAAGTTAACAGCTCAAATTGTATGTGTTTTTGATAAAATGGGCCGTTCTGGGGCTGCTTCTTTCGAAGGATGTGGTCTAAGAAGGCATGTCGTTCGAAGGCAGCGTAGCCCATGAAGGCTGAACCGAAATGATACGGTCTGCTCTACGGCAGATTTCCTGTTTGCGTCACAGCGCCGCTGTTCCCGCCCTCACCGCTGCATCACGAAACGCCGCTCCAGTCAAGTTCTTTATAAGTTCTTTAAAGACGGAGCCACAAACTTTGATTTTAGTTATTTATTTTTTCATTTATTAGAGCTGGAGATGCTTCTCTCTTTGCTCCCTAAAACAAAACGAAACGTTGGCGTAAGTTTTGCTTCAGACCACATTGGCACACGGTGAATCTCGGGATATGTGGCGGGATATGGCGAAGGATCCATCCATTGGATCTTTCGTTGCAGTGGAAAAGAATTGCGCATTTCTCGGCTGCATATGAAGGAGAATTCGAAATGGGACGGCCTAGTGACGCAGTCAGCCTTCAAATGCAGCCTCAGAAGGATGCAGCTCCTGAATTGGGACACAGCTTAGGAGTCATTTATAAAGTGCCAAATATCACTGTCGACAGAATCATAGAACATGTCGCTTTAAGGCTGTATTGCCCACCCCTGCATGCTAAAGTTACGTGAACTCATTACCTGCAGTGCACATCACAGTCATATTGTTTATTTTAGCATGTTAGCTTTGTAGTGCAAAATAGATGTAGATGTCTAGACGCCTACAGGGTGTGAAGACATTACAGCTGTTTAGTTCCTGCGGTGTTATTGTGCTGTTTGTACACGTAGATCATGTTCATGTTTCATTAACTCATTGACATTTAGCTGCTTGTCTCTCTTTTTATCCCTCCTCAAACACTTTATACCATCCTCCACTTTACTCCACCATTACTGCATGCGCTTCCCTCTGTCTCTCTTCTCTCTCTCTCTGTTTTTCTCCTTTCTCTCTCTCTGTACTCTTTCTTTCTCTTTCTCTGTTCTCTCTCTCTCTGTCTCTCTGTGTTGTCTCTGTGTTCTCTCTGTACTCTATTTCTCTCTCTATTCTCTCTCTCTCTCTGTTCTCTCTGTGTTCTCTCTGTTCCCTCTCTCTCTCTCTCTCTCTCTCTCTCTCTCTCTCTCTCTCTCTCTCTCTCTCTCTCTCTGTCTCTCTACTCCCCCCTTTCTCTCTGTATTGTCTTTCTCTCTCTCTCTCCCCCTCTCTCTCACATGCGCAGTGTCCCGTGGTGTTTTGGAGCCCCCTGCTGGTGGTTTAGAGTGTGAGAGGAGCGGGCCTCTCTCAGACAGTGGCTCAGCGTCTCCCAACTGGGAGAGAGAGCGCAGGGGTCCCGGGGCCCCCCCAGGTACAGTGACCTGCCCACGGCTACAGCCCCCTCTCCAAACCCCCCCTGAACCCACACACAAACACCAGGGCCATTAAAAATCACAGAAAATAAAGTCTTACCTTGTAAAACTAAAATTTTGATTTTTACTAAAGCAAAATTAAACTCACAAATCCAGACTTCTGGTATGTTTCTGGGCTCAACATGGCAGAAGCAGCTTGCTTGACAGGAAAGGGCCTTTTGACTCACTTGCAAACTGAGTGCGACATGTAGAACCACAGGATGGTCAAAACATGCAACAAAAACACACCCAGGTGAAACAAAGTGGTTAACAGTAGCTCAGCAGCCACCAGGAAAAAACCTCTTTAATAACTTTTAAAGATGTTCAGTTCACAAGCAATTTCCAATCCAGTGACTATATCCTGCTTCAGAAGGCTCATTGTTGACACACTACTAGTGCGTAGCTAGTATTTACGTTGGTAAACAAAAGTTTGTATCCTGCTGGACTGATAAAAACAACAGCAAATGAGCGTGTAGCTAAAATGTGGGTAGCCAATCAAAATATACCTAGCAAAATATTGCTAAACTGCACAACTTTTTAAAAAGGTAATTAATTAATTGATTGATTGATTAATTATTTTTAATTTTTTTTTGTATTTATAGCTGAAGCTGTGTGGCAAATTATCCATAAATGTAGCTTCCACTTAGAATTGTTTATTAGCCAAGTATTTTTACACATACAAGTTAATCAGTATTTTACAGGCTCAACTTTAGTGTACCTCAGATTTATTGTATTATTGATAATATCACTAATAAAGCTCCAATATTTAAAATAAGGTTTAGTATAATAATGTACAGGTACATTTAACGTGAAGAGAATAGTTTTATTTTTGAAGGAAATGCTAAGTCACTAATTCCTGACTTTTCTACAGCAAGACATGTAAACATGTCTAAAATAACAGAAAGGTGCGCTTATTCTGAACATGCTATAACCACGGCAAGAATAATAAACATAGGTGATAAAACAGATAAACAGAACCCACTAAGAAATCTGGTAAGCTCCACCCTCAGCATAGCGGTATTCTAATATATTATTTAAACTTTTGTGAAGTTCTTCTGTTTGAGCTTTAAGAAATTTGAGAACTTAATCCATTTAGCACTGTTTAAGTGAAACTTTAATTTTTGACCATATAGCGGAATTTAAATCCATCACTCCTTAAAATCAGCCCCTTAAAATCAGTGTCAGAATCGGTGACCTTCTTTATGCCTGTTTTTGGTACTGTGCCATTTGTAAATGAGCTCTCATCTGATTGGCTGCCCTGTTTTGTGCCTAATTCAAAAAAATACTATTTCAGAATCCTTTATTTAAAAAGAAAAGTAAGGGAAATTTGGTTTTCCATGATATGTGCCCTACTATTATGTATTATTAGTAGTATAATATACTATTAAATATTATTTATACTCCTACAACTACTAAAATTATAATAACTACATAATTATTTTTATTATTAGTAAAAGTAGTAGTAGTGTAGTGGTGGTAGTAGTAATAGTTGTTGTGGTTGTGGTGAAGAATTGCTAATATTCATTGACCAAGATGCACTTAAATTACCCCCCCACATACACACCCTCCGATGGAGAAGACCACCTAGCTAATGGCCCCCAGGTAATTAGCATTTGAGCCCTCTGCTGTAATTTGTCCCGGTCAGTGTCTGTGTAGGATGCTGTATGTTGAACGGGGTCATGTAAAGGTCAGTGAGAAACGCTGACTCAGACGCCCGACTCATTGAAGAGTGAGCGCTCAGTAGCTCGTTTGTTCGAGCCCTTTCTTCCCACTTTTGGGTTGTGAACGCTGCTTTGTCCCACTGGTGGCTCATTCAGGCCAAATCCACAGGAGGGACTCATCACCGCACGTTTTTACATTTTACCTGCTCTAACACGCCTCTGCTCAGCTCGTGAGGGATAGAGGCAGTGAGGTCAGTCAGCTGTTTTACACGCTGATATCGATACTGATTTTAAGGGGTTAAGAAGTCTAATAACCCAACACAAGCAGCAGAAATGGAGTCTTAAATGGCCCATATCACATAAAACCCTGTTTTCCTTTCTTTTTAAAATTAAATAAGAGTTTAATGTGCAGTCCATACAGTTCTATGTTTGGACACATAACAGTGTCAAAACAGCTCACTTTGGATTCAGTGTTTCAGTGATATCGCAAAAAACAACACATTTACATGCACCCACCTATTCAGCCTACAGCAGATTAGCTCCGCCCATTTACACTGAAGTTATAAGGAGCATTTCAGCCTGGACTGCTTTCCGAATGAGGTACAATACAGGTCAGCCATTCAGATCAGAGCTCATTTATATATGAGTTTTATAATCATGTGCAAACGAATTATGTCTCTTTTTGATACATAAAACCACACAAATGTTCTAAGTGAACCTCAGGGTAAAAAACAGTGGTATTGGGCCCTTTAAATGATATAAAAACTGTAAAACTGGTGAAGATACCCAGAATTACCTCTTATTTTTCTTAATTTTCATTAGTACTTTTAATAAGGTTTGACTGGTATGTTATTCTGGTGCTAAAGGTGAGGTTTGGACATGTTTTTTTAATTTTAACAAACCCCAGCAATGCCCCAATCAAAAACACTGATAATCTTCACCACCATCTGATGTTTTGGGCTCTAGTGAGTTAATTAGATAAGGAAAAACAAAAATATGTGCTGATGCATGTCCCTAGGACTGGAAATACTAGCCACAGGGGTTTTTCACAACACCAGAATTTTGATTTCAGTACTGATACCAGGTGTAGAATCGCTACAGATGGTACGGAAATAATACTGTGGCAAAAAAATTAAAAACACTCTTCATGATGTAAGCATCCAGTCTTTATTAGATTGAACACAATGTTATAGCATAATTAATATCTCTGTTAATATGAAACTCTTCAAATGTTAAATAAACCAAATAAGTAAATTAAGTAATTTAAACATGTCCTCATTTAAAGGGCCCAAAACTGAATTTCCTTCACCATTTTGAACCAGGAGTTTGATGTAAAGGTTTCATAACATACTAATAACTCTCCAGTCCATACAGTCCACATATGGAAACCTAGCTTCAAAATAAGCCCGTTTTTGTGATGTCACAGCGTCACTGATGATGTAGCAGTAACAAAAACAGGCTGTTTAATCCTAAGTGATCACTGTCACAGTCTGACCCACTCAAAAAATCCTTTGAATGATTGAAAGGTTCTTTGCATCATTAAAGTTCTTTGAATTGATGGAAACTGTGCTGTATATGGTTCTATATTGAGCCTTTTTGAAAAGAGTTCTATATAGCAACAAAAAGGGTTCTTCTATGGTTACAAGCTTAGCATCATAACAATAGCAGAACCCTTTTTGGTGCTATATAGTAACAAAAACAGGCTGTTTAATCCTAAATGATATAAAGAGTTTGGAAAATAGTTGTGTAGAAATGTATTATGGCTGTTTTTGTTAAGAAATACACACAAATGTCATACAAGAAAAATGTGGGATATGGGCCCTTTAACTTCAGCTGAAAGTTCAGTGTGCTAATCCGAGTCAGATTTACATGCGTGTTCTGATTGGCTTATTGGCAGAATATAATATCAGGGTAGCGTTACACTATTTTAAAAAACAAAAGCATCAAATGTTTGAATATTGAATTGTTTACCATGTTATAGTTTCGGTACAGTGTGTAGCCACTGCATTACTGTCACAGTCTGACCTTCAGTGGGGGCGCAGGTAGCAGGTGGCATCACTGTATGTTCATCATCCTCATCATCCGATCACCAGCACGGCCTGTAGGTGTGAGTCGTAGTGCATCGTCGTCATATCATCTCTCAGAAGGTGTTTTTTTGGCATGTGTGCTGTTGGAGGTCATCCCGTGTTGGAGGACAGTGGCTGACACTTGAATTATTATTAAAACGTGAATGTTCATGTGTGTGTATAAGGTCCCCCTCCTCCAGACCCAGGCATGCCTTACAGGAGGCCCCCACCTGGACCCTTTCCCATGGGCCCCATGCCCCCACGGCCCCCCCCTCCTGAGTCCTACTTCGGAGATAAACCTGGTGAGCTGTCCTGCTTACTGTGTCCACTCACAGCGATTCGATTTGATTGATTCTTTGGGAAGCGTATATGAAATCTGACACATTACAACTGTTTTAGCGCAATTTCTTTATTTTATTAAAAAAATTATGAGTAAAAATATGCCTCAAATGTGACTGAAGGAACTATTTACAGAGTACACACTTAAAGTTGGTTCTTTAGTAAAGAAAATTCCAGTTCATGGTTCCATATAGAACCATGAACACTCAAAAATCCTTTGAATGATTGAAAGGTTCTTTGCATCATTAAAGTTCTTCGGATTGATGGATGTGCTGTATATGGTTCTATATTGAACCTTTTTGAAAAGGGTTCTATATAGCAACAAAAAGGGTTCTTCTATGGTTACAAGCTTAGCATCATAACAATAGCAGAACCCTTTTTGGTGCTATATAGAATCATCTACAGCACATTCTCCATCAATCTGAAGAACGCTTTCACCATGCAAAGAACCTTTTTATCATGCAGAGGGTTGTTTGAGTGTTTGTGGTTCCATATAGAACCGTTTTCTTTACTAAAGAACCAATGAAGAACCATCTTTAAGAGTGAAACTGAAAAATAAATGACTTATTTTAGTTATGTAGTTTTTTGGATATTTGCATATAAAAATAGCTGGACAGTTTTGTTTTTATAATGAAATGAATGTATAATTAATTCTAACATTGCAAAAATCATAGTAGTTGACTCTCCATGCATTGAATCAGTGTATTTTTTACATCTGTAGTACCCAGTAAGACTTTGCTGATGTTCTTTGATTTCACTAAAATGTTGTTTGACATCATGTTAAATATTCTGGAATACAAAGCAAACGTCTGTCTAATAAAACTGTATGATGTATAATAACTAGTCGTGATATAGTGACCCTTCAGCTCAGTGCTGGTTCTCCCCACAGGACCTCAACCTGCCTGCCTTGTTTTGACAGAGCTGGGCTAATAGCATTACCATGGCATGAATGAGCCCTCTCTCTGCCAGCCCTTAAGAATTGAATTAAAAAGAAAACACCAGAGAAGGAGCTGGAACTGGACCGAGATTCTTACAGCCTGTTTTTCTGCTCTTTCCTTTTTTTTTCTCCCACAGACTTAACGTTTCTGGGAAACAGCTCAGGACCCGGTGAGAACGAGAGCCGAGACGTAAGTGTGCCTCGCTGTTCACTGATACATTTTACCAAGCAGTTCAGGCCTGTTTCACAAGGCAGATCAGGCAAAGCTTGATAAGGATGGATAGACAGTGAGTTGTCCATTTTTAAGTCTACCTAACTTCTGCATTCTCTGGCCACTTTTATAAAATAAAAAAAAAACAACACCAACATGGCTGATAGACTCGTACCAGCACCACACACACTAGTGACAGAATACAGTAATAATAACATAATAATCAAACATGATGATTAAAGAGAACATCATTAATAAAGGGTACATACACTGATTATTCTCAGCACTGCAATAACACTGACATGGAGGTGTGTTAGTGAGTGTTGTGCTGGTCTGAGTGGATCAGACACAGCAGTGCTGCTGGAGTTTTTAAACACTGTGTCCACTCTCTGTCCACTCTATTAGACACTCCTACCTTGTCAGTCCACCTTGTAGATGTAAAGTCAGAGACGATAGCTCATCTGCTGCTGCACAGTTTGTGTTGGTTGTCCTCTAGCCCTTCATCAGTGGTCACAGGACGCTGACCACAGGACGCTGTTGGCTGGATATTTTTGGTTGGTGGACTATTCTCAGTCCAGCAGTGACACTGAGGTGTTTAAAAACTCCAGCAGCACTGCTGTGTTTGATCCACTCGCACCAGCACAACACACACTAACACACCACCACCACGTCAGTGTTACTGCAGTGCTGAGAATGACCCACCACCCAAATAGTACCTGCTCTGTGAGGGTCCATGGGGGTCCTGACCACTGAAGAACAGGGTAAAAGGGGGCTAACAAAGTATCAGAGAAACAGATGGACTACAGTCTGTAACTGTAGAACTACAAAGTGCACCTATATAGTAAGTGGAGCTGATAAAATGGACAATGAGCGCAGAAACAAGGAGGTGGTCATAATGTTATGTCTGATCGGTGTATATAGGACATTGGAACGTATACATAAGACAGCAAAGCCCCTGAGACTTGGTCTATGTGTTGGAAAATACCAGAACTAAGCAGCAGAGACCTTAAAGTGAACCCTCTTAACCTTGAGCTACAAGGAGGCCAGTGTATAAACAGGTGTCTGATAAGCACCAAGGGAGGTTCTGGGTACCAAAGATGCAGCCAGACATTTTTAATGATTAGATACGAAAAAGACAGCTAGACCTTTTTAATGGGTTGAATTTAATTGGGTTCAAAAAGTGATAAATTGTTGGTTTAATGATGAGCAAAGCAGGTTATGACACATCAAGAACCCAGCGTCTGAATTCTTCTTTGAAATCTTGAGATAGAATGCTTATTAGACATAAGTGATACGTAAGACTTATGCGATATGAGCTTTACACACCAATTTGGTTGTATTTGGTGTATCCCACTTCCCCCCAGTTGTTTGAACCCACTGCCCCATTAGCATTTTGTTTTTGAAAATCGACCACTGAGAATAAGTATGAAGCGTATCTGTTTACAGAGTCTGCATTCAATGCCCGATGAAGCGAGACCGCCTCCTGATGCTGATATGAGGATGGGTCCTCCACACGGCCCCCCAATGCGTCTGACCCCTCCCATGGACCCCAGAGACCCCCACTTCCCCCACAGAATTCCATACGGACCCCTAGACTACTTCCCCCCTCGGGGACCTGGCGGACCCCCACTGGGCAGTAAGTTAATACTGATCTTTTCCATAAACATCAGCAAGCTTGCACTTACATCAAAGTGCTCTATAATGTTCATATGATCCACACAGTCATTCTGACAGACTGTAATACACTACAGGAAGTGTAGGGGGCGATATGGCTTCTACTGTCTCATTTAAAAAGCCTCTATAATGTTCATATGATCCACACAGTCACTCTGACAGACTGTAATACACTACAGGAAGCGTAGGGGGCGATATGGCCTCTACTGTTTCATTTAAAAAGCCTCTATAATGTTCATATGATCCACACAGTCATTCTGACAGACTGTAATACACTACAGGAAGCGTAGGGGGCGATATGGCTTCTACTGTTTCATTTAAAATGCTCTATAATGTTCATATGATCCACACAGTCGCTCTGACAGACTGTAATACACTACAGGAAGTGTAGGGGGCGATATGGCTTCTACTGTCTCATTTAAAAAGCCTCTATAATGTTCATATGATCCACACAGTCGCTCTGACAGACTGTAATACACTACAGGAAGTGTAGGGGGCGATATGGCTTCTACTGTCTCATTTAAAAAGCCTCTATAATGTTCATATGATCCACACAGTCGCTCTGACAGACTGTAATACACTACAGGAAGCTGTAGGGGGCGATATGGCTTCTACTGTCTCATTTAAAAAGCCTCTATAATGTTCATATGATCCACACAGTCATTCTGACAGACTGTAATACACTACAGGAAGTGTAGGGGGCGATATGGCTTCTACTGTTTCATTGAAAAAGCGCTCTATAATGTTCATATGATCCACACAGTCACTCTGACAGACTGTAATACACTACAGGAAGTGTAGGGGGTGATGTGGCTTCTCTTCACTGCACCATAAAAGAAGAAATTGCTTCTTGAACTTTTAATGATGCTGGTGCTATGACAGAAGGCATAATGGTTTGATTGGTTTGATGGATATAATTGATGAATGAACTAATTACAGAAATAATTGTTAATAGCAGCCCTACGTGATCATAATGATGGTCATTAGCAACTGATCAGAGCATAATAAGGTGCTTCTACCTATTATTAGCTAATAAAGTGCCATTAGCTGATAGTTTAATTATATATACTGATTGGCGTATGCTACAGTCTCCATAAAAACACACCTTTCTCTATAATCATAATTAATATAATCAATATTATTAATCAGATTATTAAATCACATTTTTTAAATTTTCTGCAGTGCGAGGACCACCTCCTCCTGGAATGTTTCCCAGAGTTCCACTGCCTCACCCAATGGCATACCCAATGATGAGACCTCCACCAGACGGATTTTTACCCGGACCCCCTCTTAGACCCCCTCTGCCGGACAGCTTTCCACCTGGACCCCCTCTTGGACCCCCTCTTAGACCCCCACCACCAGACAGTTTTCAGCCTGGACCCCCTCCCAGACCCCCACCACAAGGCAGCGAACAGCCGCCGGAACAGCCCCCCTCTCCACACGACGTCATCTGAACTAGGACTGGGCGATACGGCAAAAACTTTAATATTGCGATACTTTAAGATGTCTTCATGATATACGACACATATCAGGATATTTAATCTAGCTGAGATTTAGAAAATGCTGAAACTATAACCAGACCTTTAGCATTGTTCACTGTGTGAGGTGTAAACAGAGTGATTCAGAGTGGTTTGGTGTGAAATGGTTCAGATGTCTGTACAGTGGTGGTGATAGGAACCAGGGGTCGCCATGACTACAACACAAATATAGACATTTTATTTACTATCCAGAACCACCAGTGAACCTACACGAGTCTTCTGAGTTTATATGGAATGTTAATGATGGTAAAATAGTCAAATCTACTAGGACTATTTTTCCATACAGCGCCCTGCGTGTATCCCTCCACCATAAATGGAGTTTAAAAATATATTTTAAGCCAGAATTTTTGTCAGGCGTACATAATGTAAATATAGCTCATGCAAAAGGTTAATGGCTAAAACTATGGAATGTTGATGATGGAAAATAGTGGAAAATCTGAAATAATACTTTTCTTTGGGAACTATTTTGCCTCACAGCGCCCTGCATATTATGTATCCCTCCACCATGAATGGAGTTTATGGCCAAAATCTTCCCAAAACTATCGTAAAACAGTGTCTCAGTCATCAGGCAGTGAATTCATAACCATTTCATGTAGGAACTTTCTGTGAGGGAGCTTTTAGAGGTGGACGTCTGGTTCCTATCACCACCACTGTGAACAGTTCTGACTCGGTAAGTTTCTCTAGAACAGAGCGTTTCACACCAAACCACTCTGAACGACTCTGTTTACATCTTAACCACTTAATTATTCAGAAATGTTGAGAGATTGGTGGAGTTTCCCTTTAAGCCTTAGAAAGCCTGAGCCAGGTTATTGCTATTGGCATTGAATGCGGCCCTATAGGTACAGTAACTCATTGGTCGTCAGTATGAGGAACAGTAGAATTAATCTTGTTATTATGCACTTGTAATTTGACAGTGTGACATTACAGGTCCCAGCTGGCTACTTTGTAATTGGTCTAAATCTTTGCTTTGATGAAATATGACATTAACCAGTGTCTAGAAATACTCTATGAGGCCTCTGAGGTGATCAGGAAAGTGATTTATCGCAGTAACAGTAACATTTTGTCATATCGCCCATCCTCAATCTGAACGCTCTCTCCGTCTCTCTGCCTGCATATTGTATGTGACTTCCTGTTGTTGTACCCGAGGGCCATTTCCTCTGAAGTGTAACCGTTGCGGTCATGTGACCGCGTCTCTTTCCCTCATGTGTCGTCACATTTCAATGTTGGTCTGAGGGTGTTAATAGGGAAGCTAGAGATGAGGCGTGACGCCGGTTATGAAATGAAGAGGAAGAAGCATAATAAACACGAATTTGTGTTCCTGGTACACTTTTTACCAAGAGGGAAGGAAACAGGATTTAACTTAAGTGGTATTTAATATAATGCTTTTTTTAAAAAACATTGAATAATTGGAAGAGAATGGTGAAATGTATATACAGGAATTGTATCAATACTATATTGTGAATAAAGAGATGTATATACACAGGCCCAAGCTTACACCACTCTGTTTAAAGCCTCACTGCAAAACATGAAGTGAAAATGTGTGATTCCATAACCGTCCATGTGGTTTGCATATTTATAGTCTCTTCTGAGCCTTAAGGTGGACTGGTCTGAATTTCAAAGGATCTAAATGCCAAGATTTAATAAAGTTGTAATTTCTTTGCCAAAAAAAATCTTTGCACTTATTCAATATGTGCGATCTGTCTTTAACCTCTTATCCTCCAGGGTATATTTTGGTTTGTCCATCTGAATTTCCATGACCAAATCTTAAGGCAGATTATTCAGAAACTGCATGAAGTAAATGTAAATTTTATTTTATTATTTATTTTTTGTAAAAGCTCCCCTCAGATGAACAGAACACGTGTTTTATGATCACACGTATTGCTATATGCTTACAATTTACTGCTGAAAGACAAAAATCTTAGACGCTCTTTGTATTTTTTTATAAAGTAATGTTTACAGAGCAGATCACTGAAGAGACGCCATCTGTTTATAGTTTATAGCCCAGATTTGTGGAAAAATGGGTCGACTTTCAGTAGACAAAAAAATTAGTTCAGCTTCTTTTATTATAAGGGTTTAAAATGACATCACCATCTATTTGACTGGAAAGAGGACAGTTACAGCTCTCATACGACCCCCACCTTTAGAAGGTAGCTTATGAAATATGAAAGTTATGAAGAATATGACGAAGTGCGTTTTGGAACCACCGGTGGTCTCAAGGAGTTGAAGAGGGACAAAATGAAAAAGTAAACAAAGAACCATCGCTAAATCTGTCGTGAAGATAACTCCTCGCACCCTACAGCAGTGCTGCAGTGGTCTGGAGTGAGATTTTTCACTTCAATTGATTCAGAATGGACTTTAATCACACTTATTTGCTGAAGTAAGAGCTATGCTAACGCTAACTTGGCTGTGTTTATTAGCCTCTAGCTCAGTGGCTAGGCTAGCAGTCAGGATTAGTTGGCACCACAGGGATTCACATGGGTTATATGATGTGTTTGCAGTGGTACAACTATAGCTCCCCATATAAAAATCTGAAGAAAAATTAATAAATAAAAAATTCAGGGTTCACTTATTTGCTATTGCTACATCTCAAGCAAGTTGATGCTCTCGAGGCACGCCTCTCCACCCACTAGCATCTAATGCTAACCTAAGTGTTTGTTAGACCTATTTAAGAGTTACAAATACTGAATATATGATGTTTTAGGTTGTGAAGGACCCGTTTGAAAGCAGTTATCCCGGATTATTTGCATTCTGAATAATACAGAGATAAACAGACAATCAGTTCTGTCTGTGTAGTTTTGATGGAAACTAACTAGTCATGTACACTGTATGGCCAATAGTATGTGGACACTCCCTAATAATGGAATTGGGTGTAGATAAAACAACATTGTTAACAGGTGTATAAAATCAAGCACTCTCCATAGACAAACACTGGCAAACTTTGGGTCGTACTGAAGAGCTCAGTGACTAAACTTGGTAACAAACAAATTTCTGCCCTGCTACATTCAGTGCTATTATAGTGAAAAGGAAGCATCTAGAAGCAGCAACAGCTCAGCCACAAAGCGGTAGACCATGCAAACCACCAAGTGTGCATAGAAATCACCTATCCCCTCATGCATCACAAATTGGGTTTTAATGGCCGAGCAGCTGCACACAAGCCTAAGATCACTATGCACAATACCAAGCGTCGGCTGGAGGGGTGTGAAGCGCAGCCACTGGACTCTGGATCAGTGGAAACGTGTTCTCTGGAGTGATGAATCAGCTTCACTATCTGTCAGTCTGATGATGAATCTGGGTTTGGTGGATGCCAGGAGAACGTTACCTACCGGAATGCAGAGCCAACAGTAGAGTTTGGTGGAGGAGGGATGATGGGCTGGGCTGTTTTTCAGGGCTTGGGCTCCTCAGTTCCAGTGAAGGGTGATGTTGATGCTGCAGCACAAAGACTTTTAACATGATTATACACTTAAAGCTTTGTGTCAGCAGTTTGGGGAACAGCCTTTCCTGTTCCAGTGTGACTGAGCCCCTGTGCACAAAGCAGCTCCATAAAGACATGGAGTGACCAGTTTCGTGTGGAGGAACTCCAGTGGCCCTCACAGAGCCCTGACCTCAACCCCACTGAATACCTTTGGGATGAACTAGAACGGAGATTGTGAGTCAGGCCCTCTCGTCCAACATCAGTGTCTGACCTCACAAATGCTCTTTAGACTGAGTGGACACAAAATCCCAGTTACACTCCAAAATCTTGCAGAGTGGAAGCTGTTATAGCTGTAAGGCGGGGGGAGGGACTTTAAATTAATGTCCATGGATTTGGAATGGGATGCTCACAAGTTCATATAGGTGTGATGGTCAGGTGTCCACATACTTTAGGCCATATAGTGTATACTGGTAAAATCATTGCCTTTGCAATTCATATTAACAGGAATATTTCCCAACCCCTCTTTATCTCATAAACAGGCTATTTTTGATACTGTGCCTTTATGATTGATATGCAAATAAGAGCTGTTCTGACTGGCCATCCTGTATTATGCTCTAAACAGGCTGGTTCTTCATTTTGGTTTACACAACTGGGGAGTGAAAGGCATGATTGGAAACTAACAATATTTATGTACATTAAAATCATATTACAAATAAAAAACAGTTTAGTTTAAAATGTAGTTTTCCATAATAAGGGTCCTTTAAATTCTATCAGACAGCTGATCAGGTTTTTTTTTCAGCCAAAAATGAAGGATCATGTCACACAAAGTCCTTTTTTAATGCTTTTATTTACCGATTAAAAGAAAATGCATTCATTCAACATTGATTCAAATCAACATTCAGGCTGGTTTATCCAACACGTACGTCAGTTACGTTTTTTTTCTCGTAGGTTTATTTTTTTCCTTCTTTAATGGTGGAACCTCAGATCACTTTTCTAAATCAATAAAATCTCTCCCCACCTGGCATGTTCACACCTGTGCCAGAGGACGTTCCTGTTTGTAGATGTACATATAAAACCCAATGCTATGTGCTCACTGGAGACAAAAAGTAGACAGAACACACCTGCCCAAATATTAAACATTTAAGATGGTAAAACCATTTTTGCAAAACAACAACGCTTATAAACTATTTTTTCTCCATGTTCATAAATAGAACCCGGACATATGTGGCATAGAAGTACGTATGTTGATATATACATACCCATATGCGCTGTAAGGTATCGTATTTTTTTACTCGCCGTTACGTTTACAAGGTAAGCAGCAGCCTGGTCTTAGCACTGCTCGTGCCCCGTGATGGCCACTTCTTTATTGCAGACTGTCCTGATTTTAAACAAATGCACAACATTCGTACCACTTAGAACTGGGGCCTGCTGGCCAGTCTCATAGAGACCATGTCTGTACCCACGGTCGCCCCGAAACTGAGTTGGCTTCCGAAGAATCAAGATCTTAAAATAATAATAATAATAATAATAATAATAAGGCCAAGTATAATTGCAAGATAAGTCATTTCCATTTATGAGTGACAGAAAAAGAAAAAACAAAAACAAAAAGAATAGAGAGAGAAGTTAAGAGCCACTGAATCATATGCATTCCACTTGCATAGTTTCTGACTTTGTTTTAATGCGAGCCAGCCTGAAGAGGAAAACCGGCAAGGGGGGAAATGGGGGGATGGGGTGGTTAGGCCCATGTCCGGCGTGATGTTTGACCTACAGTGGACCTTTACTTAAAGTGACTCAGATTTCATCAAAAATAAACTCGTTTAGACTCCAAGGTCACACTAGACGATTATATATATTTATAAAAAGCTGCTGTTGGAACAAAACCTCGTATCTCCAAAGTGGTAACTTTACAGCAGAAGGAGAAAAAGGAATTTACTTCTAATGTAAGTCAATGGAACCAGACGTCTTCCCAAGTAATACTGGGCTGTTTCTACTGGTTCATTCATCATGAAATTTACACATAATTTGAAAATGCCTGTTCCTCTATTTATATTATGTCAAAAACTGAAAAACAACAATAATGGAGATTATTTATGTATTATATAGTGACTGTTGGACAAAAACCTGACATCACCATTTTTGACGCGTTTTACTTTCTTGGCATAATTTAAAAACTCTAGTTACCCTTTGCCTGATAAACCGACTTCCATTATAAGTTAAGAATGTTCCTTCTTTTTTCTTCTGCTGTAAAAGTGAGTTTTGTTCCGAACAAAACGTTTTGCAGTTTGACAAAAAAAAAATGCCTGTTGTCTTTTACATTGAGTGTAAATTTCATGATGAATGGACCAAAATAAACGGCCCAAAATTGCTTGGGGAAAAAAGTCTGGTTCCATTGACTTACATCAAAAGTAAAGCATGTTTTTTACTTCTCCTGTAAAGTTACCATTTTGGAGATACGAGGTTTCCGACAACAGCGATCTATAACATCTCCCCACCGCCCCACCCCTTGCAGCTGGCGTGAGGTCATTGAGCAGTAAGGTAACTGGAAGCTCACTGAGCTTCTACAGGCCACGTTTTGTTTCCTTTATACAGCTTTCTGAGATTTCTCAGGCTTTAGAGCAGCCCACTGTACTTACAGCTGTTCTCCTTTAACTACAGAGAGATCTGGATTGTGAATGCATATAAACGTTTCCAAAACTGAAATAAAAAAAAAACAAAAAGAAAACCAAAACAAAACAAAAAAGTCTGGGATCCAACTGAGTTGTAACAATCGACTGGTCTACACAAAAATAATCTCCCTTCTGCACTTCATACTCGAGGGAGGCACAATCATACCCGCGCTCAACGATTTTCACCTAAAGACCAGTCCGCTTCGCTGATTTCAGGATCCCGCCCCCCCCAACAAGCCCGAAAAAGAATCGAAGAGTAAAAAAATAAAGTCATTTCATGCAGACATTTGGCCATTTTAGTTTGTTTTTAACTCCCCAGTGGAATGTTCCTTACACGTCTCATAGCAGCTTAATAGTAGGTCTGATAGAACCAACCTTGATTTTCTCAATAGTTTTTAAATTACATTCACTCTTCACAGTGAAACAGGTGCATTTATAAGAGAGATCTACTGCTGTTGACCCAAAAAAACAAAACAAAAAAGAAAACCGCCACAGCACAGCTGCGGAGCACGAAAGCGGCCCGACCTCCACTTCAACCCATTCGATATCTACTAGCTGTAGTAAGAGAATATAGTAGTAAGTAGTACATCTAGAGGCCGATCAGCCGTTGGCCCTGCCCTCTGCCAGCATGCGGGCACTTTCGTTAAGGTTGAATCACCGTGATCTTTGGCAGCTGACACAAGACGTGCTGACAGAAGCGAAATTCCAGTGACTTGGTTTTATGATTTCTCGTATGGAAACTTTCACAAACGTCTGAGGACGCGGAGTCATTTCGCCGCCCCATACGCAACATTTTCCCCTGAGCTGAACAAAAACATGCAATTTCACCCCCAGGAGAGTCACTATCCTCTGACTTAAGAGGTCGTTAAAAGGGGAACTCCAGCCATTTTTCAAAATTTCAAAATAATTAGGTGGTTAAGATGTAAACAGAGTCGTTCAGAGTGGTTTGGTGTGAAACGCTCTGTTCTAGATAAACTTACAGAGTCAGAACTGTTCACAGTGGTGGTGATAGGAACCGAACATCATTCACAGAGGACGGCGGCCGTTCAGATGACCACCATCATCAACATTCCATATAAACTCAGAAGACTCGTGTAGGTTCACTGGTGGTTCTGGATAGTAAATAAAATGTCTATATTTGTGTTGTAGTCATGGTGACGCCTGGTTCCTATCACCACCACTGTAAAGACATCTAATTTGCTTTCATTCAAGTTTCTCTATAATGAAACCACTTCAGACGGCTTGTTTTAATAACTGAGCTGTAAATTTTTGAAAAACTGATTCCCTTTAAAGTAGCCAAAATGCTAATGTTGCTCCACACATGCTAGAACCAAGCTAACACTCAATTAACAAGTGAAAGCCTACAATTTCAGCTATACACTTAAAAAAGATGGTTCTTTAAGGGTTCTTTAAGAAAAGGCAATGGTTCAATTCATGCTTAAAAGGTTCTATGCATGGCGAAATGGATGGAGAATGTGTTGTAACCGAAACGGGTTCCATTGGTATGATGTTAAGCTTGTTAGAACAAACACTTTTTGGTGTTATTTTCCAAAGGTTCCACATAGAACCATATACAACACATTCTCCATTAATCTGAAGAACAAATTCACCATGCAAAGAGTCTGAAACGTTTCTACATAGAATGTTTCTAAATAGAACCACTGCCTTTACTAAAGAACCCTTGAACAACCATCAGTTTTAAGTGTATAATCAAAGCACAGCCTCTAATCTATCACATTTGACGAAGCTTGCTGGGTATTTCGGTGAGGTCAGTCTCATGATGTCAGTTGATGATGTCAGAGCGTGTATTAGCATGTAGCAATATTTGAATTATGACTCCTTAATGACCTCATAACTCAGAAAATCTGTTTTGGGGGGAAAACATACACAAATAAATCAGCTCTGGAACGTTTTTTGCTCACCACCAGGTGAGACAGTAGCAGTTTTCCCCATAGAGAAAACCAGCCGAGACCCGGAGCTCCTCATGCGGCAGACGCAGAGCGACGCCGCGTCCTCAGAGGTCCATGATTAGAGGCCTGAGCTACTGGACTCCTCCTCCACTGAACTGACGGAACCCTGAGAAAGGCTGTTTCCTGTTCACTGCTGAGAAAGTGGTACGCCTCCCGACTCTACACACCTCCTTCTCTGACGTATGCACTTTTTGAAACTTTACAAAAAAAACACAACACACACATACATGAGTGTACAGAGAGAACAAACCCAAAAAACTAGGAAAATAAGGAAGAAAAACAACACGCTGATGCTTTAATATGCTAACGTCTTAGTTACACCTGTCTATCGCTATGCTAGACATGACTCTGTCGACCGGAGACGAACACGGACGCCGTGTGTGGGCTTCGAGAAACGAAAGCTATTCTGGGTTTAGGCACAGCATGAACGCATTAGCAGTTTACACACCGACAACTCGCCAACGTCGTCGTCTCCCTCTGACACTCGAGTCCTTACCCACCCTCATTCAACGGCAAGAAACAATATACAATATTAAACTTCCAAATATAGAACAATCTCATCTAGATCCTTTTTGGTGTGGTACTAAAAATAGAAATGGGACTTTTCAAACAAACACGTCAGAATCCCACTACTGGCATGCATTTTTTAGTTATATCATTATTCCTTAAGCGGTATCTTTGTTTCTCATGCATACACTGCAGGTTTAAGCTCACCTAGAGAGGCACCTTACATGCAGGCTCTGAACTGATTGGGTCTCATTGGTTGATTGCTTTCGATTTGCTTTCTATTAAAGGAAGAGTTCAGTAAAAAAATTATTCGTTTACACATCTTCCCTTCTTGCCTAAAAAGTAGTCGCTCAGGTGTCTGAAGTTTGCTTCCTTAGTTTTAGCACCGGAGCTAAAAGATGAGACGGCTAACGTGGCTAACAAGCCATGCAAGTCAATGGAACCAAAAGACTTACATTAGCCTAACTTCAGGACAACAAACACGCATTAGCGATCCTGGTCCTGGAGATCTACCACCCTGGAGAGTTCAGATCCAACACACCTGGACAGTCAGACGCCGCTGAAGGCTGATTACCTGGATCAGGTGTGTTAGATTAGGGTTGGAGCTAAACTCTGCAGGGTGGTTGATCTTCAGGATCAGGATTGGGCAGCCCTGCCTTAGTGGATCGACTGCATGCAGATGAAGGGTTACGGTGTGCAAATGAAACTTTTTACCAAACTACTCCTTTAAGCTAACAAGCTAACAAGCTAACCAGCTAACCTCTAGCCAGATTTCCCCCCATTATGCTTGCATATGGAGATTTACTGCAACTGGCTTTGGCTGAGCCAGCTAAGCATTACAAAAAAAAACGTTTTTAACAGGAAGGATAGTTTGTGGCTACAGTTTCACACCCGGTTTGGCTTCGCTGTCTCGTCTATCAGCAAGAAGGCGGGCGGCTAATTAGCCTTTCAGACCGAAAACCACAAACGTGTCCACCTTCCATCCGAACGTCACTGCACGGAGCATGAGAAAAGAAGATATGCTTCCGAATCTCCAGAGCAAAAACAAGCGCCACTTTTTAAAACGAGAAACGAAGGCCGTCGTTCGACATTCACTTTCCTAACGCTAAGCAGGCGACCGCGGTTTCCCTCCACACTACGAGCTTTAAAATGGCAAACGGCGCAAGTAAAAGCGTACATCCCACGCACACGAGAGAGAGATAGAAAAATAAAAACCACTGTAAAGCGCAGTCTTTTGGAAGAGCTTTAACATTTCTCCAAATAAAAATAAAAAAAAAAAACCTTCACTATCTTGTCCATCGAGCGCACAGACGCACCGAACAAACAGCTTGGACGAAAACCTTCACTGGAAAAGTACCGGAAGGGCAGGAATCCTGAGATATGTGGGGGGAAAAACAGAGTAGCAACTGCCTCCCTCCTCCTAACACTCTGCAGATGAAATACTGTGGGGATTCGAGCTCAACTTCACCCCGAAACACTGAGGATCGCTCGCGCCACGCCGCTCGGACACGACGAGATCGGACTTTCCGCACTGAATGACTGCTGGTCTTGAAGGAACAGGTAACAGTAATGGTGACTGAATCCGTATCCGCTATGGGAAACTATAAAGGGGGGGTTTCCAAGGCAACTGTGACTCGATAAACAGATTAAAGGAATAGCTTGACCAAACACGCTAATGTGGCCGGTAAACGAAGGGTCACTTCGCTTGCCTTTCAACTGTGAACACGACAAAAACTGATGTTCACCCACAAATATCTCCCCACTTCCTCGACTGAAAGTGCGCATCTGTTTTTCTTCGAGCAACATTAGCTTTGCTGATCGAGCCATTTCTTCAAAAGCTGAGAGAAAAGCTGATTGTTCTCACTCATCCTCATCACCCTCATCTTCAAGGTCATGGTGTTCGTGCCTACCTGAGACGGACAGAGCGGACTTGATCCAGATAAAGCCCCGTTAGCCGAGCCCAGACTTTGTGCTAACGGACATTCAGCGCGCAGGGTTTAAGTGCCAGTCTGAGAACCTCAGCTAATTGGTTTCACCAGCAGAAGCGCGTCCACTTCCAGGTTGAGGAAAAAAAATAAAACAAACAAAAAAAAAAAAACGGGATTTTCGTCCCGAACGACACCATCGTCGTCGTCAACATCAACAACAACAATAACATCAACAACGTCAACATCACCACCTTCAAATAACAGTTAGGAACAACGAGGAAGGCTGCAGGGGTGTAGCTTGACGTCTATCAGCCCGTTCTCTCGGCCGGAAGACTAATCTCCCTATAGGTCAAGGAAAAAAACGCGAGATTTTGTCATCGTAAAAAGCCAAGATGGATCTGAAACTGATAGTTCTTGAGGTAACTCCACGCTCTATAAGAGGAAACCCAACGTAGGAGCGGACGAACAAAGCGAAACACTCTGTACAACTCTTTTTAAGCTAGCTGTGTAAAAAAACAAACAAAAACAAAAAGCCCCTCTCCACCATCCACTCAATTAGCTACTAAACCGATACCCAACTATACTTTCCTATTTCATAAGCAGGATATATAGATAGATATAAATATAGAGCTAATACTGGTTAAACACAGCACTTACAAAGGATTAATTTCACACTACAAGGAAGGAAAAAAAAACAAACAGAATCTCAAAGGAAGGAAAATAAAAGGAAAAGAGTATGTAAAATGAGACAGGGCCTGTTCTGGGAGATAATCGAGCACAGGGTGGGTAAGGTGCAGAGGAAAACGAAACAAAAGCTAAAGGCCCTGCTGGGTTTAAACTCCCTCGCTGAAGCTCAGCATCTCGCGGTGGAAGTGCTGGGTGGGGTCGCTCAGGATGACGCTGCTGTCCATGGAGGGGTGCCACACGCGGCCCAGCCCGAGGGAAACCTCCTTCACCAGGTTGTGCACCGGGTCGCCCTCGATGAACACCGACTGGTCCGGGTCGAAATCGATGCTTTCCTCCGACACGGTCAGCACCTTCAAGTTGGAGCCACGCAGGCGGGAGATGGCCACCAGGTTGTGGGACCACACCGTATAACCTGCAGCACGGAGATCAAACAGGGGCTTCGTTAAAACAGTTCGCTCGTTCATTTGCATAAACCAGGGGTCGGAAACAAATCAAATCACCTTAGTAGACACAATAATTTATGTTCATTCTATTGAAATAACGTTTTACCGTCTTGGCTGTAAATATGTCTCGGTATGTACTAGTTTAGGCTAAAAAACATAACATATAAATAACAAATGAAAACACAGACTTACTTTGCTCTGTTTTAAGCTTTAGCTCAGCTATAGCCGCTTTTCTCGCATCTCTGGCAGGAAACATTTACTCAAAGGTGGAACAGTTTCTTGAAAAATGTCTCAACATTTGATTTTAACGAGGCTGAAGTCGCTTCTCTTTCACCAGCTTCTCGTTCGAATTTTCCCATTCCACCTTAAATAGTGCCTGAGGATGTAACTGCTGCACCATTTAAGGTGGAACAGGAAAATTTCGAACGAGAAGCTTAGTGTTCATCAGTTTCTCACTGCAGATTAAACGTATCAGGAAACCAGCTGGAGTGATTATAAATGCAAATCAGTCCATTCGTCTCCAAATTATCGATGTTCATCTTAAATCTCTCTCTTTGCCGTTTCGTTAGCTACTATCTAGGCGAGATTGTTGTCTGTGTTGCTATGGTGACCAGCAGTCTGAGCTGATCTTTCAGGGTTAAAGGGTGAATCAGCAGTTCTACATTAACTCCAGAGTTTAAGACCATTTATTGTTAAACTGTGTTGAACACTGAATGTCGTTAATTAGTGACGCTGATGTCTATTAAAATGATCATAAGCACAAAACACTGAAGGCAAACAGTTTCCATCAGGTAGAACTGAGCGGCTCTGAAATCACTTTTTACAAACAAGCAAAGTTTCAGTTTAAGATTTATTTCTTAGTTACAAGTTTAAGTTTAACAAAAACTTTAAACTCGGATTCACAAATGAGTTTCCTTTACTAAACTGCATCTGTAGGTCTCTGTTCATAAACATAAACTAGCCTAAACTAATTTACTATAAAATGAAATGTGTTTGTATAAATTCAGAATAAAGACACGTCAGTCACAACTGCATATGAGTACATATTTCTATATTGTGGTCTGTTTACACAAAGTTAGGTTAGATCATCATTTATGTTGAATAGACTCTCCCAAATTTTACGCTGCTGCACTGATGTTGAACCGTGTGCTGCACTGGGTCGGTATGACCAACAGGTCAAAACAAGCTCAAAACAAAGTGACCGCTGTGCCCTGATTGGTGTTCTTGATTCGCACTTCTTTTGTTTTGACATGTTACGTTTTTATGCACACATAAACCAAAAGGAGCGACAGATTTCTCATAATGTGGTGGAGTGAAAAGTGAGATATTTGAGTATTAAATGTAGTGGAGTGAAAGTAAAAATTCACCCAAAGTGGAAAAACTTCAGTAAAGTACAGATACACGAAAAACTACTTAAGTACAGAAACGAATTACATTTACTTCATCACTGTCCACCACTGCTTGTTAGCTATATTAGCCTCATAGCTCCAGCGTAGAACTCAAAAGCAAAACCATTGCTTTAAAAACGACTGCAAACGTGGACCCAAATTACTCTGGATTAAACCAAAAGAAAACTAAATAAAGCCTTCGTTCGGTGAGTGTTGGAGAAAAATGGCGGCGCGTGGTGTTTACTCACCGTGGATGATGAGGACGGCGAGGTGGATGCACCTCCAGGCCAGCAGCACCAGCGGATCTTCGTTGCGGTTGACGCTGAGGTCAGGAAAGCCTCCGTCGTCCCTCACCAGGACGAAGTGCGTGAGCGTTTTGTGGTACTGCTGCGAGATGAGCTCCAGGACGCCGTCGGTCACCAGCGTGCTGAAACTGTCCAGGTGGATCCGCTCCAGAGGCAGACTGGGCTTCAGCACCCGCAGCAGGTCCTGACTGCACACGTCCAGAGCCATCAGGTAAACACGCAGGTTAGCACTGCGCCGGACCAGCGCCTGCAGCCGGGGGTCAGACAGACCATTATTTATTTATTATTCTTTTTTAATTATTATCATTTTTATTTATTTTTACCATCATTAGTTTGGTATTTTGTAACTATAACATTATTTATTGTTTTAATTAATATTTTTCATTTATATTATGAAAATATAAAATATTACTCAACTAAATAGTACTTGTAGTAATAATAAATAATAATAATAATAATTCTTATTCTTAATAAGAATTCTTATTTAAAATAGTTTAATGCAAAATTATTATATCCTACAATACTTTTATTTTCCAATAACACTTATTCTTATTGTAACAGACCATTTTTATACGTCTTTGAAAGTCATTAAAAAGCTAAGAACATCCTATTAAATAATTATGTAAATGATGCAATATGTAAATAAAAATTACTGTTATTGAATTTATTTATTGATCTTATTATATTTTAAGCCCTATAGTATTTGTAATAATAATAATAATAATAATAATAATAATATATTATTATTATAATCATCATCATTATTATTATAAATCTTTGATCTGATTAAACAGGTTGTAATGTATGACGCAGCCGTGCTTCCACCCCTCGACACGCTGGCCTTACACACGTTACAATAGCAGTCTTATTTTCCGGCGTTTCCAGACTAAAATATCTCCAAGCAAACGACATTTCAATCAAACGAACAGCTCCTGTTCTTCGCTCACTCAGTTACAGACTGAAGTTGCCGCGGGTTCATGGTAAGATGTGGTATGGAATTATGGATCGGAGACGTTTCTTGTTACGTTATGTTACATTACAGCAGGTTCATGGTCCAGCACAAGCTGCGGACTGGAATATGGATCAGTAAGTCTGATATCCGATGAGTGAATGACGTCAATATCGGACCCGATACCGACACAGGATCGGAGCGGCCCCATCTCTACTTGTAAGTCATCAAAAAGTTTTTAAAAATCCTTTTAAAAATAAATATGTAAAACACATATTACTGGATTTATTTATTTATATTATTATATGGCATTTTAAAGCTAATTCATGGTACAAGGTGGTGTCTTAAAGGGGAACTCCACTGACTTTTCTAAATTTCTGCATACCTGTTGAGATGTAAACAAATCACTGAGCAGTTTAATGTAAATGGTTCACTGTAGTCGTTTTACTTACTTTCCAAAACCACCACTAAACCTAAACGATGTAGAAGTACTGCTAATAGTAAAATAGTGGAAAATGTGAAATAGGTTTCTTTAGGGACTATTTTGTCTCACAACACCCTGCATGTATCCCTCCACCATGAACGGGTTAAAAAATTACGTCATATTTATAACCAGCTCATGTGACATCCTTCAGTGAAGCAGCTTTTAGAGGGATTAAACTTTGATGAAAGTCAACATTTTTTAAACTAATATGTTTATTAACTCTTTCCTGCATCGTTCTCAAATTCAGTCGGAATGTCCATCGCTACTTCACACAGGAATAATTCCCACTACCTTCAGGTCATCCTCAGTGGCCGTGCCATCCAGTGGTTTGGCCTCCAGGGCGGCGCCGTTGAGCAGCAGGGAGAGGCGGTGGAGGGGCGCGCGGTCGCTGGCCGAAAGCAGCCGGCACATTTCGGAGGAGAAGTCGCAGAAGTCGATGGAGAGCGAGCGCAGGTGGACCAGGCGCTGGAGCTCGGCCGTGGGCACCAGGCTGGGCAGCTGACCGTCCAGCAGACTGAGGTGCTCCAGGGTTTCGGCGCTGGGGTTAGAGAGAGACGCTAAAGAGCACGGGGTCACCAAACCCAGCATGAAGGACGAGGAGAGCCACTTCAGCTGTCGGCTGTTAGACAGGATCTCCTCAAACAGCTGCTGCATCCTGAGAGAGACAGACAGACAGTGAGAGAGAGAGAGAGACTGACCATTACTTTCTTCATATACAATCATATTGTGATCGCCACTACAGGATCTTGCGCTGCCACGATATTCACTTGCACACTGATCAGGCATAACATTCTGACCACCTCCTTGTTTCTACGCTCATTGTCCATTTTATCAGCTCCACTTACTATATAGGTGCAGTTGTTTGTAGTTCTACAGTTACAGACTGTAGTCCATCTGTTTCTCTGATACTTTGTTAGCCCCCTTTCACCCTGTTCTTCAGTGGTCAGGACCCCCATGGACCCTCACAGAGCAGGTACTATTTGGGTGGTGGATCATTCTCAGCACTGCAGTAACACTGACGTGGTGGTGGTGTGTTAGTGTGTGCTGCGCTGGTCTGAGTGGATCAGACACAGCAGTAACACCTCAGTGTCACTGCTGGACTGAGAATAGTCCACCAACCAAAAATATCCAGCCAACAGCGTCCTGTGGGCAGCATCCTGTGACCACTGATGAAGGACTAGAGGATGACCAACACAAACTGTGCAGCAGCAGATGAGCTATCGTCTCTGACTTTACATCTACAAGGTGGACCGACAAGGTAGGAGAGTCTAATAGAGTGGACAGTGAGTGGACACAGCCCATCTGTTGTGACCATAATTGCAGAAAGAAAACGGTGAAACTCATTCAGAAAGAAAACTGTCCCAATTCTCCAATCTGGTCACTTTTAAGATTTAAATCCGAGAAAAATCAATCAATAATCTCAACAATTTGAATAGATCAAATAAAGAAGCTGCCGCAGCAGCAGCCGTTCTGATAACAGCCCACAAAGTGACCACGACTTACTCTTTAATCTTCTTGCCCCCCTGGTCGATCTGGGCGAGGTAAGAGCTGTCCAGAATGCTGTCGTCCTGAAGGATGCACGTGTCGCCGTACAGACTCAACCGCTGCAGATTCCTGAAGGAAAGAGAGACGGGGAACAATTTCCACATCAGCGCTGGACGTACACGACCGGGATGGGCGTGGCTATTCAAATATATGCATATCTAAACTATCTCAACAAAGGTTATTACATAAAATGCTTATGAATTCACTGCCTGATGTCAGACATTAAGATAGTTTTAAGACGATTTTGGTCTTAAACTTCAATCATGGTGGAGAGATACATAATACGTGGGGTGCTGTGAGGCAAAATAGGCCCCAAAGATTTTCCACTGTTTAACCATCAACATTCCATAAAAAAACACAGAAAAACAAGTTTCTAAACAAGAAAAACTAATTTCCAAAATCAAGAAAACAATGAATATGGAAGAGGCTGGAAAAAGCAAACACTTCTGTACTTCATTAAAGGGGAATTCCACCAAATTTCTGAAAAAACCCACATAATTTAATAGCTAAGATGTAAATAAAGTCACTCATGCTCTGTTCTAGAGAAACTTCTGTTCAGAACTGTTCACAGTGGTGGTGATAGGAACCAGACGTCCACCTCTAAAAGCTCCCTCACAGAAAGTTCCTACATGAAATGGTTATGAATTCACTGCCTGATGACTGAGACACTGTTTTATGATAGTTTAGAGAACTTAAACTCCATTCATGGTGGAGGGATACATGCAGGGCGCTGTGAGGCAAAATAGTCCCCAAAGAAAACTTATTATTTCAGATTTTCCACTATTTTCCATCATCAACATTCCATATAAACTCAGAAGACTCGTGTAGGTTCACTGGTGGTTCTGGATAGTAAATAAAATGTCTATATTTGTGTTGTAGTCATGGCGACCCCTGGTTCCTATCACCACCACTGTAAAGAGATCGGAACCATTTCACACCAAACCACTCTGAATCTCTCAGAAATTTGGAAAATTTGCTGTAATTCCCCTTTAAATGTGCTTTCACAGCTTACTGAAACAATCAGGCATCAACAGATTTCTACAAACACAAAGGATTTTAAAATAAAGATCTGGAAAAATGACAACAATTGTAAAATAATCAGCACAGAAAGAGTCACAAAAGCTTTTAGACGTGTTGAATAAGCGCTCAGAGGCCAGAACCTGCGCGGAGCGAGGGGAGGTCCGACTGTCGGGACTTTTCAGGAACCCACTGTTCCTCTCTGTCTGTGCTTCACTGTTTATGGTCCATTGTGTGAAAGTTTAGAGGAGAAAGCAGCAGCAGCAGCTTCACACAACCAGCAGCTGCAGCTTTTGTGCAGGTTTTGCTGGGTCTGCTTACAGTGGAGCTGGAAAAAAGGCCTGAAATTGTGCAAAGTGTTCCAAAACACAGGCTAAAGCCGGAGCTGAAGGTGCACTGAGGTCAACACGAGGTGAAGGCCGAAGCTGGCGGCTCTGTCAGGTTCCTCCTCGGCCTGTGAGGAGGCTTCTCTACTCCCATCAGCTATTATCGCTCGTTATCAGTGTCTCTGTATCAGAGACTCTCTCTACCCTCCCTGAGTTCCTGCAGCTGGGATTCCTGCTGGGCTTAGTGTCTCATGTTGGTGGACGCTTCAAACAGTTGGTCACGTTTGATCGGTCAGTGGCAGGAAAGCTCTTTTTAAACAATAACAGTCTGTTAAGGATAAAACTGTAGAGCTCCAGAGAGAGAACTTTCCTCATGAGCTTCCATGAGGAGATCTGGGTCTCTCCGAGGGCTGAACGATTAGGGAAAAATATCGGATTGCGATTTTTCCGACTAATATTGCGACTGTGATTTAAATTGCGACTATTTTCTATAAATTTCAGGTTCCAACGGTGGACATTCTCTCTCTCCCTCTCTCCCTCTCTCTCTCTTTATCTATCCATCTACCTACTGAGCCATCAATCCATCCATCATTCTAGCCATAAATACATCCATCTATCAATTCATCCAACCTTCTACCCAATTATCAACCTACCTATCCATTCATCCAATGACTCATCCAACCACCTAGCCATCCATTCTTCTCTCTATCCGTCCATTTTCCAACTATTTTACATCTGCCCATTCATATACCCCCCACTGATCAATTCATCCATCCATCTACCAACCTACCCACCCATTCATCCAATTACTCATCCAACCACCTGAACATCCATCCGTTTATCTATTAATCCCTTCATCCACATATCCACCCATCGATCAATCCATCTTTTCATTCATCCATTAAGTCATCAAACTCTTACATCTACACACCAATCAACTTCTCCGTCTAATATCCATCTTTCTTTCTATCCATTGTTTTATCTATCCATCCAACTGTTGTACACCTACCCATTCATCGGTCCATCCATGTATACACCCATCAATCAATCCATCACCTTAAAACTATCCTTCCATCCCTCTATCTATCCATCCAACTCTTACATCTACACATCGATCAACCTTTTACTCATCCAACTCATCTTACATCTACCTATTCCTCCGTCTGTCCATCCATCCCCTGTTCAATCTATGCTTCTACCAAACATCGAACCATCCATCCATCCTTCTACCTACTTATCAATCCATCCATCAATCTACTCATCCAACCATCTAACCAATAATGCATCTTTTACCCAACTATCTAACATCCAATTATCATCCATTCCTCTACTCACTCAGCCGTCCCTATATCTCCAGATTTAGTCAACAAACCATGTAACCATCCACTCCTCCACCCCATTTACTCATCCACACACATGTATCCTCCAAGCCATCCATCCAACTACTTATCTACTCGTCCACCCATCCCAGTTCTGTACCATGTCCGATTCACTTTAACTCCAACTCAGTTCATTCTGGTAGAAGATTCAGGGCCATCAAAGCCAGAACAGACCTGCTTTTACCTCCAGAGCTGAAGCTCATCAACCTCAGTGGACACATCAGACCACACATCAGACCACACTCAGCGCCACACTCGCCGCCACAACTCAGACTAAACTACTCACATCAGACCACACTCAGCGCCACACTCGACTAAACTACTCACATCAGACCACACTCAGCGCCACACTCGACTAAACTACTCACATCAGACCACACTCAGCGCCACACTCGCCGCCACACTCGACTAAACTACTCACATCAGACCACACTCAGCGCCACACTCGACTAAACTACTCACATCAGACCACACTCAGCGCCACACTCGACTAAACTACTCACATCAGACCACACTCAGCGCCACACTCGACTAAACTACTCACCTCAGACCACACTCAGCGCCACACTCGACTAAACTACTCACCTCAGACCACACTCAGCGCCACACTCGACTAAACTACTCACCTCAGACCACACTCAGCGCCACACTCGACTAAACTACTCACATCAGGCCACACTCGCCGCCACACTCGCCGCCACACTCGACTAAACTCAGACTAAACTACTCACATCAGACCACACTCGCCGCCACACTACACTCACACTAGACTAAACTACACTCACACTAGACTAAACTCAGACTAAACTACACTCACATTAGACTGAACTACACTCAGACTAATCTAGACTCACGTTAGACTAAACTACACTCACATTAGACTAAACTCAGACTAAACTACACTCACACCAGGCTACACTCAGACTAAACTACACTCACACTAGACTAAACTCAGACTAAACTACACTCACACTAGACTAAACTCAGACTAAACTACACTCACACCAGACTACACTCACACTACACCAAACAAATTCTCCTCTGGAACATAATGCTTAATTACCCGACTGTACAGATGTTATTTGTTTTTCAAGTATTCATATCATTCAGTAATATTCTGTACATTAATTATTATATCATATGTCCACTGAGACATTCACACTTCTCTTGAGCTCCTTTCACATCGACTGTTTATTATACTTTATTCTATTTCTTGTATTTTTATGTTATTAGTCTCTTAGTTAAATACCCGTTATCAGTCTGAGTGCCTGTCAGGTCTGGTCAGTGTGTTACAATCGCGAAATGAAGTGATTCTGATTTACAAGCTGTCCGTTTCCACTAAAACTCTCACGACGCTCAGACTGTCTACACAGCACTGTACAGCACAAACGGCTGAGCACTGTGCTCAGTGCTGAACTGTGTATCCGCTGATGCAGTGTGAACAGCGTTCCGTCTCTGACGCTGTAGAACCAAATGAGTCACGGCGTCGTTACTGAACACTTTTTGTTCTGAAATTTGCTGATGTTTTCATTCTGCAGTCAATCCATCAAAAATTACTCAGCAAAAACAAAACGTTCCGCTTCCGTTTGAAGACACTCGGGTAAAACAGTACAGAGAACCTTTAAAGTTCTTCAGGCTTTGGCCGACCTGGTTAAGGTTACATAACGACTAACGGGTTTGCATTATAGTGCATTATTATTGTGTATCTGTATGCATTACTACTGTACACAGTCATGAAGTAGAACCATTACTATCGTGCATTTCTATTATACACTATTATTATTTTCATTATAAATTTTTGTGCACAATTATTGAGTATTACCACTGCACACTACTGCTATGTACTAGCACCCCTAATTATTGTTATTATTATTATTATTATTATTATTATTATTATGCACTACAGCTATTGTGCATTACTATGAGGTCTTACTTGTTATTCAGGAGGCCCAGCATGAGCACCTGGTCCTAACAGTGTGCGTAACCATTGCGCACTACTGTTATGAATTATTATTATGCATTGTTCCCACAGAACATAACTATTATATGGAAGCCTGTTTCCTCCACAGGGGGAAAAAACATTTATATATATACACACACTCTCAAAATTATGCCTAACTTTCTCAGTTAGGATATTCAATCTCATAATTTTGACTTACTATCTCATAACGATGACTTACTATCGCAATGAAATTCAACCTTATAATTATGACTTAGCATCTCATTATTATGACTTAGCATCTCATAATTAGGACTTAGCATCTCATAATAAAATTTAACCTTATTATGACTTAATATCTAATAAATATGAGATTCAAGCTTAGAATTATGCCTTAGCATCACATAATTATGACTTGGCATCTCAATATTATGACTTAGCATCTCATTATTATGACTTTGCGTCTAATGAAATTCAAGCTTATAATTAAAACTTAATATCTAATAAGTAGGGCTTATTTCCTTTATGACTTAAAATTCACAATTATGATGTACTGTCTAATTCACCTCATAATTAGACTTACTAAGTCATAATTATGAGAAAGTATCTCATAATACTGAAATTCAATCTCATAATGATGACTTGCTACTTCATAAGATCCTCTTATATTTATGACTTAGCATCTCATAATTATGAAATTCAACCTTATAATTATGAATTAATATCTCATAATAATAAGATTCAATCTCACAGTTATGACTTAGCATCTCATAATTATGACTTCGTATTTCAGTTGCGACTTACCTCCTCATAATTATGGAATTCTCTCTCATTATTATGACTTTATGGCTTTATGTTTCTCTCCAGTCGCGTAAGCGGCCTTTCACACTACTGTTTCGCACTACAGTCGCTGTGCATCATTAAAGTGCACTGTTAAGTGACCATCTCACCTGTTGTTCAGCACCTGGCCCTAACAGTGTCCATTACTACCGTTATGATATATGATTATGCATCAGTGCCACTGAACACAACCACCCCGCACTGTGGCCGCGGTGCATCATCATTAGGAGAATATCTGACCTGTTGTTGCGCAGGTGGCCCAGCACGCAGAGCACCTGGTCCAGGTAAGCGTTGGCCGCCTCCCTCCAGCGCTCCCCGAGCTCGGGGTCTCCCGGGCCGCTCTGGGCCGCGCCGTCAAGCTCCAGCTGCAGCTCGCGGGCGAAGCTGCCGAACCGGCGCATGAGGAACTCGAGCCTACCGGTTCCGTTGCCGGCGGTCCCGGTCCGCGCGCGCAGCTTCAGGCCGCTCCAGAGCGCGGGGTAGAAGAGGCACTCCCGCCAGCGCGAGCACACGGCCGAGGCCCGCAGCTTATCTCTGTCCGGCAGGAAGGAGAAGATGTGGACGATCAGCTCGCTGGGTAAGGCCGAGGCTCCGACGCCGCCGCACAGAGCCATGTGTGCCTCGACAGGGGGTAAATAAGCCGATCTGACCGCTCCGACTCTCTAACTGCCCCCCTCTCGCCCCGAAAATCGCCCCCAAAATCTGCCCGAGCAAAACAAACAGCGCCGAGCAGCTGCCCTGCCTTCAATACTACCGGACCGTACCACTTCAGCAGCCAAATAGGGGAGGACGCGTTGTGTTTAGCTTCGCAGAACCTGGACTTTCCGGCATTTGCGGTAGCTGTACGTTAGAAATGGCATACAACGAACGTTTAGTTTGAGGGGGCTTCGTGGTGGGCTGACAAAGCAATGCAGATAAGCCTCGCGATTGTACGGTGTTTGGTAAAACACCCCTTGCCCTGTAGTGGTTGAGTCCAGAGTGGCCCTATTTTTGCCATACCGTGACACGCCGCTAGAGGGGGCGCACACGACACACGAACACACAGGATTTAAACGTTTTAAAGTGCAAGTCCACCATTTTTTCTGAATTTCTGCATAATTCAGTGTGTGAGATGTAAACAGAGAGATTCAGAGGTGAAATGGTTCAGATGTCTTCACAGTGGTGGTGATAGGAACCAGGGGTCGCCATGACTACTACACAAATATAGACATTTTATTTACTATCCAGAACCACCAGTGAACCTACACGAGTCTTCTGGGTTTATATGGAATGTTGATGATGGAAAATAGTGGAAAAACTGAAATAATAAGTTCTCTTTGGGGACTATTTTGCCTCCAGCGCCCTGCATGTATCCCTCCACCATGAATGGAGTTTAAGTTCTCTAAACTATCCTAAAACAGTGTCTCAGTCATCAGGCAGTGAATTCATAACCATTTCATGTAGGAACTTTCTGTGAGGGAGCTTTTAGAGGTGGACGTCTGGTTCCTATCACCACCACTGTGAACAGTTCTGACTCTGTAAGTTTCTCTAGAACCGAGCGTTTCACACCAACCACTCTGAATGACTCTGTTTACATCTTAACCAATTAATTATGCAGAAATTCTGAATTCATCTTTAAGCTGGATCACTGGTAATTCGGTACCAACACAACAAATAAAACCATTTTAGTGAGGTTTTGTTATGACAGTGATGAGACGCGTTATACTGCAGCAACAAATCTACTGCCTTTAAAAACACTGATAAATCACTATCAGTGACCAGGATCAGTTATAACAGCCCCGAAAATGGTATTAACATAAATTGGTGTTACTGTTGGTTCCTGATGGTTTTGTAATGTGTTTTGGCTTTTTTTAATGGGTTGATACCACAGTGTAAATGATCCTAATGGTTTAACAGGTGACCAGTGGCTGATTCTAAATGCATTTGATGGTTTCCTAATGAGATCTAAAGGTGTTCTACAGGAAACAAGTGGTCTCTGTTGGAAATCATTGAGCCAATTCCTATTAGAAAGCAAAACCATTAGGGCTTAATCCTAATGGTGTCTAATGGTCCTTATAGTACTGGTAGTAGAATCCATTTTACTGAAGGGCAGCATTCATAAGTCCATATGACACACAAGCCTTCAGCACTTCACACACATTTTTTGCACATTTCACACCAAACCACTCTGAATGAACTTTGTTTACATCTGAACCACTTAATTATGCAGATCTGATTTTGAAAAATCAGTTTAAATTGACAGAAAAGTTTTAAATCACAGCTTTATCACGACAAGCATAAAAATAATTATATTTAAAGTTAATAAAACAATTAAAATTAATAATACAATAAAAATTAATAGTATTTAAATTATAAAAAGCTTCAGTAGATGTTTGTTCTTGAGTAACTACTGTACCCAAATGTGAACTTAATGATTGAAAATCATTTCAACCTTGTCGTCATATCCAATGTGTAGTGTGGGGTGGAGGTGTGGGGGGGGGCAGGATATTAATTTCTTCACATCATAAACTACAAAGCACTTTATAAATTGTGGATGAGCGCATCTCATCTTCTTTCATATTCTCTTTTTTAAAAGGCAAGTCTTTGTCATATTACACACTTTCTCTATTCTAAATAGTCTTAAAATACAGTTATGGTACATTATTATGGTCAATCCAGCTTTTGAAATGATCACACTGCCTGTGTTTTGATGTAAAACTCCACACTGTGCAGTAGAGAAGGGCCTGATGAGCTCCTCACTGTGTTTGTGTTGACAGAATGTGCTGCTCATATCCAGCCTTCACAAATACTCATCACTGCTGTGAGTTCTGATCACTGTAACAGCTGGAATGCCACGCTAAGATTCCTATTTCATGAAAACTTCCATATATTTTATATTGTGTCTATTTAAATTGTTATTTCTTTCTTTTAGGGGGCAGAATGGGTTGTTTATCTTGCAGGTTTATTCATTATGAATGAGTAGAGGAGATGTTTTGGAGCAGGGGGCAAAAACAGAACGTGGAACGCTGCAAACTCCCAGGCCTCAGAGATCACAATTAATGTTGAATGAGGTGCTTTATAATCATGTCCAACGTATAATCAGCCCTGTACTTTCCCTGCTTTAGTTCCCATTTCAACTCAGGAAGGAAGGGGTTGTTAATGAGCTGACAAACACAAAAGTGTGTGGAGCAGTGGGCCTTCAGGAACAGAGTATTAAAAGAGTTTACTCATTTAATATACTGAGGCAAAGCAGAATAATAAATAAATAATAATAAATTCTGCTTAATTTCAGCTTATTACGTTATTTTTCTTTCTTTTTCACAATAATATTGTTTTTTTTTACATTTTTTTTTCTCTCCTGAAACTGAAACTGTTTTTTGATGGTTTGTTGCACTTTTTTAGTCCTCAAAATCAGAAATTACATAATACAAAAACAGTATGGACCGGAAAGAGAAAATAAAAGGAAAAGAAAAAGAGAAATATATTAATCAACAGCACTCTGTCTTTTCAGGAAGAAGAAAAGTCATGGCAGCCTTTTTGTTACAAAGACTGTCAGGCAGGAAATCATACAGCAATTTTAAATCTTTGATGAAAAGCCTAACGTTTGGTTTAGTGGAGGTAATTATATCTTTGAGCAAATGGGATTTTTCCAGCAGGGCTATAAGCTTTATGGCATCATCAATGTTTTCTTTCTTGCTTGCTTGCTTTGTTTCTTTCTTCCGGTCCTTTCGTGTAGGCAGAGAGCTTGTAGAGAGGAGAATCACCACTCTGCAATGTCCCTCGGGGTTCTCAAACGCTAGAGGGCGCTCCCGAGCGAGTCCAAAATGAATGAGTTGATATGGAGCATTTGAGCAAAATCATAGTTTATAAATGCTGAAACATTTTTAATGTAAAATAGTTCATTCATTTCTGAACAGCATAAAACATTTTAACACTGCTGTTATATTTTTAAGAGCTTTTAAACTCGAGTTATAGGAGTTTAAAACGGTGCCTCATGTACGTTCGTGACGTCAGTGAGCGCGAACAGCCAATGAGCTGCTCCGCTCGCCAATCAATCATCACGCTCTAGCAGTAAAGCCCGCCTCCTGCTGCCCAAAACCCGTTTACTGTATAAAAAGGAAACATACAGGTGAGATTTCTTTGCTTTTTTTAGTGAAATTGATTCTTCTACTGTCTAAAATTAAAGGAAAGTTCTGGTTCAGTGATTAGAAACTATTTAACTTTCCGTTTTTAGCCGTTGAGCTCTATTTAATCCCATTCATTGAGGACTCGCTCGCGGGCGCCCTCTGCTGTTTAGCAGTCCTGTTTTTGATATAAGGGGGGTAAATAGGAAGCGGCCAGAACAGAGCCGGTTTATGAGGAGCCTGGCCGCTTTCTACTCCCCCTGTTATATCAAAAACAGGACTGCTAAACAGCAGAGGGCGCCCGCGAGCGAGTCCTCAATGAATGGGATTAAATAGAGCTCAACGGCTAAAAACGGAAAGTTAAAATAGTTTCTAATCACCAAACCAGAACTTTCCTTTAGTTTTAGACAGTAGAAGGATGGATTTCACTAAAAAAGCAAAGAAAACTCACCTGTATGTTTCCTTTATTCTACAGCAAACGGGTTTTGGGCAGCAGGACGCTAACATTACTGCTAGAGCGTGATGATTGATTGGTGAGCGGAGCAGCTCATTGGCTGTTCGCGCTCACTGACGTCATGAACGTACGTGAGGCGCCGTTTTAATCTCCTATAACTCGAGTTTAAAGGCTCTTAAAAATATAACAGCACTGTTAAATGTTTTATGCTGCTCTGTGTTCAGGAAAGGAATTAATTATTTTACATTAAAAATGTTTCAGTATTTATAAACTATGATTTTACTCAAAGGCTCCATATCAACCCATTAATTTTGGACTCGCTCGGGAGCGCCCTCTAGCGTTTGAGAACCCCGAAGGACATTGCAGAGTGGTGATTCTCGCCTCTTCAAGTTCTCTGGCCAGACTCCTCGTAAACCGGCTCTGGTGTAACGTTGGTCCGCTGGGGGCTTTTATTTTGAAAAGCCCGCAGTGCTAAGTTTGACTCGGTTCGTCTGCGGTCAGCTGAGATGGCGGATCTGTCTCTGTATCTCACAAACATTACCGTCACTTTGGGACAAAACATGGACCCGGAGAAGGTAGAGGATCGAATATTATCATTAATAAACTGATTATTAGTTACGTTTATCGGTGGTTTTGGCGGGCAGAGCGGAGGCAGTGTTCGTTAATGTTAACGTTACTTCCGTGTTGTGTCCACAACTGTCATTATTATTAACGGTGGGTGTCGCTTAGATACCCTGCTGAATCATTATTATTATTATTATTATTATTATTATTTGTTTATAAATATTATGATGTATGATTTATTATTATTAAGGGTTGCTTAGTTACTCTGCTGAAAAACTGCTCCTGCTCTGGATTATGATTGTTTATTTATTAGCACTATGTATAATTTATTATTATTATTATTATTATTATTATTATTATCAAGTGTTGGTTACTCTGCTGAAATGTCCTGTTATTTATTTATTTATTTATTTATTTGTTTGCATGATTTATTATTATTAAGTATTGCTTAGTTACTCTGCTGAAAAAACACTCATCATGTTTTTTATTATTATTTATTATTATTAAGTAGTGGTTAGTTACTCTGGTGAAAGACTACGGAGCCCCTAAGGTGACATGGTGAGGCCACAAATTAATTAAGTGACCCTTATTAGTGCCACAACGGGGAATTTTCACCTCCGCATTTTGACCCATCCATGCAGTGAAACACCACATACACACTAGTGAACACACACACTAGGGGGCAGTGAGCACACTTGCCCGGAACAGTGGGCTGCCCTATCCGCAGCGCCCGGGAGTGGTTGGGGGATAGGTACCCACTACTGCCCCACTACTACACTGAAGCCATGAATTAGTATATCGAGGCTACAAATGAAATATATTGAAATTCAGTAAACTAACTCATGGCCTCAATATAGTAAATTGTGGTCTCAGTATAGTAAGTTGTGGCCACACCTTATTAAAATAATAATGACTGTATCAGTTTAGTGTCCATGAAAGACTGCACTGCACTGCTGAACAGTGTTTTTATTTTAAAAGCTATTTGATAAAGAAACTCACCAAACTGAAGGTCTGTTTGTCGACTGAACTCTCTCAGCAAACATACCTGTCAGTATTTGACACCAATCAAATATCAATAAGGAACTTTAGTTTCATGTTGTGTTGATTTTCTGAGTGTAAATAAGTTACACATCCTCTTCAGAGACACTCTACTACACACGTTAATGCACAGATACTGTTTATTTAGCAGTTTTAACAAATTGGGAAATTAAACCTAAAATGTGGTCTGTCCAGAGGTTATGACGCATTTTAAATATTATGTTTTATTTTTCCCCAAATATGTTAAACTCAGTGAACAAATAGAAACTGTACATTAAAAATGCCATATATAAGTGTGTTTAATTTTTTTCCGAGGGATAAAAAGAGGTCATGTAAAAATGAATCATTACTATTTTTGGCCCATAAACCAACACAAATGTTATAATTATACCTCAGGAAAAATAAAACAGAAGAAAATGTTGGATATGAGCCCTTTAAGTGATCTCTAATGAATTTGATTATGGTTTCTGATACTGTATGACACACTTATCAATAAACATGGACTAAAGTACATCAGCATATACAGAGAGATTCAGAGAGGTTTGGTGTGAAATGGTTCAGATGTCTTTACAGTGGTGGTGATAGGAACCAGGGGTCGCCATGACTACAACACAAATATAGACATTTTATTTACTATCCAGAACCACCAGTGAACCTACACGAGTCTTCTGAGTTTATATGGAATGTTGATGATGGAAAATAGTGGAAAATCTGAAATAATAAGTTTTCTTTGGGGACTATTTTGCCTCACAGCGCCCTGCATGTATCCCTCCACCATGAATGGAGTTTAAGTTCTCTAAACTATCCTAAAACAGTGTCTCAGTCATCAGGCAGTGAATTCATAACCATTTCATGTAGGAACTTTCTGTGAGGGAGCTTTTAGAGGTGGACGTCTGGTTCCTATCACCACCACTGTGAACAATTCTGACTCGGTAAGTTTAGACATTTATATAAATATAGACATTTTATTTACTATTCAAAACCACCAGTGAACCAACATGAGTCTTCTGAGTTTTTATAGACAACAGTTCTGACTCAACCAAATCACTCTGAATGACTTTGTTCACGTCTTACCTGTTAAATCATTAACTTTTTTAAATTTGGTGGAATTCCCCTTCAGTGAAGTACAAATGTGTTTGTTTTTCCAGCCTCTAACTTAAGCCCATTCAGTATTCATTGTTTCCTTGATTTAGTTGATTGATCAGTAGCAAAAATCAGCTGTAGTGTGATAGAAGCAGTAAACACACAACTGAGGAAGCATTTCTTTAAATACAAATATCAGAAGTTGGGAATTTTCCATGGTGTCGTATCAACATTAACATTAATTAATGCCAAAATGTCCATTCACATACATACATAACAGACAGAGGCCGTTTTAAATGAACAACCGAACATGGATTTGTAATATTTTAACAGTAAAAACATAGAAAAGGACAAAATAGGACTGATAGATACACATATTGACCACTTTATTAGGTCCACCTCCTTGTTTCTACACTCACTGTCCACTTTATCAGCTCCACTGACCATGTAGTTTCACCTTGTAGTTCTACAGTTACAGACTGTAGTCCATCTGTTTCTCTGCATACTTTGTTACCCTGTTCTATAGTGGTTAGGACCCCCACGGACCCTCACAGAGCAGGTGTTATTTGGGTGGTGGGTCATTCTCCGCACTGCTATGCTGTTTTGTAATGATGTGTTAATTGATGCTGATTCAGAGCTCGAATGCGGTGAAGGACTTTGAGAACGTGGAGCTCGGGGACGTTGGGAAGAAGCAGAAGGTTCCTCGCAGGACCATCTACTTCGCCAGTGGTGAGACAATGGAAGAGTACAGTACAGATGAGGAAGACGAGGATGAGGAAGAAGTGAAGGAGAAAAGAAGCGCCATGACCACAGTTGACCCGGTGAGTTTGTGTATATAAACCTCTTATGAAGTCTCAGCTGTGTTCAGTCGGTCGGCTCACTGTCTGCTTGTTTCTGTGTTTATTCTAGTCGAAGCTGACTTGGGGTCCGTATTTTTGGTTCCACATGTGGAGAGTGGCCACCTCCACAATCTCAGGTAACAACAGCCTTTCTGGAATTAAAGGGGAACTCCACCGATTTTCCAAAATTTCTGCATAATTAATTGGTTAAGCTGTAAACAGAGTCATTCACAGTGGTTTAGTGTGAAACCCTCGGTTCTAGATAAACTTACCGAGTCAGAACTGTTCACAGTGGTGGTGATAGGAACCAGATGTCCACCTCTAAAAGCTCCCTCACAGAAAGTTCCTACATGAAATGGTTATGAATTCACTGCCTGATGACTGAGACACTGTTTTAGGATAGTTTAGAGAACTTAAACTCCATTCATGGTGGAGGGATACATGCAGGGCGCTGTGAGGCAAAATAGTCCCCAAAGAAAACTTATTATTTCAGATTTTCCACTATTTTCCATCATCAACATTCCATATAAACTCAGAAGACTCGTGTAGGTTCACTGGTGGTTCTGGATAGTAAATAAAATGTCTATATTTGTGTTGTAGTCATGGCGACCCCTGGTTCCTATCACCACCACTGTAAAGACATCTGAACCATTTCACACCAAACCTCTCTGAACCTCTCTGTTTACATCTCCCACACTGAATTATGGGGGATTTTTGGAAAATGGGTCGAGTTCCCCTTTAAAGGAATAGTTCAGCAAAAAAGCAGATTTCCTCACAAATTTACACAATTTCAAATGTATTTGATCCCACCAATATCCCGCCAATCAGCACAGCGCTAAACCCACGCTGAGCTGTTAAAGGACCCGTATCGTGGAAAACTGAATTCACCTCACTTTATTCGTAATTAAAGAGTTTGGCGTAATATTTAAACCCTGTTAAAGTTTCAAAACATACCCAGTCCTTACAGCCCATATATGGAAACTAGGCTGTGTTGAATTCACTGTTTTTGTGATGTCACAAATACCAACATACTTACATACAACCACCCACTGAGTTCATAGCAGTTCAGCTTCACTAAGGAGGGTTTCAGCCCGTACTGCTTTTTGAACAAGTCACAGCCAATCAGAACAGAGATCAGTTACACATACAGCCTTGTGCAAAAGTTTGAGCGCCCCTGGTCAAATTCCACGTTGTGTTGGTTTTCTGAGTGTAAATAAGTTACAGATCCTCTACAGAACCACACTACTGCACATTTTAATGCACAGTGACTGTTTATTTGCTGAAATTAACACACTGGGATATAAAACTTAAAATGCAGTCTGTGCAAAAGTTATGGCACATTTTATATTTTACGTTTTATTTTTTCCGCAATATGTAAATTACAAGAAAGTGTTGGATGTGGGCCCTTTAAGTCATGTCTAATACATTCAATTATGTGGTTCCTGACACTGTATGAGTCACTGTTATCTATAAACATGGACTAAAGCTAAAAACAACAGCAGCCGTCACAAAACCTGAACTTTGTCTGCCTTTATTAATATCAGTGTACTGAAGTATTCCTTTTAACTGTGTTATACACTCTTAAAGATTCTTTAAAGGTTCTTTATGGGCTCTTTAGTAAAGAAAACGGTTCTGTATAGAACCATAAACACTCAAAAAAACGTTTTGCATGATTAAATGGTTCTTTGCACCATGAAATGGTTCTTCAAATTGATGAAGAATGTGTTGTTTATGGTTCTGTATAGAGCCTTTTTAAAAAGGGTTCTTCTAATGTAACAAGCTTGACATGGTAATAAAGGAAGAACCCTGGGTGCTATATAGAACCATCTACAGCACATCCTCCATCAATCTGAAGAATCATTTCATGATGCAAAGAACCTTTAATCATGCAGAAGGTTCTTTGAGTGTTCATGGTTCTAAACAAAACCATTTTCTTTACTAAAGAACCCTTGAAGAACCGTCTTTTTAAGAGTGTACAACAAAACATGCAGCCACTCATTCGGGAGAAGAGCTGTGGGTGTAAAATAAGAGATTCTATTTGTATCCTGTCTGTGTGTTTCAGTGTGTGATTACCTCGGAGAGAAGATGGCGTCACTTCTCGGCATCACGTCACCCAAATATCAATATGCAATCGATGAGTATTACAGGATGAAGAAGGAGGTAAACACAGCACATCTGCTCACAGCGCTGCTTACCTGGCACTCAGATGCACAAACTCAATTTATATCATCAACTTTTTTCCTTTAAGACTTAATATTTAACAAATCTTTTAATAAGGTTTGAATACCAGATTTAGGGAACACCAGAGTGAACATCTTTTCATGGAGTTTAAAGACGATCCTTTATGTTTCACATGTAAGAAAACCACATTATTTAAAGTATTTAAAGATGCAGCGTTCGTCAACGATACACATAGACTCCGAATTATTCCACATAATTAATGGTGTGCCAAAATATAAGGCTGTTTTATCTTTTTAGCCCTCACCAAGGTTTTGACCACTTTATTAGGCCCACCTCCTTGTTTCTACACTCACTGTCCACTTTATCAGCTCCTCTGACCACATAGTTTCACTCTGTAGTTCTACAGTTACAGACTGCAGTCCATCTGTTTCTCTGCATACTTTGTTACCCTGTTCTTCAATGGTCAGGACCCCACAGAGCAGGTACTATTTGGGTGGTGAATCATTCTCAGCACTGCAGTAACACTGACGTGGTGCTGGTGCGAGTGGATCAGACACAGCAGTGCTGCTGGAGTTTTTGAACACTGTGTCCACTCACTGTCCACTCTATTAGACACTCCTACCTTGTCAGTCCACCTTGTAGATGTGAAGTCAGAGACGATAGCTCATCTGCTGCTGCACAGTTTGTGTTGGTCATCCTCTAGTCCTTCATCAGTGGTCACAGGACGCTGCCCACAGGACGCTGTTGGCTGGATATTTTTGGTTGGTGGACTATTCTCAGTCCAGCAGCGACACTGAGGTGTTTAAAACCTCCAGCTGCACTGCTGTGTCTGATCCACTCAGACCAGCACAACACACACTAACACATCACCACCACGTCAGTGTTACTACAGTGCTGAGAATGACCCACCACCCAAACAGTACCTGCTCTGTGAGGGTCCATGGGGGTCCTGACCACTGAAGTACAGGGTAACAGAGTGTGCAGAGAAACAGATGGACTACAGTCTGGAACTGTAGAACTACAAAGAGCCCTAACTCTGACTTCTTCTTCACACGTTTCTCAGGAGGATGAGGAAGAAGAGGAGAACCGTCTTTCTGAAGAAGCTCAGCGGCGTTTCGACGAGCAGAACGAAACGGTTAGCCAGCAGCCCACGGTGGAACAGCCGGAGGGACCCGCGTCCTTCGTGAATGTGACCTTTGACCTTGAACAGGAGTCACACGCGACTCCAGACGCCAGCAAAGTGCCTCCCCCCATTCCCTCGTAAAACTCTGCACTGAGCCACGGCAGCGTTTCTGTGTCCAAACAGGACTCAGTTACAGAACGACCTTCGTGTAATTATTATACAGTAATAGTAACCAGGGATTAGAACAGTTCCACTTACACTTCCTATACAGCTGTAATTCTTCTTTTATATATACACAAAATGATCTTATGCATCCATGCGTTAAACAATGCATAAGCAGAAACGTTATTATTAAGCGCAGTCTAGTGCTGCTGTGTGATATTGTGGCCTTGTAGTGTGAGATTGTTTGGCCTTTGAGCTTTTTTTTGGCCCCGCAGTTCCTTTATTTTTTCCTTTATGTAAATGTTTATGTAACTTTTTGTAATTTCACCGCACCAGAACATTGTGCGAGTTCTCTCACTGAGGCTTTCAGCAACGGCAGCAGCCTGAATCCGACCCAAATATGATCCCACAGTTAAAAAGCAGGACCAGGCGAATATGCGCTACCAGTCAAAAGTACAGACCTGCCTGAATAAGCGTTTTTTTTGTAATGATAGAGATTTTTGGCGTGGGGTTAAATGCAAATTAAATTTGTCTCCAAAACAAATAGTTACAAAAAATATTGTATGTAAAATACAAATAGCTCCCCTTTGCTTTGAACACTTGAATATATTCAAATATTCAAAGCAAAAAGGAGCTACTTGTAATTAAACATAATAAAATAACATGATTCCATGTGTTATTTCATAGATTTGATATCTTCTGTTATTCTAGATTGTGGAAAATAGTAAAAAAAAAAGAGGAATATTTATGAGTAGATGTGTCTAATTTTGACTGGTGCTGTATATTTATTCTGTATATTCTACACTGTCATGTCAAAACCTGCGAGCTTCACTTTTATGCTGTTTGAAAACACCAGCTGCCCTTTAATAGAAACATGAGCCAAAATTACTGAAATTAAACATACATTAAGGTTCGTTTTCCATTAAAAGACTTAAGGAACGTTCCAGCGTTCCATTTGCTGTGTACAGTTTATTGCCATGGACAAGACTGTCGACGTGTTTCTGTGTACAGAACAGACACTTTACTCAAGAAATAATTATAATGAAAGTCAATGGGCAGTTTCTGTAGAACACACAAATTAAAGGGGAATTCCACCAATTGTTCAAAATTCCCCCATCATTCAGTGTGTGAGGTGTAGACAGAGAGATTCAGAGTGGTTTGGTGTGAAATGGTTCAGATGTCTTTACAGTGGTGGTGATAGGAACCAGGGGTCGCCATGACAACAACACAAATATCTGAAATATTAAGTTTTCTTTGGGGACTATTTTGTCTCACGGCGCTCTGCATGTATCCCTCCACCATGAATAGCCTTAAAAAAATGTTTTAGGCTCAAAATCTTCTCAAAACTGTGGTAAAACAATATTCATAACCATTTACTGTAACTTTCTGTGAGGCAGCTTTTAGAGGTGGACGTCTGGTTCCTATCACCACCACTGTGAACAGTTCTGACTCCAAGTTTCTCTAGAACAGATCGTTTCATACCAAACCACTCTGAATGACTTTGTTTACATCTCAACCATTTAACTGTGTAGAAATGTTGAAAAAAAATGGTGGTGTTCCACTTTAAGCTAGATAACTGGTTCTTGCAGAGGTGGGACTAGTTTTCCTGAGGGAAGAATTTGTAGTAATTCGGTACCAACACAACAAATAAAACCATTTTAGTGAGGTTTTGTTATGACAGTGATGAGACACGTTAAACTGCAGCAACAAATCTACTGCCTTTAATAACACTGATAAATCACTATCAGTGATCAGAATCAGTTATAAAGCCCCCCAAAAATGGTATCAACATAGACTGAGAGCACTATTAGACTCTTATAAAATTGGAGAGGAGGTAAAACACCTCGGAGGAACATTTTCCTGAAGGGCAGCACTTATAAGTCTATATGACACCTACATAAGCTTTTGAAACCTGACATAAAGCTACATAACATTTTTATAAAGGTTTATTCCAACATATCATATTTTTCCTTAAAAAAGCTGCTTTTGTCCATTTCACCTCAGTAAGTGTCGTGACAACTGACGCTTGTTGGAATAAGTCTTTATAAATGTCCATACAAGTTTGTTTCTTGATGAAAGGTTTGTGTGACCTTATGAACGCCGTCCTTCTGTAAAGTTTTACCCACCTTAGCTGCATGAATGTGTACTGACTATAAGCATTTCGGGGTTTGGAAATGATCCCACTGCTTAAAAACAACATTTCCATTTTCTTTTTCAGTTTAAAAGGAAACTTTACCTTTCTGTTCAATGTGAACGTTGCAGTGATGTGGCTCTGTTTTGTACATTTTTCTGTGTACAGACATAAAACGAAAGGGACAGCTGACGTGACGTGACTGCTTTAATATATTTACACCTCTCAAAAATTAATATTGCTTTAAAAAAGCTGTATAACTTATTTATGTACAAGGACTTCACTGAGGTGAAGAGCTACTCTTTTTATATGATTTAGGCTGGAAAAAGTCATTTTTTCTTATCTAATATTGGTTAATAAACTTTTGAATGCAGATTAAAGCTGCTTCTGTGTATTGCTTGACTGCAGGAATGGTTTTTCTTTGTCCAGCGTACCGCGGTCACTCCCACAGCAGAGTGGGCTCAGCAGGAGCATCATGTGTCCTCTAAATCAGCTGAAACGTTTTCACTGTCATTGGTCACCAGCACTTCTCTGTTTTCATACGTCCAGAAGCCGTTGAGGTCGATGAGGATGCTGGTGACCGTATCCCCCTGACCGCTGTTCACCAGGTCCTGCAGTGTGATCTTGTAGGGATCTTTGGGCTTCACCATGTCGAAGATTTCATCCTGGAAAACATTAGATGTAGACATAGTGGTCACAATTTGCCTGTGAATTTAAAGGGGTACTTCACTGATTTTTCAAAAATTCTGTATAATTAAATGGTTAAGCTGTAAACAGAGTCGTTCAGAGTGGTTTGGTGTGAAACGCTCTGTTCTAGATAAACTTACTGAGTCAGAATTGTTCACAGTGGTGGTGATAGGAACCAGATGTCCACCTCTAAAAGCTCCCTCACAGACAGTAATTACAGAAAATGGTTATGAATTCACTGCCTGATGACTGAGACTCTGTTTTATGATAGTTTTGAGAAGATTTTGGCTTTAAACTCCATTCATGGTGGAGGGATACATAATATGCAGGCTGTTGTGAGGCAAAATAGTCCCCAAAGAAAACTTATTATTTCAGATTTTCCACTATTTTCCATCATCAACATTCCATATAAACTCAGAAGACTCGTGTAGGTTCACTGGTGCTTCTGGATAGTAAATAAAATGTCTATATTTGTGTTGTAGTCATGGCGACCCCTGGTTCCTATCACCACCACTGTAAAGACATCTGAACCATTTCACACCAAACCTCTCTAAATCACTCTGTTTACATCTCACACACTGAAATATGCAGAATGTTTCAAAAACTGGTGGGATTTATCAACTTAATCTCCATCAGCCACATCTGCAGTGTACAGTCGATTATCACAGTCACAGAACGAAAACCCCTCGACTCATAGCACATAGAAGTTAATGAATTTTATCAGTAAATGTCTTTGGGATTTTTTTGTAGATACACTTTAATCAATTCTTCGGTCAAAGGGTCAAATACGTGTACGTATTAATTACACTGTAAATCTGTATAACTAGGCGGGATAACTAGACAGGACTAGTTTTCCAGAGGGAAGAATACAGAAAGTGAAAGTGACCGGGACTACTTTTTTTCTGTATCCCCCAGAGTTGTAAAGTTCGATAAACCCTTATGAGAACAGTTTTGGTCAGACGTCCTCTCAGTCTGTCTCATCTTAACATTTACAGGGTTAGAGTGGAACGACTGTAGATCCACATTCATGAGCAAAATGTGTAAAAATGTTAAAACATCCTCTACGGACAACACACTCCTGCACATTCTAATACATGATTACAGTTTATACCTTGACGTCCTGAAAGGACACAGGTTCCTGTCCGTGGATCTTCATCTGCTCCTGAATGGCCTGAACACAGATAAACGATTTAAGCCTTTGTACCTCATTCAGAATTAAAAAACAAAGAGAAGTATGTCGGCGTTTCTCCCCCAACTCTGACTGACTTACTCAGTCAGCAAGACATGTTTGGTGTCTGAAGGCGGCTTCTTTAGTTTTAGCACTGGAGGCTAATGTAGCTCACAAGCAATGGAAGCTTATTAACCAATTAGCATGGTGCTAACTGCAGGCCTACATCATCACACCCACCTCAAACCGTGTGGAGCTGTTCAGTGTCTCTAATCGTCTTGATTGTGGGGTTTCTGACACCGTATGACTCACTGTTCTCTATAAACTGGACTAAATGATCCAACTGTATCTGCCAAATACTATAAATGCACAATGTAAAAGTGCTAAAGGACAATTTTCTACTGTTTTACTTCTTAAAGGGAGAGTTTAGATTTTTACGGCGCTCTGCTGGTGACATCCTGTATAAATAAAAATAATGCGTGGCCACGACTTAGTAAGGCATGGGAACAAGATAATTAAGTCATGGCCACAACTTAGTAAGGCATGGGAACAGGATAATTGTCACGCATCCACCGAGCTCTAGGGTGGATTCGGACTCAATCTCCCAGAATCCTCTGGGAGATCACCTGACTCCTCAAGTGACTCCGCGCTCCTATCAGCGCTCTAGATCTCCCGAATACTGATGGGAAGCACCTGTGTTATTTGTCATATGACATACTTAGTTTAGTATTTAAGCCCAGGCTTTAGCTCAGAATAGTTGCGAGGTACTGTATCCACTTTTGCGATCTACTGAGCGGTCATTTCTTGGAATTTATTTTGTGTGTGATCTTTGTCTTTCGTTTTCTCGACTTTGCCTTTTTGCTCTGCCCTTTGGATTTGTTTGCCTGATTTCGGATTACTGTTTTTGACTCATTGCCTGTATCTTCGACCACGCTGTTGCCTGTCCCCTTCTTGAACTGGATGTATTGTCAGATGTATGTTTGTGTGTATTTTCTAAGCCCTTTGGATTCGACCCCTGCCTGTTTTGTGACGACAACTTTGAACTGTGATTCTCTCAGTAAAGCCCCTTCTGTATTTTACATCTGCGAGCGTCTGAATCTGTTTGGCACGTTACAATAATTAAGTTGTGGCCACAACTTAGTAAGGCATGGGAACAGGATAATTAAGTTGTGGCCACAACTTAGTAAGGCAAGGGAAAGAGATCCTAATGCGAGGCCTTGACTTAGTAAGGCATGGGAACAAGATCCTAATAAGTGGCCACAACTTAGTAAGGCATGGGAAAGAGATCCTAATGCGAGGCCTTGACTTAGTAAGGCATGGGAACAAGATAATTAAGTCATGGCCACAACTTAGTATGGCATGGGAACAAGATAATAAGTCGTGGCCACAACTTAGAGAGGCATGGGAAAGAGATCCTAATGCGTGGCCACAACTTAGTAAGGCATGGGAACAAAATCCTAATGCATGGCCACAACTTAGTAAGGCACGGGAACAAAATCCTAATGCATGGCCACAACTTAGTAAGGCATGGGAACAAAATCCTAATGCGTGGCCACAACTTAGTAAGGCATGGGAACAAAATCCTAATGCATGGCCACAACTTAGTAAGGCATGGGAACAAGATAATTAAGTCGTGGCCACAACTTAGTATGGCATGGGAACAAGATAATTAAGTCATGGCCACAACTTAGAAAGGCATGGGAAAGAGATCCTAATGTGAGGCCTTGACTTAGTAAGGCATGGGAACAAGATAATTAAGTCATGGCCACAACTTAAAGAGGCATGGGAAAGAGATCCTAATGTGTGGCCACAACTTAGTAAGGCATGGGAACAAGATCCTAATGCGTGGCCACAACTTAGTAAGGCATGGGAACAAAATCCTAATGCATGGCCACAACTTAGTAAGGCATGGAAACAAGATCCTAATGCGTGGCCACAACTTAGTAAGGCATGGAAACAAGATAATTAAGTCGTGGCCACAACTTAGCAAGGCATGGGAACGAGATCTTAATGCATGGCGACGACTTAGTAAGGCGTAGGAACGAGATCAAGCCTGACTAAGTCGTCGCCACGCATTAGGATCTTGTTCCCACGTGTTAATACAGGGCTTATTTTTATTTGTACAGGATGTCACCAGCAGGGTCCGTAAATTTTGGCCAAACGATCGATTTAAAATATGCCTCACAAATCAAGGCAACAAAACCCGACCCTGCTGAACAGAACACGGTGAACTCCAGTGTAATATTTTCATAAAAACTCCTTCTTTACCCTGAAAAAGTAGTTGAGAGCGAAGACGTTGAGGTAGCCTTTGTTTTCCATGTCCAGCAGTTTGAAGATGTACTGCAGCGCTGCAGGTTCCTTCCTGTTCTCCAGAGCCAGCACGAAGTCCAGATACGTCTTATAGTCCTGAGACAGGAGCGTTTCCATTACACACGTTATAAAAGAAGGGAAAAAATAAAAAAAATTATAAATAAATAAATAAATACTGTCACTCACATTAAAAGCAAATCAAAACTTAAGAAGCCTTTATTTATTTTTCTGCTAAGCACCACAAAAAAGCCTCCTATATCTGATACATTTAAACAGAATGGTAACACTTTCCTGAAGGGTGTCTACATAACACATTCATAACATCTCACATAAACACTTTATAACATGTTAATGAGTATACATGTTTTACATGATATTAATATGGAAAAATATGTAATTTTACTGAGATACATTTTTTTCCAAAATAAAAGTCCCCATTTTTTATTTTGAATAAGTATATTATTTTCAGTAAAACATAATTTCTGGACAGACAAAATAAAAATGACCTCACTTTATCCCTTTGGTCATTAAGTGCTTTTACACTCAGGAATGTTTCATATATACTTTCGCGCATGCGGGTCATTTCAGGACGCCGGTTCGTTCACATTAATGACAGATTTGAATCAGTTACATAAACGAGTGTGAACCATCACGTCAGAGAGATCGGATTTGAGCATAAAATCGGATTTGAGCAGGGAGGCTTGTAATGTGAACGTAGCCAAAGTGACTCAGGTTGGATTTGAAAAGATCAGATTTGTGTCCACACAGCTCTGAAAACATCAGATCCGAGTCACATTAGGGCAAAAAATCGGATTTGTGCCACTTCAACCTGGTAATGTGAACGTAGCCAATGTTGCTATGAGAGCACGTGAAGATGACCCAAAGCAATTAAATATCCGTGTTACATTTTCCCGTGTTAGTCCGAGTCCCACTCTGCCCTACTTGTTAAAGAGATTCAGTAATATAATTATTTCAGCCCATTAAATGCTTAGCTTTGTTTTTATTCATCACTAATACTACAAATAAGAGGGAATAGTGACATTTTTTACCATTTCACCATCATAGGTCAGACACTCCTGGTAGACCCGGTCCAGAAAGACGCTGGTTAACGTTCCTGTGCCGTAACGGGACAGTTCCTCTTTACTCAGCATTCCATTATGATCCTTATCGAGGTTGAGATACTGACCTGCGCAGGAAGACGACAACTTCACGACTTTAGTGCCAGCAGATGTTTATGTGGTCTGAAATAATTACTGAAGTCATTGAGACAGACTGTAGGACTGACTGAGCAGCTCACCGTAAACCCGGAGTGCAGAGGGAGCCGAGAACCAGTTGGATTCCTGACTCTCTTTGGACAGATCCTCATCTCTCAGCTGCAAAACAATTCAGGATTTTATAGCAACAGGAAATGGAGGCACTGGTTACACAGCAGTAGAACATAGACAATAAAAACAGTACATCACTTCACTTTCTCAAGCACAGCTTTGAAGAACCTTTAAAAAGTCAATAAAAAATGTAAAAATGAAAATGAATTTATCCTCAATGACCTCATAGATTTTTATACTGTACACACACACACACACACACACATACATACACACACACACATATATATATATATATGAATAAAGTTCTGTGCAAAAGCCTTAGGAAGCCATGAAAATTGCTTAAGACTATTTATCAGTAAGTGTGTTTCTGTCACCAAAACCACTATATAACATTACAATAGATACAAATAAACAATAATAAAAGTAAATAAACCAATAAAAAACAAGAATGTTCTGTTATTAAAAATTTCAAAGGCCCATATTCTGCATATTTGTTGTATTTTATTTTTTCCCCTCTGAACTTAAATTTGTATGATTTTATACACCAAAAAGTCGTAATTAATTTTTGACCATTTTTTAGCTTCTTATCTCCTAATTAAACAGCCCATTTTTCTTACTGTTCCTTTAAAACTGTAAATGAGACTGTAAATATATGTAAATGATCTCTGTTCTGACTGGCTGTCCTATATTGTGCCTCAATCAAATCAGCAGCTTAAACACTCCTTATAATTTCAGAATGAGTGGGCAGGGCTAAACTGCTGTAGGCTGAATGGCCAGACATATGTAATAGGTACTTGTATAAGTACTTGTTTCCATGACAACACAAACACATTAAGCTCTGCCGATAAACAGTGCTACATATAAATTTCTAATTTCTGCACAGCACTCTCTCTCTCCCTCTCTCTCACTCACACACACACATACATACATATTCATATTCTGACCACCTCCTTGTTTCTACGCTCATCCTCTTATCAGCTCCACTTACTATATAGGTGCACTTTGTAGTTCTACAGTTACAGACTGTAGTCCATCTGTTTCTCTGATACTTTGTTAGCCCCCTTTTACCCTGTTCTTCAGTGGTCAGGACCCCCATGGACCCTCACAGAGCAGGTACTATTTGGGTGGTGGATCATTCTCAGCACTGCAGTAACACTGACGTGGTGGTAGTGTGTTAGTGTGTGTTGTGCTGGTCTGAGTGGGTCAGACACAGCAGTGCTGCTGGAGTTTTTAAACACCTCAGTGTCACTGCTGGACTGAGAATAGTCCACCAACCAAAATATCCAGCCACAGCATCCTGTGGTTAGCGTCCTGTGAGCAGTGTCTGGTGGGCAGCATCCTGTGACAACTGATGAAGGACTAGAGGATGACCAACACAAACTGTGTAGCAGCAGATGAGCTACTGTCTCTGACTTTACATCTACAAGTTGGACTGACAAGGTAGGAGTGTCTAATAGAGTGGACAGTGAGTGGACACAGTGGTTAAAAACTCCAGCAGCACTGCTGTGTCTGATCCACTCAGACCAGCACAACACACACTAACACACTACCACCACGTCAGTGTTACTGCAGTGCTGAGAATGATCCACCACCCAAATAGTACCTGCTCTGTGAGGGTCCATGGGGGTCCTGACCACTGAAGAACAGGGTAAAAGGGGACTAACAAAGTATCAGAGAAACAGATGGACTACAGTCTGTAACTGTAGAACTACAAAGTGCACCTATATAGTAAGTGGAGCTGATAAAATGGACAATGAGCATAGAAACAAAGAGGGGGTCATAATGTTATGCCTGATCAGTGTATATACGCATGTGGACATATATGCACACTTATACACTACCTCAAGCAGATCATCCAGGAAACTACAAGCCAAGATGTCCTGAATCTTAATTTTCCCTGAAAAATACGTACAAAACATGTCAAATGGGGGACAAAAGTGGATTCTTTCCTAATTAATTAATTAAATTATTTTATAATAATTATTATTAATTATTATTTTAAGTAAATAATTAGGTTGGTGTCTCTTCTGGTGAAACAGAAGTGTCACGGATTCGCCAGAGGTGACACCAACCTAATTAATTACTTAAAATAATGGTTTGGATAGAAGTAACGATGCAGAAATGAACGCAGCACGTGCACGAGGACTGTAAAAATCACACCTGTGCGAAGAGGATCGAGGAAGAAGAAGAACTTGCGAACAGCAGTGCAGACATAAAAAGAGTAGAAGGATTTCTCCAGGCCGTCGAGCTGAGGCAGAGTGGGAATTAGCTCCAGGATGTAGTTCTCCAAGTCCTTAAAGACAGGAAAAAAAAAAAGCAGGCATTGTTAGGCCATCTGGACGCTGAATGCCATCGTAAACTCTGTCCACAGAGCTGAGGGTAGTTTTGTTATACAGACAATGGCAACACAGCAGTGAACCTCTGTACACAGAACAATGTCACTCACAGACTCTCGGAGGTAGCCCTGCCCCGCCACGTCGTACAGACTCAGCCCGATCCTCGTCTGGTGCAGCCAGACTGACCAGAGAACAGGAGAGAAAATCAAACGAAACATTAAAATCAATACAGAAACATCTCACAATGTGTCTTTGCTATTTAGCTTTAACTTATATTTACCCATCATATTTACCTTCTATTTTAGATTTTCATAAAATTTGTATTGCTCTTTTTTATTGTGTTTTGACTTTTATTTTTATTATTTCATTGTAAAGCACTTCAAGCTGCTGTGTGTATTAAATCTGCTCTATGAATAAAATTCAAAATAACCACAAGAAAGTACCAAAATATATAAAAAAGTGCTGGAGTGAAAACCGGACTCACAAAAGTGTCTTAAGAAAGAAAACTTTCTCAAGTGTGTTTTTTCTTAACTTCATTTTTAAGAAAAAAGTGATGAGAAATTGTTATTCTTCATATATACTTCAAATAACTTCTTAAGAGTTCTCTTATTTTCTTTTCTTAACAATTTTCTTAAAAATAATTCTAAGAACGAGTGTTTTTCTTGAAAATATTATGTTCTTAAATGTTTTCTTAATCTTACAACAGACTGACACTCGTCTCAGGCTGTGAGAGTCGAGCTCCACTCACTCCTGTCTCTCTGTGGATCATTCTGATCATCATTCTCACTGTCTGTGAAACTTCATGCCCTCTTTGAATGGGGGGAGATGGAGCCCCCGATAGCCGTGTGGACGACCCTGCCTGAGATTCTCCTTCAACAACACAGACAGACAGTTTCCTCCGAGTCCGTCTGGCTCTTTATTCTAGATAAACACAGTTTCCTGCTCAGCCGTTTCTTATCCTAATAACAGGCTGGTGCTGATGTGCAGGAGAGACAGGGAGACTGAGTGTTTCTTTATGGGTGAATCGATATGAAAGTAGAACTCCACCAACTCAACACCCCTCATTTAACACGAGGAGGTGCTGCTTCCCTTCGCAAAGCCTTTGGCCACAATATTGACCTTCCCTGGTATTAATGCCGCTTTAATGTCATAATTTTACGATTTTATTATTGAAAAATTATGATTTTTTTTAATATTACGAATTTTTTATCTAAATATTACAACTTTTTCTCAAAATATTACTTTTGTTTTCTTAAAATATTACAACTTTATCTAAATATTACAACTTTTTCTCAAAATATCATTACATACGACTTTTTACTCAAAATATTATGACTTTATTCTCGAAATATTATGACTTTTTTCCTTGAAATATTACGAGATTTTTTCTCAAAATATTATGACTTTTTTCTCAAAATATTACAACTTTTTTTCTCAAAATATCATACCATACGACTTTTTACTCAAAATATTATGACTTTATTCTTGAAATATTATGTTTTTTTCTAAATATTACGACCTTTTTCTCTCAAAATATTACGACCTTTTTCTCTCAAAATATTACAACTTTTTTTCTCAAAATATTATGACTTTTCTCCCTCAAAATATCTCGAAATATCATACCGTACGACTTTTTACTCAAAATATTACGACTTTATTCTCGAAGTCTACTATTTTTATTTTTATTAACAGTGGCCCTAAAATGCTGTCATAGAAAACAGACTCGAGGCACGACAGCCGTGCTCTCAAATTTTTTTGGTGGCCATGTTCAGACGAAAGCCCAAACGTAAAAGGCTCTCGTTTGTCTTGTCAACATCAACACAAACAGATTTGCCTTCATATTTACAGCAAACTCAAGCTTACAGTACAGTTCAGTCACTGAGTCTGTAAAAGATCAACCCGAGAGCAGATTCTACAGAATAAGAGCGCACCTTTTCTCATGACATAGTTAAAGAACTGCATAATTGATATCCGTCCATATGGGTCGTTGTGAAGCAGCTTGGCGTAGACTCTGGCAGTGAAGAACAGCCTGCGGAACAGAAAGGAGGAGAGAAGGAGAACCGGACTGAGTCTGAGACTCCATTATTACTCAGAAACAGCAGATTTCGCAGCTTTTCTACTTACTTGCACTTAGCACCAGCTTTTTCTCCGACCTTCAGGAAACTCTCATAGCTTATCATGGCTTCATCACCTGTGGTAGGAGGAACCTGATGCTTGTCAAGAAGAAACCACAGATTCTAAGAGGAAAAAATACAAAATTAGAAAAAATGAAAAATGACTTTAACTAAATAAATAAATAAATACACAAATAATATAAATAAATAAGAATCTGCATGGAAATAAAAACATACAGACAACGTTGGAAAAGTGTGTGCAGAACATTGAGTCCATTTACATGCACTCAATAATCCGATCATAATTGGATTTCTGCAGTTATCTGATTATTCAAATGATCATGTAAACAGCTCACTCTTAGATCAGAGTAAGGTCTAGAAATCCGATGAAGAAATCTGATGAAGAGGCTGGATTTTAGCTCAGTAATCAGATTTCTCAGTGCATGTAAACTCTTACTCTGATTTTTTTTCGGATTTCTCAGTCTGTGCATGCACAAAAACAGACAGCGGTACTGGAAATAAGTGAGCAGCGTCGCCACGAGACGCAGCAAAACACTTTTGGAATGACATTGAAACCAAATACATGCTTGACAAAATGAAGGATTTAAATATTCATCATCTTCTAAATGATGTATGTTCATAATACCCCATTTCCAAAAAAGTTGGGACGCTGTGCAAAATGTAAATAAAAACAAAATGCAATGATGTGCAAATCATTTAAACCCTATATTTTATTGAAAATAGTACAAAGACAACATATAAAATGTTGAAACTGAGAAATTTTATTGTTTTTATAGGTGAAGTGGAAAAGTGTCCTGTGGTCCGACCAATCAACATCTGAGATTCTTTTTGGAAATCATGGACGCTGTGTCCTCAGGGCTAAAGACCACTCAGCTTGTTATCAGTGCACAGTTCAAAAGCCAGTATTCATGATGGTCTAGGGGTGCATTAGTGCACATGGCATGGGTGACGTGCACATCTGTGAAGGCACCATTAATGCTGAATGATATATACATGTTTTGGCAACATGTGCTGCCATCCAGACGACGTCTTTTTCAGGGAAGGCCTTGATTATTTCAGCAAGATGATGCCAAACCACATTCTGCATGTATTACAGCAGCATTGCTCCGTATTAAAAGAGTCCGGGTGCTAAACTGACCTGCCTGCAGTCCAGATCTGTCACCACTGAAAACAACTGGTGCATTATGAAATGAAAAATACGACAAAGGAGCCCCTGAACTGATGAGCAGCTGAAATTCTGTATCAATCAAAAACAGGAAAACATTTCACTTTCAGAACTACAGCAGTGTCTCCTCAGTTCACAAACACTTAGAGTGTTTTTTAAAGAAGAGGTGATGAAACACATGTTTTTGTTGTTGGCATCAAATTCAAAATGGGCATATATTTAAAAAAAACAAAAAAAACAATAAAATTTCTCAGTTTCAACATCTGATATATTGTCTTTGTACCATTTTCCTTTAAAAAATATGGTTTACATGATTTGCAGAACATTGCATCCTATTTTATTTACACTCTGCACAGCGTCCCAAATTTTTTGGAAATGGGATTGTATTTTCAGGTAAAGTGGCATGATTTAAGCCTTATGATGTTTGAGTTTTACATTATGTTTACATCACGTTTTATTCTGTGAGTTTATTTTGTGGTTGCAAAGCAGAAATCCGATTACTGCCTGACTCATGTAGACCTGGAGTTTCCCCATTATCTGATTACTCAAGCGCACACTCATGATCTCACTTGTAATTCCTCGTTGTCGAGGAGTTCGCGGCTCTTCCTCTGCAGAAACACCGCCCGAGACTCTTCTCTCAGTTTTTGCAGCAGAACTTCGTCCTCGGCTGGAAGCTGTTAGGAAAGTTGCAAATGCTGTTTCTGAATGTCCATCATTCAGCTCTGTGACTTAAGCAGTAAAACAGGAGGTGGAGTGTTTTGGTGAGTAAGATCGCAGCTGTGATTTGGGGTTTTGTCTCACAAAACAAGCTTCAGCTTCATAAAACCTAAGAAATGCAGCCACGATTAACTCATTTTATGACATCAACTTCGGGAACACTTTACTACAGGGTTCTGTTCATAAGGCTACATGACACCTACATTAGCTTGTCATGGCAACTCACATAACCCGACATAAACGTGTATAAAGGATTATCATCTGTCATAAAGGCTAACTACCTTTAATCAAAACTGGTAAATATAGCCTTTATAGCAAATGATGGAATAAGAATTTATACACACTTATGTACGGTTATGTCAGTTGTCATGACAAGCTTATGTAGGTCTTTTTCTGTTAACACAGGTTTAGATATTTAATCTAAAGGTTTAGATTAATCCTCGTGTGAGTACACGAAAGCGTGATATTACAGACAACTGCATGAAACATGAGTAGAGTGTGTATATTATATATATATATATATATATATATATATATATATATATATACACAAAAAAACCTGTTGTCAGAAGAAAACCTTGTATCATTTTTTTAGTTTTTGACATAAATTGAAAATGCCTGTTGTCCTTTATATTGTGTGTAAATTCCATGATGAATGAACTGAAAGAAATGACCCGAAATTACTTGGAAAGATGTCTGGTTCCATTGACTTACATTAAAAGTAAAGTAGGTTTTTTCCTTCTCCCGTTAAGTTACCTTTTTGGAGGTATGAGGTTTTCTTCCAACAACAGTGATGACAGCAATTTGCCAAATAAAAAAAGAAAAAAAGTATTTTTAAAAGGACTGGCAGGCCAGGGCAGAAGTCTGACGTTTATGTCTGACGTCTCCACCAGGTCAGCCCTGACTGGTCCAAGAGCTGTTCTCGAGTTTAACCTGACCTAGCAGCAGGTTAGGCATGCAGCATAAGTTGCCATGGCGATGTATACTGGTAAAAAGTGATCCTTCATCAATGAGACAGCGAGCAAGACCTCCTACTTCACGAAACAGATCCTGCAGATCATCTCAGCCACAATGTTATTCACCATAACAAACAACCTCGAGTGTTCTGCTGCTTTTATACTACAGTTTTACAAAGTAAAGAAAAAAGCAGAGCGAGATTTGGGTCCCTCACCCTGTAGTAGAAGCGCGGGATGTGTCTGAATGTGCCGTCTGTCTCGCCCCCTCCTTTCCATTCAGTGTAATATTTAGTGAAGAGCTCCGTCTCCTCTGCTTTCTTCTCCTCTTCACTCCTGTCGTCTGCAAGACAAAGGTCAATTTCACATTTTACAACTTTTGAGAAAGATTTTAACAAGAAACCTTCTGTCTGTCTTTACGTTACACCTCTTAAACCACTTAGATAAGAGTTAAAGAGCCCATATCACAGAAAAATTGATCTTCCAGAGTTTGATAACATATGTTCTTAGTAAAAAAATGGTTCTATATGCAACCATGAATACTCAAAGAACCCTTTGCATGATTAAAGGGTTCTCTGCATCATAAATGGGTTCTTCAGATTGACTGAAAATGTGTATGAATGTGCCATAAATGGTTCTATATATAACGTTTTTGAAAAGGGTTCTATATAGCACCCAAAAGAACACTTTTTGGTGCTATATAGAACCATATACAACACAACACATTCTCCATCAATGTGAAGAATCCTTTTATGATGCAAAGAACCCTTTAATTATGTAAAGGGCTCTTGAGTCTTCAGGGTTCGATACAGAAGTATTTTCTTTACTAAAGAACCCTTGAAGAACCATCTTTACTGTTCGCTCTCCAGGCCTATATATGGAAACCAATCAGCAGAAACAGCACATTTTCAATTTTTTGGTTTTGTGATGTCACATTGCATTTCTGCTTATTCCGTCTATGGCAGTTTAGCCCCGCCCCATCGTGCTGAAGTTATAAGGAATGTTTCAGTCTGGAGTGCTTTTTAAATGAGGCACAATACAGGACAGCCAATCAGTACAGAGCTCATTTACATATATTAGTCCTAAAGGAACAGCAACAACAACAGCCTGTTAAATTGAGTTTGAAAAATGTTACACAGATCAGGCATAACATTCTGACCACCTCCTTGTTTCTACACTCATTGTCCATTTTATCAGCTCCACTTACTATATAGGTGCACTTTGTAGTTCTACAGTTACAGACTGTAGTCCATCTGTTTCTCTGATACTTTGTTAGACCCCTTTTACCCTGTTCTTCAGTGGTCAGGACCCCCATGGACCCTCACAGAGCAGGTGTTATTTGGGTGGTGGATCATTCTCAGCAATGCAGTAACACTGACGTGGTGGTGGTGTGTGTTGTGCTGGTCTGAGTGGATCAGACACAGCAGTGCTGCTGGAGTTTTTAGACACTGTGTCCACTCACTGTCCACTCTATTAGACGCACCTGTGTTGTTGGTCCGCCTTGTAGATGTAAAGTCAGAGATGCTCATCTGCTGCTGTTTAGTATGTGCTAATCATCCTCTAGTCCTTCATCAGTGGTTGCAGGACGCTGCCCACAGGACACTGTTGGCTGGATATTTGGTGGACTATTCTCAGTCCAGCAGTGACACTGATCCACTCAGACCAGCACAACACACACTAACGCACCACCATCACATCAGTGTTACTGCAGTGCTGAGGATGACCCACCACCCAAATAGTACCTGCTCTGTGAGGGTCCATGGGGGTCCTGACCACTGAAGAACAGGGTAAAAGGGGGCTAACAAAGTATCAGAGAAACAGATGGACTACAGTCTGTAACTGTAGAACTACAAAGTGCACCTATATAGTAAGTGGAGCTGATAAAATGGACAATGAGAGTAGAAACAAGGAGGCGGTCAGAACGTTATGCCTGATTTGTGTATCATTAAACCAAGATGTAGACTGAACTGTTGTGAGCTCATATCAACACACTTGACTTGTTTTCAGCTCAGATTCTGAACAATAAGACCTAGCTGTGAACCTAAATGCAAGATTTGTGTTGATACTAGTTTAATAACAAAGTTAGCATCTTAAAACCCTTTAATATTTTACAAAGCGTAAAAATACTCATAAAAGATTTAAAGTGGAACTCCACCGATTTTTCAAAAATTCTGCATGATTAACTGGTTAAGATGTAAACAGAGCGGTTCAGAGTGGTTTGGTGTGAAACGCTCTGTTCTAGTGAAACTTACAGAGTCAGAACTCTTCACAGTGGTGGTGATAGGAACCAGACGTCCACCTCTACAGTAAATGGTTATGAATTTACTGCCTGATGACTGAGACACTGTTTCTCGATAATTCTGTGATACAGTTTTGGCTTGAAATATATTTGACTCCATACATTTTAAGCCAAATGTATGGATTAAAATACATGCAGGGCGCTGTGAGGCAAAATAGTCCCATATATTTATATTATATTTTCCATATAAACTCAGAAGACTCGTGTAGGTTTACTGGTGGTTCTGGATAGTAAATAAAATGTCTATATTTGTGTTGTAGTCATGGCGACCCCTGGTTCCTATCACCACCACTGTAAAGACATCTGAACCATTTCACACCAAACCACTCTGAATCGCTCTGTTTACACCTCACACACTGACTTACGCTGAAATGTAGAAAGATTAGTGGATTTTCCCTTTGGCTACGTATCAGGAGCCTGAATATGATGTATGCACTGCCCAAATCTTAACTAAAACAGAGTTAGGGGAGTTTCGTTAGCTTGGTTAGCTACATGCTATCTGCTACCATGTAAACACTGGAAACAAACACGGTCCTATTAAACCTAGTTGGCCTTACATTCTCACAAACCCAGAGAAAGGTGAGTGAAAACACTTCTGTTTTATTAATCCAGACTAAACTCAGCAAACTAATCCAACTTCAACGTTAACAGCGCTTCACTGAGACACTGAACCTGTTTTAGCAGAGGCCAGTCTTCTCCTCAGGATCTCCTTCCAGTATGCGGTCCTGTCGTTCGCCATATTCAGCTACTCAATCAGTAACAAAAATCCGACAAAACGAAATAAAACAATGTAAAAATTAAAGTTTATTTGCTCCATAAACGCCAGACTTATGGCCACTTAACCTAAGCTAACTACCCTAGCTAGGTTAGCAGCCGGGCTCCTCTCAGACTAATGACGTTGCAGCCTGCGGCCGGCTTTAAAGGGGAACTCCACCGATTTTTCAACATTTCTGAAGTATTCAGTGGTTGAGATGTAAACAGAGTCGTTCAGAGTGGTTTGGTGTGAAACGCTCTGTTCTAGAGAAACTTACCGAGTCAGAACTGTTCACAGTGGTGGTGATAGGAACCAGACGTCCACCTCTAAAAGCTCCCTCACAGAAAGTTACTACATGAAATGGTTGGAAGATATATTCAGGTTGTTGTGGGTCAAAATAGTCTCCAAAGATTTTTTTTTTTCAGATTTATCACTATTTTACCAGCATTAACCTTCTATATAAAACTCAAAAGACTCGTGTAGGTTCACTGGTGGTTTTGGATAGTAAATAAAATGTCTATATTTGTGCTGTAGTCATGGTGACCTCTGGTTCCTATCACCACCACTGTAAAATCTGAAAGCAACCATTTCACACCAAACCACTCTCAACAACTGATTTTTTCAGAAATTTTGAATAATTGGTGGAGTGGCCCTTTAACCCCTGTCAGACACTTTCAGACCCTTTCACCGCCCCCCCCCAATCCCTACGTAGTGCACTATAGATGTCATGCAATAACGACTACTGCACCCAAATAACGCTTTATATGACCAGTATAAAGCCATATATGTTCAGCCATAAGCTGCTCTACTCTTTTATTTGATGCCTTGTGCATTAAGTAAGTGTGGAAGTGACCTGTACAGTGTACTGTACAGGAGGCCTATATAGCCAAAGACGTTTTATTTACAGCATGTACAGGTATTATAAATATACACAGATCAGGCACAACATTCTGACCACCTCCTTATTTCTACACTCATTGTCCATTTTATCAGCTCCACTTACTATATAGGTGCACTTTGTAGTTCTACAGTTACAGACTGTAGTCCATCTGTTTCTCTGATACTTTGTTAGACCCCTTTTACCCTGTTCTTCAGTGGTCAGGACCCCCATGGACCCTCACAGAGCAGGTACTATTTGGGTGGTGGATCATTCTCAGCACTGCAGTAACACTGACGTGGTGGTGGTGTGTTAGTGTGTGTTGTGCTGGTCTGAGTGGATCAGACACAGCAGTGCTTCTGGAGTTTTTAAACACTGTGTCCACTCACTGTCCACTCTATTAGACACTCCTACCTTGTCAGTCCACCTTGCAGACGAAAGGTCATCTGCTGCTGCACAGTTTGTGTTGGTCATCCTCTAGTCCTTCATCAGTGGTCACAGGACGCTGCCCACAGGACGCTGTTGGCTGGATATTTTTGGTTGGTGGACTATTCTCAGTCCAGCAGCGACACTGAGGTGTTTAAAAACTCCAGCAGCACTGTGATACAGATAAACAATAAAAAACAAAATGATATACTAAAACGAATACTCAGGTCACCACAGAGCAGACTGCAGTCTCCATGTGTGAGTGTGTGTGCAGGTTCTGCAGCTAGTAAAAAGTGTATCACCTTCATTTACTAAAGAAAATCCTCAGATCTTAAAGTTTTGCAGGCTGGTGTCCATATCGCAACCATATCTATGGGTCATATTTAAGGTCTGAAAAATAAAAGAAACATAGATTCTGAAAAAACTACTAAAAAGCCTGATTATTTGTAGGTGATAAAGAGGTCGTAAAATTGGAAAAGATTACTTACGACTGTTTTTGACACGTTAAACCACACAAACGTTGTAGATGACCCTCGGGTGAGAAATGAAGAAAAATGAAGGGTATTTGCCCTTTAAGTGCAGCGTTTCGCACTCCAGACGGTGGGGGCGGCAGAGCGTAATGACATCACAGCGGAGGCGAAGAAGAGCGGAGCTGCATGCTGATGACTGTGAGTTTGTTTCTCGGTTTCTGATTAAATTTGTTATTAATATTATTGTTATTACTATTATTCAGTCTTCAAAGCGCGCTTCAGTAAAGAGGGGCAGCTCGGTGATCGAGCAGTGTTCGGTCTCAGTGCTGACGTCACGCTTTCTGACGCGTGAAGTGCACATTTGCAGAAAAATGAGAGACATATTTTGAATAATTTCAAATTATTAGTTAACAGTGTTTACTTACTTAAATGTTTGAGCTTCTCAGAAATGGCACATTTCTATGATCTCTTAAATGGCCATACTGTATCTACTTATCCATTTACTTTAAAGTAACTTGTCTTTTGACACTGACCTGCAGCTGCTTCCACTCACTGGCCACTTTATTAGAAACACCTACCTTGTGCTTCCACTCACTGGCCACTTTATTAGAAACACCTACCTTGTGCTTCCACTCACTGGCCACTTTATTAGAAACCCTGACCTTGTGCTTCCACTCACTGGCCACTTTATTAGAAACACCTACCTTGTGCTTCCACTCACTGGCCACTTTATTAGAAACCCTGACCTTGTGCTTCCACTCACTGGCCACTTTATTAGAAACACCTACCTTGTGCTTCCACTCACTGGCCACTTTATTAGAAACCCTGACCTTGTGCTTCCACTAACTGGCCACTTTATTAGAAACACCTACCTTGTGCTTCCACCCACTGGCCACTTTATTAGAAACACCGACCTTGCGCTTCCACTCACTGGCCTCTCTATTAGAAACACCGACCTTGCGCTTCCACTAACTGGCCACTTTATTAGAAACACCGACTTTGCGCTTCCACTCACTGGCCACTTTATTAGAAACCCTGACCTTGTGCTTCCACTCACTGGCCACTTTATTAGAAACACCGATCTTGTGCTTCCATTAACTGGCCACTTTATTAGAAACACAGATCTTGTGCTTCCACTCACTGGCCACTTTATTAGAAACACCGACCTTGCGCTTCCACTAACTGGCCACATTATTCGAAACTCAGACCTTGTGCTTCCATTAACTGGCCACTTTATTAGAAACACCTGCCTTGTGCTTCCACTAACTGGCCTCTGTATTAGAAACACCTACCTTGTGCTTCCACTCACTGGCCACTTTATTAGAAACACTGACCTTGTGCTTCCACTAACTGGCCACTTTATTAGAAACTGCGGTCAGAAACTGCCCATTGATGACTAACACAAACTGTGCATCAATAGCTGAGCTGCAGTCTGTAAGTGTACACCAGTGAGGTGGAGCTGCAGGAGAAGGGTTTCTGATAAAGTGGCCAGGGATTGAATGTGTTACATAACAGTCTTGTGCAAAACTTTGGTCAAATGACATTATTGTTTTTATTATTGTTGAAGTGTAAATAAGTTTACAGCCTGTACAGAGAACGCACTTCTGCACACTTTAATGCACAACCGCTGTTTCTCTGTGGAATTTAACGCACTGGGAAAACATTAAATGTGCCAAAAACTGCACATTAAGTTTATTTTCCCTGATATGTTAAACTCAGCAAATAAACAAAAATTGTGCCCTAAAATTTGCTTCAACCAAGCATGTAGTTTGACTGGAGGTGTTTAAACCTTTGCATGCGACTGTATGTATTCATTTGCAGTAGTCTAGTTAAATGCCAGGTTGATTCTAATAGTGTGTCTGGTTTCCTGCAGAGAAAGACTTCCGCTCCAGGCACTGGAGCTTATCCGTGGATGCAGGATGGGATCTTTTGCTTTTACAAAGTATCTGCGCCTGTTATTTGGCCACCAGCTTCCTCGTCAGAGTGTTCCTGTTGTTCTGCAACGGAAAAATCACCCGAACGTTCAGCTTTACTGCACCAATAAAGAGAAAAGACTGCCTGAAGCAAACAGCAGAAGATCTAATCAAAGAGAGAAACCTGCGTTTCCAAAGTCAGTGTTTGCTGCTGGCACTGCCAAGAGGACGGCGGACTTTTTAAAGAGAAGAGCAGGAACAGATCCCGAACAGGCCGGCAGTTTAGCGCGAGACAGAGCGTCCTTCCTACAGAAGATACCTGAGGGACCGCTGAGTGCTCCAGAGTGGAGGAAGCTCAAAGACAGCTCGTCCAGACCGGAGCGCTTCGAGGTGAGGATGATGGAGTTAATGCTGGCTGCAGCGGCCGACGTTAACATTGCCAAATCTCTTCTGGCCTATGTTGCTATGGAGAAGGGGGCGGTGCCATACATGCTCCTGCTGAGGTACCTCGCCCTTTGCGTGTCCGGCGGCCACCACTCAGAAGTGCTGGACACGTATGATGTCATGAGGACGTGCTTTAAAACTCTGGACTCTGGTGCGTACAGCCTGCTCGTCAAAGGCTTCAGTCAAACCGAGCGCTGGAGGGAGGCCTTAGTGATGCTGGAGGAAATGAAAAAAGTCATCACGCCCTCACCTCGTAACTATGGCGACGCTATCGCCGGGGCTTTTCTCCATGGCGACAGTGAGACAGGTTGGATGCTCTATAGTGAGCTTCTGAAGCTGGGCCTGACGCCTAATCAGGACACCTGGCAGTGCCTGTTCGAAAATGCCGGCACCGAACATCAACACAGAGACAGACTCGTCGACATCCTGACCTACATGAGAGAGAACCAGGTGTATCCTGAGGAGCCGCTGGCCCAAAGCATCAAAGCCTGGTTTGAAAGGTGAAGATCACAGCCTAATTTCTTACTTTTTTAAAGGAATGCTTCACCAAAAAATCTAATTGCACAGTTTACCCCCCCCCACCCCAAATGTAGTCAGTCAGCTGAGACGTTTGAAATTTGCTCCTGTCGTTTCAGCACTGAAGCTACGAGGCTAATGCAATAGCAGTCTATATCATAGACGTCCATTACTGTTACATTAGCCTCGTAGCTCCAGTGCTGAAACTGATGAAGCAAACTTCAGACACCATTTGATTTTTTGGTGAACTATTCCTTTAAAAATACATGAAGGGAAATCTTACTCAGTGCACTTTGTAGTTCTACAGTTACAGACTGTAGTCCATCTGTTTCTCTGATACTTTGTTAGCCCCCTTTTACCCTGTTCTTCAGTGGTCAGGACCCCCATGGACCCTCACAGAGCAGGTACTATTTGGGTGGTGGGTCATTCTCAGCACTGCAGTAACACTGACGTGGTGGTGAATTAGTGTGTGTTAGGTTTTTTAAATATTTAATTTATAACGTAATGTTGATGGAACTCAAAAGGCGGAACTTGGAGGTGGGTAAGTGCAGCGCCCAGATAGTCTGTGGCACATAACACAAACACAACTGGATGAGCGAGAAATCCGACCGGCTCCCTCTGCATTAAAGCCAGGTTAGATCAGGAGTCACAACACAAATGATAAGAAGAGCCATTTTGTCCTTTCAACAAAAATCAAACCAGCTTGGGAGCCACAACATTTAATGTCCAGTATGTCTCAGTGTGTGCTGATGTCCTAGTATAGACTAAACTAGCTTTAGCTGCTTTCCTCCCCTTTCCCTCAGAAAACTTTATTCAAAACTAGAGCAGCTTATTGTAAAATGTCTCTCAACATTCAGCTGTTTTACGAGGCTGAAGTCGCTTCTTATTCTCCAGCTTCTCTTTTGAATTTTCCCGTTCCACCTTAAATTCTGACTGAGGCATCGAATGTAAATGCGGCACCATTTAAGGTGGAACGAGAAAATTCGGAAGAGAAGTGACTTCATCTTCACAACTTCTTACTGTGTGACAATCTCTCGCTGCAGATTTAACTTGCCAGGAAACCGACTGCGCTGCTTATAAATGCGAATAACACATCGTTGCTATGTGACCTGCAGTCTGCACGCCGGTTCGCAATCGTTGCGAAACAGGGCTTTCGCGCTATGCTGCACACGTCCCGTCTCAAAGATATTTACTGACACTGCGATCCGCGTCTCTACAACGAGACCGTCACTATAAAGTCACTAAAAACGGGTAGGACGACTGTAACGCGCTGCATGGTCATCCACTGCCACTGGATCTTATTTCACCGTAACTGCGCATTTTATCGCAGATGAGTGGCAGCAGCTTCTCATGTGCTCCAAAGGCAGTGAATTAGAGCCTTCTAGTTCACTTACCGCATCACTTCCATTTGATTTATTAATAAAAGATATTGGAAGTAAATTCATTATGGATCATTACAAACACTTCGCTTTAAAACTACCAAGTCCTCAAACAGTGAGAAAATAGAAATGATGTATAGAAAAAAAAAAGATGCATCAAGACCAGTGCTGCTGGTGTTTTTAAACACCTCAGTGTCACTGCTGGACTGAGAATAGTCCACCAACCAAAAATATCCAGCCAACAGCGTCCTGTGGGCAGCGTCCTGTGACCACTGATGAAGAGGATGTCCAACACAAACTGTGCAGCAGAAGATGAGCTATCGTCTCTGACTTTACGTCTACAAGATGGACTGACAAGGTAATAGAGTGGACAGTGAGTGGACAGTGTTTAAAAACTGCAGCAGCACTGCTGTGTCTGACCCACTCGTACCAGCACAACACACACTAACACACCACCACCACGTCAGTGTTACTGCAGTGCTGAGAATGATCCACTGAGCAAATAGTACCTGCTCTGTGAGGGTCCATGGGGGTCCTGACCACTGAAGAACAGGGTAAAAGGGGGCTAACAAAGTATCAGAGAAACAGATGGACTACAGTCTGTAACTGTCCATTCTATCAGACAGGCTTGAGAAACTAGTAGGAGTGACAGGTAAAGCTCTTTCGTGGTTCAAATCTTACCTTAGTGATCGCTTTGAGTTTGTTAATGTAAATGGTGAACCATCAGCTCTCACAAGTGTAAAGTATGGTGTTCCACAGGGCTCTGTTTTAGGACCCATGTTATTTACCTTATATATGCTACCACTAGGTACCATCATTAGAAAACATGGCATCAGTTTCCACTGCTATGCCGATGATACACAATTATATATTTCAGCTAAACCAGAGGACAAAACTGAACTTAATAAGATAGAGGACTGTGTCAAAGACATTAAAGACTGGATGTCAAGCAACTTCCTTTTACTAAATTCAGACAAAACCGAAGTCCTTCTTCTGGGTCCAAAAGCTGCTAGGGATAATCTGCCTACGTTTACTCTTAATCTCGATAGTTTCTCAGTTGCACCAGGCACATCTGTAAAAAGCCTTGGTGTCACGATTGATCCCAGTCTGGCCTTCGATGAGCATATTACCAATATTACCAGAATAGCTTTCCTCCACCTGCGTAACATCGCTAAACTAAGAAATGCACTGTCGCTACAGGACGCAGAAACGTTAGTTCACGCCTTCATCACGTCCAGGTTAGATTACCGTAACGCTCTGCTTTCTGGCTGTTCCAGCCAAAACCTTAACAAGCTTCAGTTAGTCCAGAACGCTGCAGCCAGAGTTCTCAGCAAAACCAGGAAATTCGACCACATTAGCCCAATTTTGTGTACCTTACATTGGCTGCCAGTTAAATTCCGCATTGAGTACAAAATTCTTCTGCTGACGTATAAAGCTCTGAATGGCCTTGATCCTCAGTACCTCAGTGACCTTATTTCCTATTATCAACCGACACGCCCACTTAGATCACAAGGTGCTGCTCATTATTAGTACCCAGAATAAATAAAGTTACGTCAGGGGGAGGAGCCTTTTCATACCACGCCCCCCAGCTTTGGAATAGCCTACCAGTCTGTGTTCGGGACTCAGGCACAGCCTCCATCTTTAAGTCTAGGCTAAAAACTTACCTGTTTAGTCGAGCCTTTGGTTAATTTGTTTTTCTAACTATGTCCCTCTCATCCCCCCTCCCCTCTACCCCCCCCTTCCCCCTCCCCCTCTCTTTCCCTGAGCTGAGCGGCTGCCTGTCCTAAGAGGGTCTGACCTGAGATGCGGCCAGCGCACTGCACAGTGGTGTTAAACTGTATCCACTTATACTGTTTTGTGTCTGTGCTGTTATCCGGTGTCGACCAGAGGAGGATGGGTTCCCCTTTTGAGTCTGGTTCCTCTCGAGGTTTCTTCCTCCTTTTGAGGGAGTTTTTCCTTGTCACTGTCGCCAAGGCTTGCTCACTGGGGGACCCGGATTCTTTGTAAAGCTGCTTTGTGACAACATCTGTTGTAAAAGGTGCTATATAAATAAATTTGACTTGACTTGACTAACTGTAGAACTACAAAGTGCACCTATATAGTAAGTGGAAAGTAAGTAAATGGAATCTAATTGTTGTGAAGTCAGAGATTTCCAACAATAGCACATTTATAATGCAGGATTGTAGATGTTGTGGTGATGTAATGTTTTGTCTTGTTACAGTTTACCAGATGAAAAGTGGAGAGGAAGGTTCGCCTCTGTGGATTCCAGGTAAGGCACTTATTTTCCTGAGTGGGGTTGGGGTGGAACAGTGGGGTTGGGGTGGAACAGTGGGGTTGGGGTGGAACAGTGCACCGTGGAATTGTGATACATTCAGGTCATCTTAAAACTACTAATTGATTTCACAGCTTTTTTTGGAGTTTATGCAACTTAATTCAGTCAAATAATCTCCTGACTGACTGACAGCTCTTAGTTCTGCATCTCAGTGAGGTCGACAACACAATGCAAAGAAAGCAACTCAAAGAAAGCAGTGAATGTGCTTCCTCATTGTAAGCTGACCACATTCTTACCTTCTCCCCCTCTTAATGTCCACCTGCAGGGTAGGATGATTTGGACTTCCCATATCACATGGACTGTGTTCCACATAGCAAACTGTATACTGTATATGCCACACTGCACCAGCACTGTATACTGCACGACGCTACTCATCAGTAATATACAGTATACTGCATACTGTACTGTATAAAGCACTACTCTTCATCAGTAATATACAGTATACTACATACTGTACTGTATAAAGCACTACTCTTCATCAGTAATATACAGTATACTACATACTGTACTGTATAATGCACTACTCTTCATCAGTAATATACAGTATACTGCATACTGTACTGTATAAAGCACAACTCTACTCATCAGTAATATACAGTATACTACATACTGTACTGTATAAAGCACTACTCTTCATCAGTAATATACAGTATACTACATACTGTACTGTATAATGCACTACTCTTCATCAGTAATATACAGTATACTGCATACTGTACTGTATAATGCACTACTAATCATCAGTAATATACAGTGTGCTGTATACTGTACTGTATAATGTGCTACTCATCATCAGTAATATACAGTATACTGCATACTGTACTGTATAATGTGCTACTCTTCATCAGTAATATACAGTATACTGCATACTGTACTACTCTTCATCAGTAATACACAGTATACTGCATACTGTACTGTATAAAGCACTACTCTTCATCAGTAATATACAGTATACTGCATACTGTACTACTCTTCATCAGTAATACACAGTATACTGCATACTGTACTGTGTAATGCGCTACTCATCAGTAATATACAGTATACTACATACTGTGCTACTCTTCATCAGTAATATACAGTATACTGCATACAGTACTGTATATTGCGCTACTCTTCATCGGTAATATACAGTATACTGCATACTGTACTATATAATGCGCTACTCTTCATCAGTAATATACAGTATACTGCATACTGTACTGTATAATGCGCTACTCTTCATCAGTAATATACGGTATACTGCATACAGTACTGTATATTGCGCTACTCTTCATCAGTAATATACAGTATACTACATACTGTACTGTATAATGCACTACTCTTCATCAGTAATATACAGTGTACTGCATACTGTACTGTATACTGCACAACTCTACTCATCAGTAATATACAGTATACTGCATACTGTACTCTGTACTGCACTACTAATCATCAGTAATATACAGTATACTGCATACTGTACTGTATACTGCACAACTCTACTCATCAGTAATATGCAGTGTGCTGTATACTGTACTGTATAATGTGCTACTCATCATCAGTAATATACAGTATACTGCATACTGTACTGTATAATGCGCTACTCTTCATCAGTAATATACAGTATACTGCATACTGTACTGTATAATGCGCTACTCTTCATCAGTAATATACAGTATACTGCATACTGTGCTACTCTTCATCAGTAATATACAGTATACTGCATACTGTACTGTATAAAGCACTACTCATCATCAGTAATATACAGTATACTGCATACTGTGCTACTCTTCATCAGTAATATACAGTATACTACATACAGTACTGTATAATGCGCTTCTCTTCATCAGTAATATACAGTATACTGCATACTGTACTGTATATTGCGCTACTCTTCATCAGTAATATACAGTATACTACATACAGTACTGTATAATGCGCTACTCTTCATCAGTGATATACAGTATACTGCATACTGTACTATATAATGCGCTACTCTTCATCAGTAATATACAGTATACTGCATACTGTACTGTATAATGCGCTACTCTTCATCAGTAATATACAGTATACTACATACAGTACTGTATACTGCGCTACTCTTCATCAGTGATATACAGTATACTGCATACTGTACTATATAATGCGCTACTCTTCATCAGTAATATACAGTATACTGCATACTGTACTATATAATGCGCTACTCTTCATCAGTAATATACAGTATACTGCATACTGTACTCTATAATGCACTACTCTTCATCAGTAATATACAGTATACTGCATACTGTACTATATAATGCGCTACTCTTCATCAGTAATATACAGTATACTGCATACTGTACTCTATAATGCACTACTCTTCATCAGTAATATACAGTATACTGCATACTGTACTATATAATGCGCTACTCTTCATCAGTAATATACAGTATACTGCATACTGTACTCTATAATGCACTACTCTTCATCAGTAATATACAGTATACTACATACTGTACTGTATAATGCGCTTCTCTTCATCAGTAATATACAGTATACTGCATACTGTACTGTATATTGCGCTACTCTTCATCAGTAATATACAGTATACTGCATACTGTACTATATAATGCGCTACTCTTCATCAGTAATATACAGTATACTGCATACTGTACTGTATATTGCGCTACTCTTCATCAGTAATATACAGTATACTACATACAGTACTGTATACTGCGCTACTGTTCATCAGTAATATACAGTATAGTATGTATTATGCGACATAAACCCTGTGCCGTATCAAAGGACGGGAGGTGTCTGGACTGCAGTCATCAGAGACTGAGCCAGTCAGACCCATATAACGATATAAAGACCTGCCCCATTTTTCTTAACGCTCCAATCACTGCTTTAGCAAGCGTTGCTGGCTGCTTTTTAGGTCTAGGATATATTTTGGTCTGAGTTTTCAAAGAGAACTTGGCGGAGTGGAGGATGTTGCTCCAAAGCTAAACTCTAAACTCTAAAAATGTTTGCTTTGAATGGCTCTGTGTGGTAAAACCAGCCTGGTTTCCAGAGACACCTGCTTTCCTGTGTGTGTTAAAAGGTCAGTCTTTCGTTACATGAATAGTTGGTAATTTGATAGTTTGAGTGAATAATAAGCAGTGTGACTCCACACGTGAGCCTGAGAAGCAGCTGCTGAGCAGATTGTTCGGCTGAGACCAGCTTTACTGTTTTAACCACGTCATCTATGCAGGAATGGAACTTTATTAAAAATATGATCTCAACACCAGATGGGAAAACTGATGGGCTTCTGAGTGCAGCAGGACAAGTTATTTCCTTTCATTTCATTTCCTTATGTGTCCATGTAAGACTGAATCCAGCACTATTCAGTTGTTTTGAGCAAACCAAGCTGTTACATCGTCCTGAAATGTCCGTGCTGCATTTTGGGATGCGGCATATGATGAAGATCTGGCTGCGTACTGGAGGAATCCTGCATACTGCTTACTTCTTTTGGGCAAAGTCAGCACGCAAGCGGTGTGTTTTAGGCTATTTCTAACACAGCCGTGGGGCGTGGGGATGGGTGGGGCGTGGGGATGGGTGGGGTGGGATATGCTTTCTACTCGCAGACTCCCAACCATGGGAAGTTCAGGGGTTCACAGGGATTCAAACTCATGATCTTCTGTATCCTGATGTTAGACGGTTACACCACTTCAGGCCTTTATGTACCACAAATTAGTACCGTAATTAAAACAATATTGGACACCCTGCTGTAGCTGAGCTGTGCCCGATCCTGGTCCTGGACATCTAACACCAAGTAATGCATTCAGTAATTATGTAGTAATTCAGGGACGTCTAGTGAGACTCAGGTGTGTTGTAGCTAAAGTCTCCAGAGTGGCAGATCTCCAAAGATCAGGATTAGGCAGCTCTGCTCTTGTTAAATCATTTCAGCACAGGTGACTGTTCTTTACCTAAGCGCAGGTGGTGCTCTGTCTGAGTGTGAGGGTCTGTCTGAGTGTGAGGGTCTATTTGTGCCCAGATTACAGTGTTTTGAGTACGTGTACCTTTTCCCTCTTTTTTCTGGAATGTGTATGCTGTCACAGTTTGAGTTTGAATCCCACAGATGCACTGATTAGCCCTCCATGGTCATGAAATCTCCCACCCCAGCCTGAGGACACAGTGCTGACCAGCTTGTGGGGATCGGAAGTGAACAAATTGACGGGGAGGAGTAAAGATCCAAGTAGTTTCAGCTTAAACTGAGGAAAACATTTGCTGCTTTTCTTTTGCAGTAAGCTCAGCTCAGATTGTACTGCCGATCTGACTGGGATGCAGAAATGTAAGTTAGGAGAACTAAGTTGAGTTAAAAAAGCTGTGAAATCAGTTACCTTAAAATTTAAAGTTGACCTCAATTAAAATTCTTCTAATTATGATGCCTAATGCAGTTGTTTCAACACCAAAGTCTGTAAACAGTCAACACCAGTTAACAGCTCCCAGCCGTAGCGTCGTTACTGATAGACGACAACCTTAATTCAAATTTTGTTCCAGCTATCGCGAGAATATCGAATCGTGAAGTTTAATGAATCGGATTGAAACGTGGGCTGAGTGTATCGCTACAGCCCTGTTCTGAGTAATGCTGTGATAACTGTAAGTGTGTGTGTGGCTGTTGTTGCTCAGAGGACGGTGTCGGAGCTGCCAGGCGGAGCTGGAGTCCATCGAGCTGACGGAGGAGGAGTACACTCAGCTGAAACACAGAGTGATGACGGATGTTATTGAAGGCAGAGACGTCTTCAACAAAACCACACCAGAGGTTTACATTTCACTTTTTCCTCATTTAGAGGTGGGCAATATGACCATCTTATGTTGATAAATAATAATAATAATAATAATAATAATAAATCTTTAATTATATCTGTTTATTATTATTATTATTTTTAGTAGTAGTAGTACATTATTTACTATTATTAATTGTAACAATAAGCTTCTCTGAGCTTTATTTCCATTACTTTAAGAACACTGACCATCTGCATAAAAAGAGGTTTAACACGGGCTCCTAAGTGACGTAGCTCTCTAAGACCATGTCTGCGCATGCATTTTACAACGACTTCGAACGCAACTCAGCACTCAGCACCCAGAACTGCAAATTTATAAATGTTATTATATTCAGTACTGTGTGTTGTACATGCATGTGATGTGATTGTACCTAGAACATTCTGTTCTGCCTATTTTTGTCTGTCCCTACAAGTTCACAACCGTCACTTGTCATGTATAAGCTGGGCCGTCCAGCCTATATAATTACGACCGTCCACTCTTTAACGGGCTGGCTGATTGGCTAGGTGCTCCCTGTGCTCAGCTGGGTGTACCAGCAGGGTTAGGGTTGGGAGGAGGAGGAAGGGGGTATCGAGACATGAGATTATGGGGTTGTATTGCGGTTTCTGTCGCAGTTTCAGAATCGTTAGACCCCTATGACTGAAAACCACCGTGACGTGTGTGTTTGAGGGAGAAAGAGAGATGAGAAATGAAGGTAAAAACTTTTATGCTAACAAATTTAATAACGTTAGCTAGTGTTATTCGTCTGGCCCTCGGTTCACATACAGAGTGACCTGCAGTGAAACAGCAGAGCTATCTGCTGCATAGTGGACAGACTAGCCTGCTGACCTCGAGTTCACTTCGGAGAATGAGCGTTCCATATAGTCCTTTAGAGCCAAGAACAGCTCCAGTGTCTCCTTAGAAGGCATCAGTCCAGTAAACTGGCCTTTTAGTGTGTGTTTTTTCAGGCAAAGCATCACCACTATTATTCTGAGGGGTTCTTTGCTTTGGTAGCACGCAGAACGTCTATCACCAGAATATCTTTATCATATAATCTGACATGGATTTTGGCCAAGATTTTATTTGCAGCAAAAAGGCTTTATGTATTCACTCAGAAAAAAAAAATTGTGATAGGTAAGAACAAAAATGAAGAAGCACTACAGAGGTTACAAAAAGTCCATGCTGGGAGTGGCAAAAACCCAAAAATCCATTCACATCCACAAAGCATGTGCAAAATAAATCCCAGAACAAAGAAATGCCCGGGTATACCATCTTAAGAACAGTATAAAAAGCCTGTATTGACACATGGTAGTATGTATAAAAATGTGCCAACGCATTTTGGCCTTCTCAGGCCTTCATCAGGACTCAAAAAAATGGCACGTTAACAGAAAACACCTGAGAACACCCATATATACCCAAGCTTCTGCCACCTGTTGGTCAGGAAAAAAAGGAAAATAAAACAAAAAAAAGTTAAAAGAGAAGGAAACAAATAAACATCCTCATTCAAGCCAGGACAAACTGTAGCTTGAAGAGTATAAATCCAAAATGTCTCCCTCTGAAGTAACTGCCTTCACCTCTTACCAGAGAACTTGTCGAGAGGAGAATTTCCACTCTGTAATGTCTTCTGGGTTTCTCAAACGCTAGAGAGCGCTCCTGAGCGAGTCCAAAATAAATGGGTTGATATGGAGCCTTTGAGCAAAATCATAGTTTATAAATACTTAAACATTTTTAAGGTAAAAGAATTCATTCATTTCCTGAACACAGAGCAGCATAAAACATTTTAACCCTGCTGTTATATTTTTAAGAGCTTTTAAACTCGAGTTATAGGAGTTTAAAACGGCGCCTCATGTACGTTCATGACGTCAGTGACCGCGAACAGCCAATGAGCTGCTCCGCTCGCCAATCAATCAGAACTCAGTAGCAGTAATGCTAACGTCCTGCTGCCCAAAAAGATTAGAAACTATTTTAACTTCTCATTTTTAGCTGTTTAGTTCTATTTTCTCCCATTCATTGAGGACTCGTTTGCGGGCGCCCTCTGCTGTTTAGCAGTGCTGGCCATCGCTTGTAATGAGTTGGGGTTCAGATGTTAAGCTGCCTTATAATGCATGGTCATTAGGATAGTTAGGGTTCTGGGTAACAATAGCATTTTTATGTTCAGGTAATCTGTCTCTAAAGCTATGTTCACATTATAAGCCTCATTGCTCAAATCCGATTTTTTGCTCAAATCCGATCTCTCTGACACAATGGTTTAGGTGACTCCAATCTGTCATTAATGTGACGAACCGGCGTCCTGAAATGACCCTCATGAGCTCATCCTACTCAGTAACGTCACGTGAATGAATCACGTTCATCATCAGCACAAACTAACGAGCAGAACGAGCTTCGCTGAGAAGATCATTAACTCTGATCAGCTCTCAGCTTCATTATTAGAGCGAGACGAAGGAGAAAAAGGTGAGATGAGCTGCTTTTCCACCGTTTACAGGCTTTAACTTCTGTTCGGCGCTGTTGCCATGGTAACGCTGAATGATGGAGCAGTGAAAAAAAAGGGCATGAATTCCGATCTGAGCGTCACATTAAGGTCACATAGCCACGAATCGGATACGTATCTGATCTAGGACCACATACGAAAGTGACTCAGGTCGGATTTGACAAGATCAGATTTGTGTCCACACAGCTCTGAAAACATCAGATCTGAGTCACATTAGGGCAAAAAATCGGATTTGTGCCACTTCAGCCTGGTAATGTGAACGTAGCCTAAACCTCCTTTTCGTACGACCAATATAAAAACATTCACGTTCACATTCAAGTCTGTATATGACAAAAGCATTGTTACAATTAGTAAATGAATTAAGTTTGAATGATTTACCAGAAACAGAATCCACAAACGAATCATCTCTAATCATCTCGGAGCGATGATTTCACCCACCATGTATAAAGTGTGTCCTTCCAAGCCGACTGTGCACCTTACCTTTAAGGATAGTCACCCTTCTAAAACAGAGAGATGGAGGGTCCGGGAACACTGTACACAGAAGAGGGTCACTTTGCACTATATTCGAATTTCTTAAAATGATGCTTTTATTGCATGGAATTGTTTTGAAATGTTGGGGTCTTTGTTGCTTTTGATTATTACTCCTTGTTCTTAAGTTTGGCTGAACAGTGTTCATACCAAAGCTTCATTTCCAACAGTCCTAAATGCCTTTTCTGACACTTCCTAAGGACACGCTTTGGCCTTCCCATAACAAAACACTCTTTTAGGGATTTCCCACAACAGGATCATTTACCATAAAAATGTCTCCAGTATCGTGATATTATCTTTCAGCAGTATCGTTCAGCTCTGCACTTACTTGCTACTTTTGGTGGCGCTGCTGGTGCATCTAATCCAACTTATCAAACCTTAATCAAACAAAATATCAAGCTATAAATATTGTGAAAATGCCAAGTATTGTGTTTTGCCATATTGCATATCCTTTGAGAGGTCTGCAGTATGGAGGACCAGATTTGCCAAAATGAAAAATAAATAAAATTAAAAATAAATGACTTGTAAATTAATATATGAAGTAGAATAGCAAAGAACTATGATGATACATCTAAAAATAAATATACATAACAATTAATATATTAATAAATAAAATCTTGTCTGCATTTATTTATGTCTATTTAGTAATTTCCCCTTCTCACTAATTTTTGTATTTTTTTTTTATTTATTTCTCTCAACATTTTTTTCTGTTTTTCTATTTATTTCCATAACTATTCATTTCTGTATTTATTTATTTCTCTATTTATTTATTTCTGTATTTCCTTGTCCTTATGCTAATAAAGGGGCTGTCAGTGATGTCACAGCGTCTTAATATTCCTATTGGTTGATCGATGTCAGATTCATGGTTAAACAATCTTGCTCTCTCAGCGGTAACTAAGGACAAGACAGTACAGTAACGGCTTCTTACAGGCAGCAGATCCGAGAGTCTCGGCTGATCTTGCTGAAAATGCAGGTCCGGATTATTGACTCTTCCGTTGGAGGCTGTGGGGACAGTTTGGTTCATTTGCTGCCTCTGCTGATTCAGAGGTTGAACCCGTAGTGTCAGAGCTTCGGAGGAGGTGGTTCAGCGCCTTTTACTGCAAAATTCAGACATTTGGACGCCTTTCTCACACGGCCTGCAGAAGCGAGAGTTATTTATCGGCAGGTCTCTCTGTCCGTGGCATTTCAGCTGTTTATGGAGTGAAAGAACAATTTAATCAGCTCTTCTCCTCATGGGCTTGTTTGCTAAGCCTGACCGTGAAAAACACGCCCCCTCATTATCATGATAAAAGAATTAACGAAAAAAATAATTAATACATGAATCAATGAATGAAGCAAACAATTGTTAAAAATATAGATATGGAAAATATACATAAAATGGCATTAATAAAACAAAATAAATAATACAGAAATAAATAAATTGAGAAATATAACTCTAGAAAAAGGAAATATGTGTAGAATTACAATCACAATAAGCAATATTTACTTTATTTAGTTTTTTTTATTTACAGATTAATTTACAGAGCCATTTATTTTTCAATTTGGCAAATCTGGTCCTCTATACTACACTCTTCTTTTGCATGACTTGCATTTACAGCAAGGGTGTCAAGCACTAAAGTAGCCATATTTAGTGTTGCCCCGATACCGATACTGTATCGGTTTCGGTGACGATACTGGCACTTAAATGCAGTATCAGCATCGGTGATGAAGATATAGATATAAATGAGGAAACCACGAGGCAGTTTCTGACATGCAGCAGAACTCATGGCAGAATCTATATCGGCAGTTTTCGGTGTTAATAACGCGCTTACGAAGCTGCTCACCTGAACAGCTGAGCTGCTTCTTACAGTATCACTCATCTGCCGCTGTGTGGTCACTCACAGTCCGAGTTAATGTTACTGAGAGAGCGGAAAGAACTGCCGGACTTTCAGCGTAGTGATAGCATTTAGCCTTAGTTTAGCCTTTAGCACAGCAGCCCGCTAGCT